TGCCTACCCGAAACCCGAAACCCTAAAGTCAGGACAGCCGCCCGCGCCGGGGATGAAGAAATTATCCTTGCACGGACAGGCATGGGGTTTAGGGCTGAAAAACCGCCCACTTACTTGCTGGTTCTGGGTAGTGAGGGCATTCGGGAGTTGGGTAGCTTGCTAGTATCCCGCTAGGTGACCCTCTATGGAGGGCACCTAAAGAGCCAAATTCCCTACTGGGAACCAAGTAACACTAAACTTTAAACCCAAGTCTTGAACCAACTTGAACCTAAGCCCCAGCCCCACATCCTAAACCTTCCTGGGTTTTGGGCTTGGGGGTTCAGAACCTCAACCAAGGAGCTCTAAGCCGCTGGGGTAGCCGTCTTGGTAGCCCAGTAACCAGATGTTCATCATGGTACCCTTTTGAGGTTTGGCTATTTGTAAGGGAACCTAGAACCCAAAAAGATGGGTTAAAAGTGTGCCGCTGGGCTACCGGCTACCAAGATATACAGTAGAGTTGAAGGGTTTAAGTTTATGGGGTTTCGGAGTTTTAGGGCCCTACCAACACTGCACTTGGAACAGCGGAACCCTGGCAAAGACTCAGTTGCTTTTGCTGCGTCATCTTGAGAACCAACATAGAAATAAAAAAACAAGTTCAAGATCCATCCCTGCTCGATCCCCGCTCCCCTAAACTTTAAGCCCTCTAAACCCCCCAGCTTTCCTAAGCCCCTGAACCCTAAACCTTGACAGAGTCCAGTCGCTGCTGCATGGATCCAGCCTCGGTGTTTAGGGTGCGGAGTTGAGAGTATATATAGGGTTTAAGGGTATAGGGCTTTAAGGGTTTTAGGGTGTATAGGGTTTAGGAGCTTTAAGGGCTTGAGGGGTTGCAGTTGCACGTGTGGCCCTGGCATGTTTAGCAACACCCTGTGGCTGATACAGTGCACGATTCCTGCCTTGACTCTTGCTGTGTCGGCTGGGGGGTGCTATGACGTAGCCTCCGTGGCCTGTAGATCTACCGAGCACTTCTCTGCCAGTGGGGCAACACGTGAGCCTGCTGTGCTTTTGTGTCTTCCAAGTCCTTGGACACTCTCACTCCAAGTCCAGACAGTTTAGTAAATTCCTCCAAGGTCGACCGAAACACATGACCCTAAACCCTAAACCTTGTTGCCCATAACCACCCCTGAAGGTTTGACACCATTCCGGAAGCCATACTTCCTTATGTCTCGCTCTCCAGCTCACACTGCAGATAAGGATGCATCCCCCGAAAGACACCCGAACCGAGGGAACAAAACCGAGGGAACAATCAGGGGGTTTAGGGTTTAGGGTTCAGGGTTTAGGGTGAAGTGTTTAGGATTTAGGGTTGAGTGTTTAGGGTTTCTAAGACTCTAGGACTTGGGAAGCTCCTGAGGCCCAGGCCAATGCAACAATGCACCAGCAGAGATCAAAACTCTCTGTTCTTCAGCTAGCTTTATGAGATTTTCTCTTCTGCCAAACTTCTGCCCCATCAATTGCAAAAAGAGGCCATTCCGGCTTAATCTTGGCCCCTCGCCCTAAACCCTAAACCCTAAACGCTAAATCCTAAACCCTGAGCGCTAAACCCTAAGCCGTAAACCCTTACAGTGTTCTGGTCCTTCTTGGGGTATCCCAAAGGTTCCCTTTGTAGGGTTTATAGGGTGAATAGGCTGTATAGGGTTTATGTAGGGTTTATAGGGTGTATAGGGGTTATAGGGTTTAGGGTTTAGGGCTGGACGCGGGGGCGCAGCTGGGAGTGTTTTTGGAAGAGCTAGATGCTTCAAGGCTACATTATATAAACCCTATACATCCTAAATCCTGAATCCAAACCCCAAACCCCAAACCCCAAGCCCCAAACCCCAAACCCCAGGTTGAACCTGAAGCCCTCAAGCCCCTCAGCACAAAAGCATGCCACATCACCTAAACCCTAAACCCTAAACCCTAGCTCCTCCGAGGTGCGGCCAAACCCGGCCGTCGCAGGAAGCTGCAGAGGTTGACGCAGGTAGCTGCTGGAGCCCAGGTGGTAGCCGAAGTAGTCTCCCTACACCCTAAACCCTAAACCCTAAACCCTCAACCCTAAAACCCTGTGCGGATCGAGGCCGACACCCCAAGTCCGGGTTTAGCTCTACGTTTCGTCCTCAACCCTGTCAAGGCTTCCTGTAGCTGGATGTTTCTGCTTGGTGTTGCTCCCAGACACGCTGGATAGAAGTTGTGTTGCTCCCTGAACCCTAAACCCAGAAACCACAACCCTAAACCCTAACCCTAACCCCTAAACCCCTAAACCCTAAAACCAGGGGAGGCTTGGGCTCTTGGTATGGGTCTCGGCAAGCACCCTTGGACCCTGAACCCTAAACCTTGATTGCCAGGTTTAGGGTGTAGGGTTTGGGGTTTAGGGTTTTTTTGGCCACCCGCCTAGCTGAGCCCAGAAGGCCACTCTGCAGGGTTGAGGGTTTAGGGTTTAGTGTTTTGGGTTTAGGGTTTAGGGTTTAGGGAAATTTTCCACCCGAAACCCCCAAACCTGACTCCCAAACCTTGATGAGTGTCCGTCTGAAGTGCTCAGGATTATGTCTAGTTTTCGGCTATGTTCGTTCCCTTTTTGGGAAATGCCCATTAAGGGTTCCTCTAGGACGCTTGCCGGCTTGTGCTTGGGGATAGGGCTTAGGATTTAGGGGTTACGGTGTAGGGCGACGTGAGGATGCGGCGATTCAAAGGTCAAGGAGCAAGGGCAACAGCAAGGCTCACACACACTCTATGATGAACCCTAAACCCTTTAAAACCTAAACCCATATGCACATTATACACTTTTGCAGCTCGAGGGAGCCTCAAGAAACATATGTCAAACTGCACATGGATCCCAAGCCCCCAAATGAATCAAGTACAGTTTTTCTCCTTGGTTTAGGGGTTTGGGCTGGACTTCCAAGGAACACTTGCTGATTGTTTCGGCACTTGGGATCAACTTGAGAATCGAAGGACATGAGTCTCTTCAATTGCTGAAGGTCGCGGAAAACATCGTGGACAAGTAAGACTCCAATCCGAGCCTTGTGCACCCCGATAGGGGACAGGTTCACAGGCCACTGATGTGGAGACGATGCTCCACGGAAGAGCGCGTCCACAAAGCTGCGCAGGAAAGCTATGTATGACTGGTGTGTTTCGGTGCCGTCCAGCTGCTTGCAAAGCAAACCACTCTTGGCCCTGAACATGCCTATGAACAATACATGCCTGGGTCGGCAGCAGGGAAAGGCGGTGTCTAATGGTGGGTGACAAGTTCACCGCGTGGGGCTTAGCGCAGCCTTGCAGACGCCGCGGCGCTGCTTTCCACCGCTATGCGAACGCCTACGCTCAGCCTGCTGCCGCAGAGCTTGGAAGAGCCCATCTCGGGGGGTTTAGGGTTTTCCAACCGCCCAGCCACAGCTCCGTGGCGCGGGGCTTCTAGGCGTGCTGCCACTTGTTCTGCAACGCTGCGACACACCCCTAAACCCTAAACCCTAAACCCTAAACCCTAAATCCTAAATCCTAAACCCTAACAACCTCTCAGCCCTGAAGCAGCCTTTGTGAGGGCCCATCCCTGCTTTGCAGGTAGAGCTGCTGACCCCTGCAGATATGGTTGCTAGAGCCTCCTCTAGCTGCCTCCAGCAAGACTTTGAGGTGCTCTGCGTGATGCAAAATGCCGTTTCGGATCAAAGCCCTGGTTCCCCTCCAAAACACCTGAAACTGGGTGCCCTTACGAGCACCGATGTGACAAATCCGTTGGAAAACGTCTGCTAGGTCACTTGCACGGCTCAGGCCTGGAGTGCACAAGGGTAAGCTCTCCTTTAGAAACAGGCTGCTCATGTTCTCTCGAGCTTCTTCCCGCGGACCATGGGTTTCATCCGAGCATGACTCTCTTCAATCGACGTCCCAAGCTCACAGGGTTTAGGTGTTAGGGTTTAGGGCACACTCCAACATTCAGGCGATTTTTGGGTTTAGGGTTTAGGGTTTAGGGTTTAGGGTTTAGGGTTTAGGGTTTAGGGTTTAGGGTTTAGGGTTCGGGGACCAGCTTCGAACACCCAAACTGGAAGGACCGCGATGTCTCTTGCATCGATCGAATATCAATGAAGGACAGCTTCAGGTTGATTGGTTTAGGGATGTCTCTTGCATCGATAGAATATCAATGAAGGACAGCTTCAGGTTGATTGGTCTAGGGTTTAGGGTTTGGTGGGGCTTAGCCTGTTACAAGACTCTTTGTAAGGCAAAAAAAACTCCTGAAACTGCCCTAGAAAGAAGAATGCAGGTTCCCAGGAGCTATCTCACATAAATGGAGGCGCCATAGGCCCGTGAGATTGGGGTCCAGATACGGAGGTGATAGTTGTTTCGGAACCTTATCCGTGATCCCTGACCCCTATGCCTTAAACTCTAAAACCCAATACCCTAAACCCTAAAGAATCACACGAAGGAAGCTCGAACGAAACCTTCATGGATATCAGAGGGGTCTGCAAGTGCTGGTCCCTGCAGGGGCTCATACTAGTGAATACAGCCAATACAGTTTAGGGTTTAGGGTCCAGGAATATGTTAATACAGTTTAGGGTTTAGGGTCCAGGAATATGTTAATACAGTTTAGGGTTGAGGGTCCAGGAATATGTTAATTAATACAGATTAGGGTTTAGGGTCCAGGAATATGTTAATACAGTTTAGGGTTTAGGGTCCAGGAATATGTTAATTAATACAGATTAGGGTTTAGGGTCCAGGAATATGTTAATACAGTTTAGGGTTTAGGGTCCAGGAATATGTTCAGGGCACCCGAGAAGGGACCAAAGCTTGACAAATAGCACTTTGGAAATGGAGATCACGCGGTGCCTAGATGCCTGATCTCGTGCTTGCACGGGCCCGGCATCAAAAAGGACACCGCGGACCAGAAGGAGACAAACCACATCATGTTTTTTGGTTGGGACTGTTGGGAAGTACCCAAAAGGGACCATGATTTAGAAACCCTAAGCCCTAAACCCTAAACCCTAAACCCTAAACCCTAAACCTTAGATAAACCATGACTCTTTCTGTTGGTTAAAGGCATCCGGTGGCCATCCCGGCTGCGACCCTGCTTCTGCTTCTTTGTCTGGTAGCTTCTCCTGCATTTAGGGTCTGGGTTTAGGGTTTAGGGTTTAGGGTTTAGGGTTTAGGGTTTAGGGTTTAGGGTTTAGGGTTTAGGGTTTAGGGTTTAGGGTTTAGGGTAGGGTTTAGGGTTTACGGTTTAGGGTTTAGGGTTTAGGGTTTAGGGTTTAGGGTTTAGGGTTTAGGGTTTAGGGTTTAGGGTTTAGGGTTTCGGGATTAAAGCACTCCATCTCAGCGAGCAGCCACATGTTTAGGAGCTGAGTTCAGAAACAACAACTTTCGCTCAGCGTCATCCCGGAACCCTATAAACCCTAAACCCTAAACCCTAAACCCTAAACCCTAAACCCTAAACCCTAAACCCTAAACCCTAAACCCTAAACCCTAAACCCTAAACCCTAAACCCTAAACCCTAAACCCTAAACCCTAAACCCTAAACCCTAGCCTACAGCCTAAAGCCTAAACCTCCCTCAAACCCCAGACCTCTCCTCAAACAGAGTCCCGTAGTACCCCAAATGACAAACCCCAAAGCTAAGCCCTACGAAGCCCCAAAAACCCCAGAAATTCAGGGTTCAGGGTTCAGGGTTTAGGGATACACCTATAAACCCTAAAACACAAAGGAAACCGCAAGCTTAGGCCTGTTCCAGTTCCGCCTCCTTCTTCGCCGCTCTCGCTTCAGACTTCTCCTGCGCCCCAAACACAAAGGAAACCGTAAGCTTAGGCCTGTTCCAGTTCCGCCTCCTTCTTCGCCGCTCTCGCTTCAGACTTCTCCTGCGCCCCAAACACAAAGGAAACCGTAAGCTTAGGCCTGTTCCAGTTCCGCCTCCTTCTTCGCCGCTCTCGCTTCAGACTTCTCCTGCGCCCCAAACACAAAGGAAACCGTAAGCTTAGGCCTGTTCCAGTTCCGCCTCCTTCTTCGCCGCTCTCGCTTCAGACTTCTCCTGCGCCCCAAACACAAAGGAAACCGCAAGCTTAGGCCTGTTCCAGTTCCGCCTCCTTCTTCGCCGCTCTCGCTTCAGACTTCTCCTGCGCCCCAAACACAAAGGAAACCGCAAGCTTAGGCCTGTTCCAGTTCCGCCTCCTTCTTCGCCGCTCTCTCTTCCAACTTCTCCTGCGCCCCAAACACAAAGGAAACCGCAAGCTTAGGCCTGTTCCAGTTCCGCCTCCTTCTTCGCCGCTCTCTCTTCCAACTTCTCCTGCGTCTTCAGCCCGAAGCTAGACAAGGGCGTAGGGGCTCAGGATTTGTAGCGCTTGGGGGTTTAGGATCCAATGGTTCAGTGCAAGGGATTCATCACCCCCGAAGAAATAAAAAAACAACGATGTCGCCCCAACATACTCGATGTTGTCTTTTACTTGGTTTGTGGTGGTGGGGGGGGGGGTGACCCTTTTTTTGGTTGCATCCAGCCTGCATTGCTTCTGCTGGGTCCGCCCTCAAGCTGTTCATGAGGAACGACTAGTTGAAACAAATCCACTCATTGTAATTTTCGCTAGCACGGGATATATGTAGGAAATCTTCTTCGCTCGGTTAGCACGTTCAGCGTCTCTGTTCCTTCAACACCAGCCTTCTCTGGTGATGTTCGTCTTTAAGCCGCTCCACACTATACATGTATGGCCGCATCGGTTCCTGGTCTAAATCCACTGCCCTACCATCAGCAGAAAACCCGTCGATGGAAGGTCCAGCACCATGCCGAACAGGATTGAAAGATGATATCACTCCGCGAAGAACCCTAAACCCAAAACCCTATGGGTAGCTGGCTCTGATCTCAAGGGGCCCGTTGTTGGGCCGAAGCTGCCACTGGGGGCTGCAATATTTTGGGGACCGACCTACATTGAGTGGGTTTTCTCTCGTTCTACTCATATCAGGTAGTATCAGGGAAAAATCTTGGCAATTTTTTTCGGCCCCTTTATCCGGTTCGCCAGTTGCTAGGAATACTTGGCTGCGCATCATACGAATATAGCCCGCAACCCTAAACCAATTTAGTGGTTGCGGACAAAGGCAAAGGATGCCTTTGCGAGGTTTCTTTGGGTTGAGAAAATATTCTCACCCAGGAAAAACCGGAGTCTAAGGGTTCTCCTGGCCGTTTTGGAGAGAAAAACCGAGCAGAACTGAGGCGAGGTCCTTCGATAATACCGAGGAGGTGGACAACATCCTTTTCGGCCGTCCAGGAGGGGTTCAGGGCTGTCGGGGGGGGGGGAGGTGCTAACTACAACACACAATGCAAGAGCCCAAGTACTTACCAACAGTTCCCTCGTCATCCTGTATTTCTGTCACATGCACTACCCACACGAAATAAATACCTATACAAGTCTCACATGAACTACCTAAACTACATGGAATTTCAACAGGCCCTGCACGACCTGCCCTCAGGGTGGCCTAGCCGGTGGGTCTTCAAGAAAAAGAACCCAGTTGAACACCTAGTCAAAAATCACCCTTAGCCCTCTGATGAAATCGCCGAGCTGCTGCGAACGCGTCGACATAAGTAAGCCCGCCTCACCCACCTTCATTGCATCGGGTTGAGGGTTTAGGTGTTTCGGGGTTTAGGGTGTCCCGTCCCATTTTCTTGTCTACCACTTCCCGCTATCATTGCGACCATGAACAACGAAAGTATTTCAGAAGATCTGCCGGTTCACACGAAAACGCACAAACGACTCTAATTCACTAGGCCAAAGAACTACAGTCATTCAATCTGAGGGGAGCTTTTAACGTAGAATCCCAACGTCAGGGGCAAACTCCGGTATAGGGTTCAGGCTTTGAATCCCTGCCCCACTCCCAGCTTTACAAAAAAACTATCTTTCAAGACTTAGGTTCAGTGTATAGGGTTTAATTAATTAACATGGTTTTTCTTCACGAGCCTTGGTCAGTGGCACAGGAAACGGTTACATGCATGGACGTAACTTTTATTGAGGCCTCACCTGCTCGACGCCACTTGAAGACTTGACCGTTTGCTGCGGGAGAGCACGCTGAAAGCTGCCTACGCAAGGGCCGCCTGACAATAATGCCTGCTCTGGTCCATTGCTCGCATTTCCTTTTCGTAGGCCCGAAAGCCTAAACCCCAAACTCATCATAAACTCTTCGACCCTAACCCTAAACCCTAAACCCTAAACCCTAAACCCTGAACCCTAAACCCCAAACCCTAAACCCGAAACCCAACCTCGGAGGCCACAGCTGTGATGACCTCTGTCATCATGCGATGGTCGTAGATGGAAAGATTCCTTTGGTATGTCTTTTTGAGATAGGGTTTAGGGTTTAGGGTTTAGGGTTTAGGGTTTAGGGTTTAGGGATGAGTTTGGGGGGGGCCACTCTCGGAAAATCTTATACCCTGGCAGATGGGCAGGCTTCCAGAATTATGGTCCCAGCTCATACCCCCAAATTGTAGCTCCCCTTGGGGCGTAGGGTTTCAAGGACCCCTCGTGGTCCTAGTATTCGCAGGTTTAGGGCTTAGGATTTAATTTAGGGTTTAGGCACCAGCCGGCACCTTTCATAAACAGGGTCTGAGGCATCATATGGCAGAACTGCACAAGGGATTATGAGAGGATAGAATGCTGGCAATTCTTGAGGCTCCTGCATTGAACGACCGCACTTCTCAGATACCCTAAACCCTAAAACCTAAACCCAAAATAGGGGTGCCCCTTCTATCCCCTTTTGTTACGGGACCCCAAAAAAAGGAACCCTCAAGGGGCTAAAGGAGGGACCTTTATAAGGGGCCTTAGGGGTAATGGAGGGGCTACTTAGGTTTTAGTGACTATATAAGGTATATATATATATATACACATATAGGGTGTGTAGAGGAATCGGAATAAGATTAAGGGTCCATTCTAGGGACGCTAAGCCAAAACCCTGAATGCTAAAACCCTAACCCTAAACCCTCGCGAGTGCACAAAGAGTTCAACAGGAGCCCAAGCCACAAGCATGTTCTCCTGTTAGAAATCGAATATGTATAGTGCACAGTACCGCTAAAGATGCCATAGGACAAGATCTTCTTCTCTGTTGCGTTTGTTGATCTTCGTTGCTGCTTGGTGGCAAAAAGTAAACCCTGCGTGACCCTGCTGTGGAGCCCGTAGCCCACGCAAGGGTTGTGAGCCCAACGCTGAGTGAAAGGGCTCCATAGAAGTGTTGGCCTTGTCATGGCCAACCCGTTCTGGTCAGACGCTGTGCAGAAGGAATTTCTGCGTGCGCAACAGATGGTGCAGCGCAGGAACCTGGACAGAGAGGTGCAGCTATAAGAGATGGCGATGAATCTGAACGAGAACCGCCATATGAGTTTGGACCTCAAGCCCAGGAAGCTCCTGAGGCCGGAGCGAGTACAACGAGGGATAGTGCGCCCCATGAACTAGCTCCGTGTCCTGCAGAAGTACATCGTGTTGACCCTGTTGCGCTGGCGACACAGCGACAGGAACCGGAGGCACAAGTTGCCAGAGAAACATCACCTGGACACCAGAGTGTTACTGGTAACAGCGAGTTTTCGGCTATGGGGCGTGGAGCTATCAAAGCGTAAGATGATCGCGAGCTAGTTCCTGTACAGCCTGTACTGATCCTTTTGGTGAAATTGGGAAACGTGCTGCGTGCACTGCTTCATGAGCAAGTGGCCCCAGCGCTGGATCCGTTGGATAAGCTTGAGAGTTCGGAGGCTTCGTTGTCAGATGCAAACTCCAGTGTTCCTGAACCACTTCCTGTGCCGTCATTCCCCCTCAGTCCATTGGCACACCAGCGATGGCAGGCAGGCCGGCTAACTCAGGGGAAGTGGGGAGGGAGCATCGTGGAGGGATGAGCTTGCTGGGACCGCCGTTTGCGCAAGCCCCAAAACCAGAGACCCCCAGTAAAGGTGTGGTTGACATCGAAGGGTCCAAGTACGCCTGGCGAATCATGCCCGAAGGATTGAAACTTGAAACAGGCCCCAACACGACCGGCACGAGCCGTGTCCGTAGCTGAGGTCTTACACCCTAGAGCTAGATCCCCCTTCGTGCCCACGGCCGGTGAAGAGTCCCAAGCGAGGACGAGGACGAGAGCCTAGAAGTCGCAGTGAAAGCCCCCAAAGGTCACGTCAATCTGGAGGAGCTGCGCCGGTCAAGGCTGCAAATTTTGTCAGGACCTATTGATATGGGTAATTTCGGGCATGAGAACTACGTTCAGCCGTATCAAGATGCCTTCCACCCATTCCAAAGTTTCTAAGAAAGCAGCCGGCAGCTAGTGGGAGTCAGGACAGAGGTAGAAGTAGCCCAGCTCGAAAGGACTTGACCTCCAGCCATTGGTTTACCAAGATTAGGCCACCCCCACCTCCAGGCTTTCGCGCGAAAGCTGATGTGCAACCTGAAGAACCTCTCAAGCATGTGCCTGCAGCTTGACAAGTATGATGCTACTAACTCCAGTATTACTGCAGGTGATTGACTAGCAACATTGGGACCCACCATGTCGTCATTGAGTTCGGGTGCTCGTGAGTAGTGGGGGGGGGGGGGGGGATGACATTTGTACACGCGTCGGTTGCCTCGCATCGCCTCTTGATAGGCTTAGCATTTATCCCGAAGCCCTTGTTGAACTTCACCAAACTGGTAGATTTAGTAGGGTTGAGCAGAAAGCAGTGCCTATGTTGCTGAAATGCATTGGTGCCGATTTGCGTGAGGACATTGTTACGTCTGGATTGCTTTCGACCGCTGCAATCGTCTACAAAAGCATGTGCAAGTATCAACCTGGGGGAAGTGCTGAGCGCGAACAACTGCTTAGCTACATTATACACCCAGGAAACAGTGCATCGGCACATGCCGCGGTCAAGGCTTTCCGGAAATGGCGTCGTTGGATGACCAGATCATTTGAGATTGGCTTGAAACTCCCAGACCCATCTTTGCAGGTGAAAGGTTTGGACAGTCTTTAATTGGAGCCATTTCTTTTTGGAGCGTTAGTGTCGTAAACGACGCACGCCTAGCAACCTGAATTCGGGTGAAACTGGGGAACAAATGGAAAAGCACCGGGCCTAAACCGGCCGGGGTAAAAACCGTATCCTGGCGCTGCATCGCTTGTCAAAATCAAAAGACAAGGATGACAGGCATTAGCTGGGACTGAAAACGCCAATGTCACCAATCAGAAAACCAACCTGCGTGAGCCAAGTGACCGCAGGAGCTGCAGCCCGCCCGAGGCAAGAAATCTCAACTGCAACCGGTTGACCGGCAGCGGTCTGAACAGCCGCCTCAAAGACGGTACATGCACTCTCCAGCCATGCCGCAAAAGCAGTGGCCTGACGCAAAGGCACACTGGTAGGCTACTCGATGCTGAAATGACTTATCGCAAGATCATCGATGCTCAGTGTAGCGGAGGGGCCACTGAGAGAGAGGGCCCAAACAGGCAGAGTGGACGCACCTCGCATGCTTGGCCTGCGAGTGGCCTGCACAGAGTCCCACAGAAATTCAGACCGCAGCAGCATCAGGACGTGCTCCGCACCCGAAATTTCAACCCCAGCATGGGCAAGGTCATCCAGCCAATGTTGGACCGTAGCCCGCAGAGTGTCAATAGGCTCGATGAAGTCACTCACAAGTCCCCAAATACTGTCAGAACCCAAATCGGGCAAGTCACTTAGCAACCGAAGGAGGGCAGTAGACACTCCGACGGGGACATCAGCAGATTCAACAGCGCGGAAGGAGCCCGGCGACAGATTGAGGACGCCGTGGCAGCTGCAGGAGGTGTGGCCCAAGGTCTACAGGAGCCCAAGCCACAAGCAAGTTCTCCTTTGAGAATCCGAATATGTATAGCGTACAGCAATTACCGCTAAAGATGCCATAGGACAAGATCTTCTTCTCTGTTGTGTTTGTTGATCTTCGTGGCTGCTTGGTGGCAAAAAGTGAACCCTGCGTGACCCTGCTGCGGAGCCCGTAGCCCACGCAAGACCCTAAACCCAATTTGGGGAAACACTCCTCATGAACAACAGGCGGGGAACTCAACAAAACGGTTTAGGCTCTCATGCCCGCACAAGGCAGGCATGGCTTCGAGTTTGGGGTATACGGTGTAGGGCTTAAGCCTAAACCCTAAACCCTAAACCCTAAACCCTAAACCCTAAACCCTAAACCCTAAACCCTAAACCCTAAACCCAAAAACCCAAAAACCCAAAAACCCTAAACTAGAAAGGCTTTGGGGCGGACCCTCCTTCCAAAGCCGTCCTATCTCTGCAAAGCTTCTCGAGCAACTTTGCAAAGCGCTCTTCTCCCAACTCCTGTCGGAAACTTCCGGGACTTGGGACACCGGCCCCTTTTTCCCTAAACCCTAAACCCTAGGTCCCTAGGTTGCCTCAACCGCAGCTGAAGCAATCGGTAATGCGGTCTTTCCGCCCTGGGAGACGACACCTAATTGGAGATGCATACCTTCAGTGATACAGGGGTTTAGGGTTTAGGGGTTTGGGATTTAGGGTTCCGGGTTTATCGGATTTAGGATTTAGGGTTTAGGGCTGTTTAGGGGCTCCTCAGCAAGAGCCTACGAAAGGCCTCTTCGGTTACCTCTTGACATTTTGGAGGGATGGTCCCAGGGATCTAAACATTTTTATTTTTCAATAACCGAGCTCTCCAGAAATTTACGAGTCTTGAAGCACCTCCTGCTTTCCAGACACGGGCTCTCTCTGCTCCGCAGCTCTAGGGCATATTTTGGCTTTCCTTGCTCCCCTACATGACTAACTTCTACCCTAAACCCTTTAAACCCTTTAAGCCCTTTAAGCTCTTAAAACCCTTTAAACCCTTTAAGCCCTTGAAACCCTTGCAAGCCCTTAAAACCCTTACACGCCCTGAAAAAGCCCTTTAAGCCCTTTCAACCCTTTAAACCCAAAACCCTCAACCCCAAACCCTCCTTTCAACCCTTTAAACCCAAAAAATCTACTGTAAATATTCTCCTTGGGGCCCTTGAAGCAAGGGCCATCAACCCACCTAAGCCCCCCGTTTTTTGAGCCCGGAACTGAGGTCCACACCCGAGACCGCCGAGAACTTGGACCTAAACCCTAACCGGGCTTCTCGTGGTATAGGCATCATACGATCCCAATAGCTCACGCTGATCGTGTGAGTCCTAATTATAGGCTCAACCCTCTCGTATCAGTCCTAATTATAGGCTCAACCCTCTCGACCTCTTGTTGTAGCCCTAAACCGTACAAATCCTAGACCCGATTTTGAAACTGGACTTGCTGACTGATAGCTGCTGGAGTCGCTAGAGAATTCGCGCCCCGACAACCCTAAAAAATGGCTAAACCAGACCCCCTTCCCAAAAGCTCAAAGGATTCTTATTGGGTTTAAGGTTTAGAGTTTAGGGTTTAGGGCTCAAAGCTTTGTTAAGGTTTAGGGTTTTAGACCAGGCCAGTGTGGGATGGTCCTGGACCATCCCGGAGAGAAGGAGGAACTTGTGGCCCAACACGAGTGGTTGCGGAATCTTGCCTCAGGGTTTAGGGTTTAGGGTTTAGCTTAGGCATGGTGGCAAACATGAACTTGCAGCTCTACTCTCCTACACAGCCCCAAGTTTTCTGGAACCCTAGGCCCGAAAGCCCTAAACCCTAACACCCCCTGAGGGTGCGCCTTAAAGGTTTGGGGAACCCTGAACCCGAAACCCTAAACCCTAAACCCTAAACTTCTCTTTGCCCGGCGTTGGACTTCAGACCTCTGCACTTCCTGATGGGGAAGGCGGGCCTGGATCGCCAAAAGCAGAAAACGAGGGTTTAGGGTTTAGGGGTTTAGGGTTTAGGGTTTAGGATTTAGGGTTTAGGGAGAACATGTAGGGGTTTAGAGTTTAGGGTTTAGACAGGCAGCGAAACTCCCACAAAAGAGGTTCAGGGTTTAGAGTTCAATGTTTTAGGAACCCTACAACATACACCCTAAACCCCAAGAACTCCGAAGACCCTAAGCCCTGGACTCTTTAAATCCCCAAGAGCCCCTCAACCAAGGGGCCAAGCGCCAGCAGCACGCTCTGCTGCGTGCTGCCCATGACGTTCACACCTTGCGGTTTCGGGTCTGGCTTTTTTTGCCACCTGCCTCGATGACGCTCAGGACGCGTTGCAGGGCAACACTACTGGAAAAAGCCGCAAAACATGTTTGCAGGCGATCCTAGGGTTCAGCCCTAAACCCTAAACCATAAACGCTAAACCCTAAACCCTAAACCCTAAGGATTCATCGAGGCCCTCATTTTTGTTTCAGGCCTGGGGCTTAAGTTCACAGCCGGGCCCCCCTAAACCCTCCTTCGGTGGTTGTGTTGCGACCCTAAACCCTAAACCCTAAACCCTAAACCCTAAACCCTAAACCCTAAACCCTAAACCCTGTTCTTGTGGAAGCTGCGGTGGTCCTGGCAGTCCCGCATGTGGGGCTGGACCACTAATTCCCCCGGGACCTGTCCACCGGGTAGTTTTGGGAGTCCATGTGGTGCTGGTAGCTCTTCTCCGACCCCCCATCCCCCAAACACTAAGCTACCAGAACCATAGCCTGAAGTTTCATCGGCATGTGCACAATAATCTAGTCATAGTAGCCTATGTAGGGCACCTTAGGGCGTCTGATCACCGATTTGGGGGCTCAGTTTAAGGTTTAGGGTCGTCACAAATTCCTCTACCCACCCCTTAGGTTTAGGTTTACATCTTGGCGTTCCGTCGAAATTCATGCCTACACCATGCACCAGAGCCCCCCACCAAGCACCCTCACAGTGCTTTTCATCAAAGAGATATTTCCACTAACTAAGGGAGAAACGCCCCAGAATTCTATTCTGTACAGGTATCTTGCTGGGTGCAGGCACCCCTCAACCCCCGCATTCTTCTGGAACAAGTGGCGAATCAGCACAGAGGCGGTGACACAGAGCATTCCAAGCACCATGACCTGGTTGCATGTGGCTTCGGCCCTCAGGGAAGCCCAGATACCCACCACCACCCTCGACCCCCAACCTGAGCCCCCTAAACCCTAAACCCTAAACCCTAAACCCTAAACCCTAAACCCTAAACCCTAAACCCTAAACCCTAAACCCTAAACCCTAAACCCTAAACCCTAAACCCTAAACCCTAAACCCCAATTTCAAAGCCAGACGCCAAGAAGGAGGCAAAAGGGAGGGCAGAACCCAATTTTCTTGACATTTCAGAGCTCCTTGAAGCCTTTCAACTTTCTTCTAAGGGTTTAGGGTTTAGGGTTTCGGGTTTAGGGTCAAGGGTTCAAGGTACCCAGCATCAGCTATACCACGTCAACTAATATCCCACATTTCGGCCTGAGGTTAAGAGTTCAGCCCCGTTGCCAAGATAGCCCCCCAGAATATTGCAAGTGTATGTGTATGCATATATATATAGATGCATATATGTGTGTGTATATATATATATGTATATTTCTGTAGAGTTTGACGGAATGCAGGCCTGTGTTTTTCGAGTCCAACACGTCTTTTTTCGTTAATTTGCACTATTTTTAAAAGCTATCTTATAATTCTTGCACACACCCTTTTTCTAATATTTTCAGTTGCAAGGGCTTATCGCAAGTTGCAAATTGCCAATTGCTGTGATGGGCTCCTTCCTAAACTGACCCAAACTCTTATAGTCAACGGTAGGTAATACGGATTTGCGGCCTATGCATATACTTCCGAATGTTTCGTTGACACACATCATTTCTGCTATATGTGACCCACATATCCCTTTAGGATTTACATTGTTTACCATCCACTGTCAAGTTTCAGAATTTGGGTTTGCTTCCCACCATCATCTCTTTGCTATACATTGAAATGCTTAGGACCCAGTCAGGCTTTACCGGGTTTGCCATCTCGTGTCTGTTGCCAAGAATTGAGGCTTTGGATATGCCACCCATCATCGTTTATCTAAGTTATCGGATGTTTGGAATAAGCTATCCTTCTTCGGGCTTCAGGATTGCATCCTGTTATAGTCTTTGAGGTTTGCAGTTTGCATCCATCCTGCCTGTCCATTTTGGGACACAGCCCAGTCACATATTGCGTTTGGGTTTAGCATCTCCTTCATGTGTTTGGAGCTGAAGGTCTAAGAGTTCCTATAATTAATGTTTCGGCTTCTTACGAACCAGTTCTCATTTTTACTTGCACCTATAGAGTTTGCCTTATCCGAACCATTCTAAAACTTCAAGAGTAAAGATTCTTTGGAAGCATTCTTCCGAACTGACTATCCTATTTCTTGCCGCGGTCTTGCCGATGCCGTTGCAATTTGGAGTCTCTCCCCCCTGGCACCAATAATGCAAGTTTGCCCATCTACTTATTGTTCTTAGTCATACCCTGCCAAAGCTGCTTGTTATGGGAAAAAGTTTCCTCATAAGATATGGGGGATGTCACCGAGTATCTTCTGCTTGCAAAGCACGAGTGTTTTGCTCAGGAAGCGGCTGGCGAAAAGCTTTGAAGCTTGAAAGCCCAAGGCCCCAATAACTTCGTATGTGTTTATGCACAAATTTGGCGACTTATCTGATGCACAAATTTGGCGACTTATCTGTTATTCTACAAAAAAACATGTCACAGTCTAATATTCTGTAAATATTTGTCGCTCACATTTAACATTTGAGTTAGAAACAAGCCAGCATCAATACATACGAATAGATTCATACCAGTATAACCCAGCATATCGAATATGTGTAGACGCATACCTATACACACAATATATGCACATGGAGTAGGTAGAAGACATTAAGGTTTTCTTATAACTTTACGTTTCAATTTCGATATTTCTGCTAAGGTTGTGTATGATAGAGATGAAGACATGCATGCATCTCTTCGTCAATATTGATTATAGGTGTAGATTAGGATGTTCCCCTTATACTAGCAATCGTTAATTGGGATGTTCCCCTTATACTAAGAGTCCTTAGTAGGGGTCATAATAGGGGATACTATAAACCCTATTACAGGCTGTTAGTATAAGGGGAACATCCCAAGTCATGAATAGGGATTATTATAGGGGGTACTATAAATCCTATTAAGGAATGTTCGACCCCCATGTGTATTCGTGGTTGTGTTCCTTAAGCTCCAAGGCTTCCAGATTCCGATGAGTTCCGAGACTCACAGGCCCGGCCCAAAGGGGATAGATAGGCTCTGGTCTCCCTGGTTGGGGGGGGGGGGGGGTTGGGGCGGTAACAACACTAAAAAACAAATGTGCCCATATATATATATATTATTTATTTATGTATATGTTTGGTTTTTTTTTTTGTTTGCTCCCCCCCCCCCCCCCACCCTTTGTCTCTCTAGCCTTTAGCCGCCGACTTTAGCTCTACAAGGCGCCAAAGCGGTTGTATGTTTACAGAAGCCGAAGCCGTCGACCCTGCGACAATTGTGGCCGATACTGATACTAAAGCATATGTGACGTGTTTACTTTGATCCTTATAAGCACTTTCAATGCAAATAACAAATCACATGGAATCCAAGCATATAGTGTAAACAAAAAGAAACCTGCAAAAACTCAGGCCTGCAGCGCGTCGTTTCTGTATTAAAACAGCATGCATATATATATATATATATATTATATGTGTGTGGAAAGATAGAAGCTACCCCCCCCCCCCTCGCCAGCGACCTATTCTAATCCGTTTTATATAAACAGAACAACTAAGCTCCAACAGTCGCGTAGTTGATCTCCGGGCAAGGAAGGCAGCTATTGGGACACCCACCTCGCAGGCCTCAATAAGCCAGCATTGGACTGATATATGAAGCGGACTAGTGCAGCTGCGCGACCTAAGAGAAAGACACAGAAAAGGTAGGTCACTGGGGGGGGGTACCATATATATATATATATGCATACAGTATACAGTATACAATGTACCCGTTCCTTCCCTGCTGAGATGAGAACGGCCGATTCAACCCTATAACTCTGATTCGCACTGCGGGTTGAACTTAGCCGCGTTGAGGAAGAAGATGATTCCGAAGATCGCGGTCGTAATCCTGCGGGCGCGCGTTGGTCCATATGAGGGCGTTTGAAGAGGAATCCCTCAGAAACAGCATCGCAAAGAGGACCCCTAACTTAGATGAACGTCCCTGTGTCGTTCAGCAGAGCAGAATACCCTAAGCCCTAAACCCTAAACCCTAAACCCTCAACCCTAAATCCCTGATCCTCAACGGCAAGTGGCTGCACAACAGTCCCACCCCAACGAATCTCGGCCGCGGTGATTCAAGCCTAGCTTTCAAAGTTTAGGGTTTAGGGTTTGGGGTTTGGGGTCTAGGGTTTAGGGTTTAGGGAGCTCCCAAAGTCAAGTCTCAGTTAGACAGCAGGTATCCCTGCTCTGCCTCTCAGGAGACCCTATTCTGGAATTCGGGGGGGAAAGTCGGGCAACAGCAGGCAACCCTCAACCATGCGTGTGTCGTTGGGCTTCGGAGTTTTTGGGGGTGGGCCAACTTGGGTTTAGGGTCTAGGGTTTAGGGTTTAGGGTTTAGGGTTTAGGGTTTAGGGTTGGGGGCCAAGTCCCTAAACTCATCCCTGCCTCTGCTGTTGGTCATTATTCAAGACCGGGGCGAAGGCTCCCAACAGAGCCATCCTTGCAGAGATCCGAACACTGAACACTTTTCTTTGGGGGGGCGGATAGGGTGTGCGGGGTTGTTTTTTTGGTTGCCCAACACCCCCCCGCCCCCCCCAAAGTATCCCCGGACAATGCCTGGAGTGTAGGACGGCCCACAAATTCCAAATCTGTAGGGTGAGGATGTTCGAAATAAAAAATGTTTGGCTTGAAGGGGTTTAGACGGGATCCTGACAGCAAATGCAAAGGAATAAGGGCACTCCTGGGCATCCTAGACGAAACCCTAAACCCTACACCCTAAACCCTTCTTTCCATCTGCGCTGGGAGGGGATGCCAGAAAAGGCAGCATGCACGGCTTGATCAGCAAACCCTAAGCGCTAAGCCCTAAGCCCTAAAGCTTTTTGCAATTGGGCTTAAGGACTAGCCAGAATCAACTCCAAGCAGCGGCCTCACCCCCTCGTCACGACACGAAGGCAAGGAGCATATACACAACCCTTTCTCAGGAGAGGCTCCGCTCTCTCTCTCTCTTCCTTCCTTCCAGCTCTCATGACCCTCCCCCCGACCTGAAGGAAAGAGGGCCGTTCGAGGGCGAGCGTTACAGGTCGGTGTGCGTTAAAAGGTTCTCTCTCTCTCTCTCTCCCTCTCCCTCCCTCCCTCCCTCCCTCTCTCTCTCTCTCTCTTTTCTTGCTTGGGCATAGGGGTCGCCCCCCGCGCACTCAGCGCACCCACCAGGCCCTGCGTCATGAAACCCTACCTATGCAGTCACTGCCTTGACCTTCCATTTGCTTTTTTTTTTTTTTTCTATCTCTCTCTCTCTGTCTGTCTGTGTATGCCAGCATCCAAACCATCATCGTCTCAGGAGGAGGACTGTTCACATCCATGGCTATGAGCCATGAGCCAGCCGGGAAAATTGAAGTCGGAATCTTGGGGGCAAAAGCCATGTAAGCTCTAAACCAGCCAACCCCGAAACTACGCAGCAAAGAGACATTAAGATCAGAGAGATGCTGATCAGGGCATCGAAGGCGTTTAGGGCAGGGAGCTTCCACGGCCACGAGATGAGCCTTAGATGCTTTTGGGTTGAGAAAGTTGCGGATTTTTTCAGGGCTGAAGGGCCTAGTTTGGGGGTTTTTTTGGGGTTTAATTGTGCAGAGTGCCTGTTTACGTGTCACATTGTGTTAAGCCCTTGTCGCCTACCAACCCCTCCGTAAACCCTCTTCTTACTATTCTAAACGTATGGGCCCACAGGAAACACTGAGCAGGCCATCGATTCTCCCTAACTAACTCTAAACCCTAAACCCTTCTGCAACGGGCTTTTGGGTCCGCCCGGCTTGAAGGAGCAAGCGCCTAGCCCAATGTAGTGCTGACGTCAAGCCGAGCGCAGCCACTCCAAACTCTGCATCGTTGGGGCCCACAAGTCACTGACGACGGAATACACTAGTAGGTACTGAAATCCTTGAACACGCTGTCGGAGAGCCGATGCAACTCAGGATGATGAGCCTCCAGAACCCAGTCCTGGAGCTGTATATTTATGAGAACTCCATTCTAATCCACCCTAATACACTGAACCCCAAACCCTAAACGTAAGGACCCCAAACTGCCAGCACTTTTGGATCTCCATAATCTCCACGCTAAGTTTCAGGCTGCAACTCCCTCGTGAGCCCTCTGGCATCCTCTCAACAAGCCCTGAAGCCCTAGGAGCCCCCAAAAAAAGGGAGTTTAGGGTTTAGGGTTTACGGTTTAGGGTTTAGGGTTTAGGGCTAGGGTTTAGGGTTCAGGGTCCCAGGGTTTCCCAGGGCTGGTGCGACACATGACTGAGTTCCACTCAAGCCTACGAGGCGCTGAAGAGATTGCCAAGGCGGTTTAGGGTTTCGGGTTCAGGTCCCTCAGCCTTAAACCCCAAACCCCAAACCCTAAACCCTAAACCTTTCAAGACAGCCGTCGGCCGTGGGGCTGCATCACCATGTATCCCAGCATGACGGACACGATGAGGAGCATCTTCCAGGGGACGATGTTGGGTCTACTTGAAGCATGGGTACTCAGTAGGATTATACGAACCCTAAAAAAGATTATCACCATCGTGACAAGACTGAAGACCCTACTTATAAGTAACCATGAACTCTCCGAGTAGGGTTTAGGGTTTTAGGGCCGTCCCGAAATGACGCATGGTGGGGCGCACCAGGGGCTTGGGGTGCAAAGTTGCCATAAGATTCACGAAGGTGGATAGGGTCAAGGGTGTTTGCCACCCGCACTGCACGCGCTTCAGCGTCCACTACTCCACAGGGACGAATCGAGGTTACCAAAGGCCTTCAAGCGTCCGCCAACACAGGCTCACCAAGACATCAGAGGCCGCAGACTACTCAGAAAGTGATTGCGCACTTTGCATGGGATATGGAAGGGGCCCTTGACGTTACACCAGCTTGTGTCTAAGGTGGCTTAACGAAAAGACCGCAAAGGGGTTAGGGTTTAGGGTTTAGGGTTTTTCTTGGCCACCCGCCAAGGGTTTGGGGTTTGGGGATTGAGGTTTGGGGGGGGTTCCGGGGGCCGAACGAGGTTGCAGCAGGCGGGGCTTTGGAGCACTTGGTATGCGCAAGGGAAAGCTGGGGAGGAAGCCTTGAAGAGGGAGTTGTTTGCCACCCACCTAGCTGACCCGCTCACTTGCCCTAAAGCCTCTTCCCTGGCCTAAGCCCTAAATGGGGTTGCACACCGCCGACGCCTGCACATAGGGACTGTCGCCCGCGGCAACGATGGACAGCGACAACAACAGGCCTCGAGGCAGCCTTAGCCGCGATCAGGCTTGCCGAAGGCCTCAACGACTAACTAACCCACCAGGAAGTGGATCATACATCCAACCCTCAGCCCTAAACCCTAAAGCCTACTAAACGCAACTCAAGGGTGCTTTGTTTACAGGGGACAGCTTTCGGGTTTCAGGGTCGGAAAACTCAAGGCGTTCTGGGGCCGAAGTCCGTTAGGCACGCAACCGGGCCGTCGGAAACAGGTTGGGCTCCTTTGGGCTATGACCCAGAAAGCCATGGGCTGTCAAATCCCCTCAAACCTTTGCTGCCCCAAGCCCTGCAGACAGAAAGCTCAGAAGTTCACCCCAAGGTGGCACTCGAAGATCCCACAGTTTGGTGTAAGACAGCTGGAATGCCGCAGGGTGTGGCAGCTAAAGCATCCCTAAGCATAGTGCCGAGGCGCATGAACGTTCCAAACCACCAGCTGTCCGTACGGAAGCGGGAAATCAAAAACCGCGTGGCGGAGAGAAACCTGGGACTAGTAAACAAGGAAGAAGGCGTTGAAGGCGTCATGTCTTCCTAGCATTTCCATGCGTATCCAATTGGCTGGTAGGCAGCAACACCCAGACCAGACTGGTCGGTCAGGTTCTTGTAGAGGGAGCTTACAGGTAAGGTGCGGAAAGTTCAGGCTTTACGGGGACGAGGGGGGGCAAGAACGTGAGAACTGGGGTGACCAGCAACTGAAAACCAAAGGATCTCACGAAGTTTTAACTATATAACTGACACCTTAGTCTATGGTGCGTTTACTTCACAGGTCTGGTTGTGTGCGTGTGCGTGTGCATGTGCGTGTGCGTGCGGGTGTACATGTGGGTGTGGGTGTGGGTGTGTGTGTGGCATCCGCACTACTGCGGTCGCATTGACGGAAATCAGAGCAGCGTGAGATTGCAGTTGGATTAGCCATAGCGACGCAGCATGTCTGACTCAGATTGCTCCGAAGATTGTGATTCACAGAGGGGGTGCAGAGCACAGTGGAAAATGCACCCAACGAAGCTATCCACTGTCGCTGGAAGCAGGGCCTGATCAGCCCTGTGTACCTGTGATCTCCAGTGATATGTTCATAATTCATATTCGTAACTCGCTGTACGTTGGTGCCATCCTCGCTCTTGTTCATCCCGAAGGTACCCTCATCAACAACGTCCTAACGAACGACGTGTAGCAGAAGGCATACAGAATGACCGGACAGATTCCCCAAGTATGACTAGACAAAGGAACTACCATTATGCTGGTATTTACTCTGGTGAATGTTACGAGAGAGCACACGCAGACCAGTTTGTGTGTGTGTGTGTGCCTGCGGGTGCGTGTGTCTGTGTGTGTCTCTGTGTGTCTCTGTGTGTCTCTGTGTCTCTGTGTGTGTGTGTGTGTGTGTGTGTGTGTGTGTGTGTGTGTGTGTGTGTGTGTCTGTGTGTCTGTGTGTCTGTGTGTGTGTGTGTGCTTGCTCGTACTTAGCACTGGAACGCATTCCCCAAGCAAGCCGGGAGCGTGTCCTTGCTGCCGCTGTGTTCAGGGTCCAGGGTTTAGGGTTTAGGTATAGGGTTGTCGCATGGATACGCTTTTCAATGTAAGCTGGAACACCGGTACTAACCATACACTGTGTGTCACCACATGTTCCATGGCACTGGTTTTGCAAGCCAGGTATCGCTTTCCCTATGGAAGTCAAGTACAGTAGTTCCGACCCCAGCAAGACATGGCAGTCGCTGGTAAAGGCGCGCTGGACTGCCGCTGGACTTGATCTCAGCTCGTCGTCCGAGCGCTGCGAACCATCCGAAGCAGCTTGATTGAAACTTCCAAGCGGAAAGTTGATTCTTGCTTGTGGGCATGCGAGACCAAGGGCTCTTGCCACCGTGAGGCTGCGTTGTGCGTTTTCGTGGCGGAAGGAACTTCGGAAGCATTCGAGCCGGGAGGAGAATTTCCCTTGATTTCTCTTGGGTCACGGGGTCTCCTCCTGAAGAGCCTGGCCTCTGATCAGACATCCTTCTCAGGACTCCCAAAAGGGTACCATCGTGCCGTCCATAGCGCCTTTTCTCAAGGAACTCCCTGCCAAAGTAGTTACCCCCCAAAAAAGGAGCTGTTTTGGGGATGGAAGCCAGGGGTAGGTGATTACTGGCTTAACCACTAAACCCCGCAACACGCTTCTGACACCCTTGACACACTAAACGCTTGACCCTTGTGACGAGTAGCCAGGCATCGCCTGCAGCTGCTCTCTTCGGCGCCACAATGGTGGCCACAATCACTAAGCTGTAGAAGCTGATCCTGGGCTTGATCAACAGAGAGCACGAACATGACAAGAGGCGGGGGTGCTTGGGGTGGTTCAGGGTCGTCATAAGTTTAGTCTTTAGGGTTCTAGGGTTCAGTCTACAGTTGGGTTTTTTGGGCTATATAGCGGTCGAGAGGAGGGGGGGGTGGCGAGGCGTGGGGGCGGGGGAGGCGGGGGGGACCCCGCGCAAAGGACACTTCACCCTAGTAGCTCCGAGCACACAACAACACGAAAGCAGGAACTTGCCTCTGGATTCAGGAATGAATTCGCGCTCAAGGAAACCCTTTTACAGCAGGCTTTCTAAAGGAAACCCTGCACACCCCAGACCCTGAACCCTAACCCCAAACCCTAAACCCTTTTGCACGAGCATCATCCCGCCGAGGAGGAGGAGTCCGACCAGGAACCTTCGGCACATGGGGTTTAGGGTTTAGGGTTTAGGGTTTAGGGTTTAGGGTGGGAGGGCGTTTACTCCTAGCTACCATGCGGCCTATTTTTGCTACGGCTTCAGGCCTTTGAGCTCAAGGCGCCTACGGTGTGTAGGGCATGAAAAGATTGAGAAGAAAGAGAAGCTGTATCTAGGTACACTACGTTGGGCTCTTATCTACAGCTTCACACGACCTCGGTGCACTATAATTACAGGGTAGTAAATCAGGGTCAGAGTTTAAGGGTTTAGGGGTTTAGGGTTAGAGTTTAGGGTCTGGGATTTGGGTAGTTCTCTAAAATAGGGCTTCTTGTTGGGCCCCCTATATATAGCATGGCACTGTCCTTGGATCGATGCGAACCCCAAAAGGAACCCTATTTTAGAGAACTGCCCATTAGAGATGTTGAGAGGTCAGGGCTCAGGGTAACTCCTTCGTTTTGTCAAGGCGGAACGGCTGCCTCGCAAACGGCTGGCAGTTCTTCGCTTACGTCCTTGCCTTATAAACCCTAAGCCCTCGGCTTATGTTTTTTTGAGCCTTATTTTTGAAATTGATTTTTGATCCCTATTGTTTTTTGATCTCTATTGTTATGCCTCAAAAGGGTGAAAAGAACGTTGCCGCTTCAACAACTAAATGACCCACAAAGCTCACAAACCCAAAACAATAAGCAGCACATGCTCCAGGCTCTAACGCAGCAAAGGAATGGGGACTGGAGATGCTTGGGGTTAAGGTTTAGGGTTTGGGGCTGACAAGGGTTTAGGGTTTATAGGTGGCTTCTGATTTTCATCTCTTAGAGGCGGGCGGGGGAGGGGCTACGCAGCAAAAAGGCGCACCATCACACAACTAGGCTGCATACACATGCTCAGCCCGGACTTGCGGAAGGGTGCGGCCGATGGGCATGGGCGTGTGCTCTTCACTCTCGAAGCAGAAGATGCCATTGTGCTCAAGCATGCCGCTCTTGCCATTCGGATGGGTGTAGCACATCATGGGCGACAGCGCGACCTTGCTGTAGATGGTGAAGGTGACCTGGACAGGCCCTTTTTGCCACAAACGCGGCAGCATCGATCCAAGGACCCCAGAACCCTCTCAGCTCTCAACCCTGCACCCTTTTGCAAGTAGGCTTCTCCCCCCAGAATGCTCCAGCGTGATTCTGCAGTAGTTTCCTGCCCCTGACAACAACAATACATCCAGAAGAACTGTGTAGATAAATTGCATCTTGCAATAGATTCGGCCATTTACTTGTGGCTTCATGTTAGGCGGAGGAGATTTGTCCGTAGTCTGCTAGAGGCCTGGCGCATTCAGGGTTTCAAGCCCTACTGGTCAGGGCTAAGGGTTTAGGGTTGCTGGACCTGGATGAACTGGCCCGCGGTGGAGATGAGCTTGCCGCTCTCGAAACGCCAACGGGTTGGCAAAAGACGGCTCAGGAAATTGCAGATGAGCCTGCTTGAGCGCGGCAGGAACCCTACCCATAAAGCCTACATGCAGAAAAAGCGGTGTTCACGCAACCACCACAAGACTGAACAGCAACTACCTGTGCACCTTCTCCCCGCAACTCTACCTGTAGCAAGCCTGGCGGGTTCATCCTTGCTTTTGCCGCTTTTTGATGCCATAAGGGGGTGTCCACCCTTTGGGGGTCTCCAGAGACGGGATTATACTTCAACTGGGGTATATAAGGGGTATACATCAATGTCGGGAAATACACATAAGGCGTGTGAAGGCATACACTGAATGACACTGAACCAGGGACGTTAGTCAGTGGTCCCGAGACTGAAACAGGAGACTTCTGTGACCCTGCAGCCCAAAACTCCATTAAGGTTTACGGTTTATCTCAAACAATTGAAAAAGACAAGTCTAAATTGACCTTGCTTGCAAACTGGAACCCTGAAAAACCCTCAGCCCTAAGAAGATGAGGAGCAGCCACACCAGAGCGCATGGCAGCATGGCAGAAGAGATCATGTAGCCGGACACTGGTGAGCTCGAGACGCAATCGAACCCAACGGCCTGTGAGAAGCTTAGGATTTAAGCCTTCGGGTTTAGGGTTCAGAGGCTTGTTTAAAAAGGTTTATAGGGGAACTTCCCCGCGAACAACTAGGGAAGAAGAGAACAATACCACTTGACAAGCTAGAGTTCAGGCCGACTTTTTCTCGAAAACAAGCTACTTGTCGGAGAGCCCAAGATTGGCGATCAAGGAAACAAATCAAGAAGGCCTGACTCGCAGTAAACCGCAGTCTCCACCCACAGGCTGATGCGCAGACATTTTGGGTCGTAGTGATATATAGGCCTAAACCTAAACCCTAAACTCCCTAATGAATTCAACGATAGCTCTCTCGAAAAAAGGAAAGAACATAAGCAAGGAGCTGAGAACTGTATCTGAGCCTAGGGGTAGGCCCTAGAAGATGCAACCATCAACTCTAAACCGGAGGAGCATCGTTGAAGTGTGGCGAAGCCGGTCCTTTAAGTCGAGAGTGAAGACGATGCTGAGATCGAACATCCACTGAAGCCTTTCGCGGATTCGTGACTAGTGGATTGGCGGTGTCCGAAGATAAGGGTACCCTTGTTGGGGCTCCTATCATAAGGATATGATTCGAGTATTTGTTTTGGGGTACCTGTGTTTCGATGCACGGTTGATTTCATGAGTCTTCGCAAACCTCCAAAATTCGGTTATTCATAGGGGTCTCAAGGTGTGACAGGGAGAGAGCGGTTTACCCATTACAGTACTGGTGTCTTCCTCATGATCCTAACATTATTAACCAAGCGAGCAAAGTGAGCCCCAAATCAACCATTAACAGGAGCTAGAACGGGGATCTTATAAGGGTGGAAACCCTGTCCAGATAACAAGGTAAGTGCTGCCAAAGACCCCCTTAATACAGCACCAGAAAGGCCCCAAATAAAAAGCAAATCTGCAAACTAGTGCGCGAATGTAGCGTGTTTTTGGGGCTTTTTTCCCATGCTCGCAGAGTTGGACCGTTGACCATCCATGAGAAGACCCCAAAATACCATTCTCAGGCGACGCCCCAATTTCTTAAGGAAATACCCCATTATTATCCTTCCTCACCATTCATATGCTTAGTTCGTCGGGTTTTGAAGGCTTCGTCTAGTTCTGGGCTTGCAAAGAGGGTCACCAAACACCTACACACGAGTAGAAAGCGCGGGCACTTCTCCTCCAGAGCTAGTCCTGGGTTGATGACTTTACAGAGAAGCTAGACCCAGGAGCAACCTAGGAATAAAAGGGTACCGTTTTTGGTTTAAAAAGGCTTTAAGGGAGCCGAAACCCCAATCAAAAAAAGGAATAAGGGCCTACTCTCACTCTGGGTCCTAGGAAGGACCCTGCCAAAGGATTCGATTATTTCCTTGCTGCAGCTGAGCAGCGAACCGCTTGAGGGTTCAGGGTTTATGGCATAGGGCTTGCTACAGTAGAATCCAAAAAAAATGTGAGCCCCAGGCTTACTCACTTAGATGGTCCTCCCCATTCTCTCCTGCAAGAGGGAGAATTAGTCAGGGCTCCGATTCTGGGCATTTCTCAATATAGGGGTACCCCGAACATACCCCCCAAAATAGGATGATCCTTACTTTAGGAACGCCATACATAATAACACGGTCCCAACACCCTCTTTGGAAAACCCCCATCATAACACCTTAAACCCTAAATCACCTAATACCCCTTCGTGGTTGCAGCCAAGCAGCTCAGACGGCCACGAGAACGATATGTAGCCCACGATTCCAATATTCCTAGAACCAAGGGACGCAAGAACCTTTTTAGGGGGATAGAAATGGGTGTGGGGTTTAGCGTCTAGACACGCAACGCGGGTGAAACTGCAGAAGGGAAGTTGCAACACTGCGATGCCACATGATGGGACAATCAGAGCTGTATTGGCATGGAAAGACCCCTCTCTATGCGCAAACATGGCAAACAGGGTTTGGGAGCCACCCTAGATAGCTGCTAGATGTTCTTCTAAGTAATTTTGCCTTTTGGATCTATGTCACAGGACTCATTAAGCCCCAACCTCCCAAAACCCAGCTGAAACTTTTTTGTTTTTTTGCTACGGTTGTTTTGCTTAGAGTGGCGCCTATGTAGGCTCAAAGCTTCTGCGAGCTTTCTGAATTCTTTTCTGAGCCTGCGGAAATGGAAGTTGTTCCACCTGGACCTAAATGAAAGGCTGACTGAGAGAGCTGAAAGCCCCTCCAGGGCCTCTCAAAAGGAATGTCCCACCTAGGGCCGCGAGAACTTAAAAAAACACTTGTGCCTCAAGGCCTATATAATGAGCACCAAACCCGAAACACCTAAGCCTAAGCCCTAAACCCTGCTATGCACACGGAGTAAATGCATCCTTTGGGGGAGGACACAGTGGAACAGACAATCTCTCACCGCATGTCAGCTAAGGGCGTTTATTTATGATAATCAGTGTTCACGACAGGGCAGGCACTTCGGGACAACAAGCGATTTGGAAAGCAACGCTATAGTAGACACGGAAGGACAAGTAATCACAACGATCCAGGGCTTAGGTTGCAGATGTACAGGAACCAGCTTCTTGAAGGAAAGAAGCAGCAAGCAAAACATGATCCTCCCCTAAACCCTGAACCCTAAACCCTAAACCCTAAACCCTAAACCCTAAACCCTCAACCCTAAACCCTAAACCCTCCTTCACACCTTCCATAAGCTCGAAAGCTCTCTCAGCCCGAGGCTGCACCATGCAAACGGTCATGGCCAGCGCGCAGGAGGTTGCCATCATGCTAGCCTGCCTGGGTGATCTTTTTTTTAGGGTTTAGGGTTTAGGGTTTGGGGTTTAGGGTTTAGGGTTTAGGGTTTAGGGTTTAGGGGTCACCTGCTTTAGGTTTCGGAGTGTAGGGTGCAAGAGCTTGCTGGGCTGCACGTGAAGCCATCAGTCGACTGATGGCCTCACATTCCGGCCAAGGGCCCACCAGGACAAGCCTAACCCCCCTATGCAACTTCGAAACCCCAAACCAACCCTCAACCCTAAACCCTTTGAATACTGGGTTCCGGACAATCTAAACCCTCTCTCTCTCTCCCTCTCTCTCTCTCTCGCTCTCTCTCTCCCTCTCCCTCTCCCTCTCTCTCAGGCGCTCGGTGACGAGAGGCAACTACACCAACACCTGAGAAGGATTCCGAGCCGACAACCCTTGAGCCGAAAATCCGTCTTGAGCCGTAGCACAATCTAAACCCTAAACCCGAAATCTAAACCCAAGACCAGCCGAGCTGCTTCATATTCATCATGTAGTAGAGCGTGGGGACGGACGCCATGCCGAAGAGGGCAGCAAAAACCCATCCCGCCAAGCTGAGTGCCCTTAGTCGACTCCTAACCCAGCTGTTTTTGCCCGTGCTGTTGGTGTTATTTATATACTCTTGCTAGGCTACATGGGGGGGGCCTATGCCATTTCAGAAATATACTCAGCACACTCCGGGAGGCGTGCATTCCTCGCAGCCGTCGGTGTCCCAGGACTTGCCATCCGGGCAGCGAGTGCATGGTACCCCTACAATTTCATCGACACAAGTGCCTGGCAAACCGCCTGGACAAGTCTTACCGGGAAGACACTTGTAGACACTGAAAGGGGAAGTCGCCTCACTGAAATATCCGCTCACGATGTCGGCGGTGCGACTGCCATTGCATATTAGCCCCTCTCCACAGCCGATGCACTGGCCCTCTTCATAGCGAGAGGTGCCAGGGCACACTATGCATTGCCCCTGGTACAAGTGCCCCTGGCACTGACATGCGTCCTCCGTGATGGCAGCAGAGAACCCGGTAGTGCGCCCTGGCGGACATTCCTCACACTCTGCCAGGCCTTTCTGTGGCCCATATCGACCCAAGGGGCACGTGTCACAAGCTGTGGAGGAAGTGTCGTTTGCATAGAACCCTGGGGTGCACGACTCGCAGCTATCTGCGCCGAGGACATTGCTGTAGCTTCCGGCGCTACATGGGTGGCAGCTTGCCATGCTGCTGTCATTTGCGAACGTGCCCGCATCACACGGCTGGCACTCCGCCATGCCTGCTGCGGCAAACCGGCCCGGTGCACAAGCAACGCAGCCAAGCTGCACTGAGAAAACGGTTCCCGGATAGCATTGGCTTATGCGGTCTGCAGGTACCCATGCGTCGTCCAAGTCGCACTGCTCGGTGCTGCACGGCACCCTCTTGCTGCTGTCGCTGGGGCTCCAGATCACATCCCTCAACCATGTAAACCCATCACTTGTCCACAGACCCAACTGGACGAACTCGCTCCCAAGCCCACCTTGGCTTTGACGGATTAGCTGCACACCATCGCGGTCACCGAACGAAGGTGGGATGGTGGTCGGCTCGATACTGTTGAATTGGCGTACCCGACCTGTCAACCCCATGTAGTCCATGTGCACGGACAAGTTGAACAAGGCCTGCTGAGATTCTACCGTCCCAACGGATGCCAGGGAATTGTTCTGCTCGATCAGGTAGGTGTGAAGCATGCCGGCCAAATGCCACAGCGAATCGTAGAAGTAGCCCGTGAACAAATCATCGCAAGCACCTTGTCCATTTGCAAACTGTTGACATCGAAGGTTGTACTCCTCCAGGGTCGACAGAGATGACACAAGTCGCTACACCCTGGCTCAGAAGGTTTCCCAGCACACCTCAAGAAACAAAGCTCTTATACTGAAGTTGTAGCTCGGACACATCGGAGATGTCTGACAACACGCGGCCCGACAAACCATGCACTGCACTGGTACTCCTTTTGGACTCAAGGCATCCCAATAGGGGTTATGGAGGTACGTGGTTCCACGTCTTAGAAGGGGCGCAGTAAAGTCTATAATTAGGGACGCGTAAGGTATATGCTCCCCCTAAAAGTCTGTGTTGAAAACAGATTGAGGGTCGTGCCGGAATGCTGCCAAGAGCCCCACCCTAAACCTTTACAATTTTGCCCAAACCCCCTACAAAATAGCTCTAAACCCTGAGCCCAAACCCCAACCCTCACCCCAAAACCCACAATCTTTTCGGCACCAAGGCGCTGGATGGGCGATCTGCCGATGACAATTAGCCCGCCAGACACCCTCAAGAGCTGCTCGGCAGTGCATGGGCATTCCTCAGTTACCCTAAACCGTGAGGCCTAAACCCTAAACTTTAAACCCAAAGGTTAGGTCTTTCCTTGCCACCCGCACTGCTGACTTAGGGTCTACCACACGTCAGCACTTCCTAGTGCAACAATTACAGAGCTCTGTCTTCAATTGGGAAACCCATGGGGGGCGATTGTTTGAGAATTGTACATGTACCTGAAGAATCCAAAACCCTAAGAATCCTACAAGGTCTTACAATAATCTACAAAAATCTAGGGGTTGGGTTGTTAAGGTATGCCAGGTGTGCACTCAAACCAGAATTCATCGCAGTCGGCAGCCACGTCCGAAGACGGCTTTGCGGCGTGACGCCGCACTTTGTACAGAACCCGAAGCCCCAAAAGGTCCCTCACACCTTAGCCCTAAAAAAGCGCCAAAAGGCCCTAAACCCTAGTTAGGACTAACCCTAAACCCTAGCAGAGTACGTGGAGCAGTTTAGTGGACGCCGTTTCCACTCACAATGGAAGGAATGGCAGGGTTCCATTCTTTTTCACCGCCAAGCTGAGCTAAAAAAGAACATGTCCGATTTGCCGGGGGAAACTGTGCTCAGGAACCATAGGATTGCTGAGGATCACTGAGGCTTTTCCAAGAGCCCTGAATTTAGCGTAAGTCAAGATGCTGGCCTTCCTGCCCATGTGGTCGGCAGTCCGTTCACCCAGTTCCCGAACGCGGCTTCAAACCACACATAGTCCTCTTCTGCTTCAAAGGTTTGGTTTAGGGCTTAGGGTTTACGAGGATGTTTTCAGGCGCTTGGTCCAGGGTTTCGGCTTTAGGGTGGTCCTCTTCCGCTCAGCGTTGCTGGGTTCCCTGAAAAAAGGGAACAGCAATTTTCCTTCTTTTCTGTGAAGAATGCTGTAGACTAGAAGGGATCCCCCCCCAAGAAACGGTTCAGGGTTAAGGGTTGAGGCTTTAGGCTTTAGGGTCTGGGCTTCGGGTTTTTAGCTATAGGCCATAGTGCTGTCCCAGGTTGTCATTTTTGGCAACAGCAAGCGTGGGGTTTGACAGATCTTGGAGTGTAAACCTGGTAGGGGATAAAGGCTTCAGTTGGGGGTAAGGTTTCAACTTGGGTTTTGGGTTTAGGTTTAGGCCGAGTCTTTAGGGCTTAGATGTTTAACATGTTTAACACACGCATCAACATCCCTCTTGGCCGCGGCCTTTCCTGACTTCTTACCCTAAACCCTAAACCCTAAACCCTAAATCCTAAACCCTAAACCCTAAATTGAACCTAACTCCGAGCTCCCTTCAGCCACGTTGTTGCAAGTCATGCCTGAAGTAACCTTACGCCTTGTCAACCAGAATCAGGGTTAGCCTTGAACCCACTTGAAAATACAAAAAACAAAAAAATATATATATATATATATATAACAAATATGTATATGTGTATATATAAGGGTTCCTTAGAATACACGATAATGAGGCAAATAGAACATATACCGAAAGCCAACCTAGGAATGTAAACCAGAATCCAAAAGACTGCACAAGTTCATAAACCAAACAATTAAGGACACCTTGCTTTTAAAGATACATATCTGTATATATATATATATCTATCTATCTATATATGTATATATATATATATATATCCATGCCTCCCCCCCCCCCCCCCCCCCCACGTACCCGAGTAAAGACCTTGACAGAAGACAATGGCCAGAGACATTCCTTGATGCTAACAGCTAGCAGGAGTACGCAGGTGACTTACACGAACAGTTACGAAGTGACAACAAGGCAGCGAGGGAAGATGTGGCAGAGGGAAGATGTGGCAGTTGATTAGTCTTCTGAAGGGTTAAGTAAATGGACTAAGTTCGTACACCATTAACTGACTAAAGGAAACCAATGAACTAAATTTACTTTTCCTACTTTAATAACGGCCTTTTGTTTGCTGACATTAACATAGTTAAAATAGTGTCAATTGTGGAATTAGTTGACTGAAGGATGAAGTAAATGAATGAAATTACTCAGTAGACCCGTAGCTAAATTAAGTCGATAATTTACAAGCACGATCATTACAAACAACGTGACTTGTGTTAGTTTGACTAGTTTAATTACTTTAACGAATACTTGAATAGGCCTTCCCAAGAATTAGAAACTAAATTATTTTTCTAAGAGACAACTACATACATTGAGCTAGCTGCTAGCTAAATTTCAATCTTTTTTTTGCTGCCGCCTCAACTAGACTAAACGAATGACAGTTGTAAAGCACATTAGATGAATTAGTCTACTAATCAGGAAACTTGTTCTAATCGCGTCATTTAGGCATTAATTCGAATAAATACAATATTTTCCAAAATAAATGTAATTGTTTTCGCTAACAAATGAAGTGCTTTGTTAACTGAGGGTTTTATGTTGATATTAGCTTACGTAAAATATCTTCAGCAGTTTAATTGGTTTTTCTGCAGGGCTAAGTAAAAGAATGAGAACTGTAAACCCTGAACTAAATCAAATGAATGAACTAAGTGAATTGCAAAAGGTACTTAACTCACTTAAGGCTTGTTGAAGTTGACTTAGTCAAAAAAAGAACTTCAATGCCTTAATTTGTTTACTGGAGGGTTTAAGTACATGAATGAGGTTAGTAGACCCCAAACAACATGAATTCACGGAACCAAAGAACAGAAATCACGGTCTTAGAAAATAGTTGAATTAATTAGTTTGATTGCTGCTTAACCGTGCTGTCTGCAAACACCAAAAACCAATTCTGGGGGCCTATACGAGCAGGCCCTCTTCAAAAGATTGGCTTTTTAGGGGCAGTACAGCACTTTCAGCCCCTCAGGCATTCAAAGTGCTGTACTGTCACTAAAAAACCAATCCCAGAAGCAGAAAACGCCGTACTGTCCCTAAAAAACCTACAAGAACCAATTCTGAAGGCCTATATGGACAGGTCCTCTTCAAAACATTGATTTTTAGGGACAGTACAGCACTTTCAGCACCTCAGGCCTTCAAAGTGCTGTACTGTCCCTAAACACCTATCTTCTCATGAGGGCCTGGCTGTATAGGCCTCCAGAATGTTTTTAGGGACAGTACAGCACTTTGAAGGCCTGAGGTGCTCATTTTCAAAAATCTCCATAAACCCTGTACTCCAAGATCCCAAACCCTGAACTCCAAGATGGAGGTGGATGACTGAGGGCTGCACCTGAACACAAAGAAAGGGGCAGGGATATAGGTTCATGGGCCGGCCCGTTCAAGACGCACGCATGTCCGCGTCCAAGGCGCACACAGCGTTTCACGGCCTTTCCCGCGTCTAGGCCGCACACACGTCTTGTTTTCATTGGTTTTTACCACGTATTTCGAAGCTTTCGGATTCCGGAAACTTTGTCAGGTTGGCTGCCCAGGGCTTTCAGAGCGTGTGCAGCTTGGAAGTGCCGCGTGCAGCTTGGAAGTGCCGCGTGCAGCTTGGAAGTGGCTGGGTTTAGGGTTAATTTCAAGGATCTTGGCACCCAAACGAGCCCCACGCTCGTTTGGGTGCCACGAGTTAAGGTTTAGGGTGTAGGGTTTAGGGTTTAAGGGGTTTAGGGGTTTAGGGTTTAGGGGTTTAGGGTTTAGGGGGTTTAGGGTTTAGGGTTTAGGGAAGAGCAGGTTCTCTTTGGCGGCTTCTCGGAAGAGGGTTTAGGGTTTAGGGTTTAGGGTTTAGGGTTTAGGCTTTAGGGCTTAGGGTTTAGGGGTTTAGGGGTTTAGGGTTTAGGGTTTAGGGTTTTAGGGTTTAGGGTTTAGGGTTTAAGGTTTAGGGTTTAGGGTTTAGAGTTTAGGGTTTAGGGCTTAGGGTTTAGGGTTAGGGTTCAGGCTTTGGGCTTCAGGGTTTAAGCTTTAGGGTTTAGGGTTCAGGGTTTAGGGTTTAGGGTTAATTTCAAGGATCTTGGCACCCAAACGAGCCCCATGCTCGTTTGGGTGGCACGGGTCGGAGAGGGCTTTCAGGGGTTTTAAGGCTTGGGCCTTAGGGTTAAGGGTTTACGGTTGAGGCTTCAGGGTACTAGAACACTCAGCCTTGCGCAGGTCCCCAACGTTGCGCGTGCACCTTGGACACAGACGGCGCGTGCACCCTGGAAGCGGCCGCGCGTGCAGCTTGGAAGTGGCGCCCGGTACAAGGGGGGGTACCATACATATATATATATATATACATGTATATGGTGTATCCTTTCGTTTCGTTCGAAGTAGACCGAAAACCCTCATCACGAAATCAAACGCAGCGCTAGGGTTCAGGGTATTTCAGGGTATAGCGCTTAAGATTTGTTTGGGGCTTTCGGGTTAAAGTGCAGGGCTTCGAACTCAAATTGGCCCCCCCCCCCTCTCCCCAAAGTGTAAAGCAATCACCACGTGTCCGGAGGGAGCATGTTCCGCAAGTAGAACTGACACATCATCCACATGGCGGTGAACTCCTGAGAGAGGATGCAGCCCTAACTAGAACCGTCCCAAATCCCTAAACCCTTCAAATCCCCGACCACAAACGTTCGGGAAACCCGATAAACCCAGAAGTATACGCACGTGCACAGGGTAGGTTTGCTGTGGAGATGGTCGGTTTCAAGGGTTTAGGGTTTAGGGTTCAAGACCAACAAGCAATAGCAAGTCTGAAGTGCTGCTGCCCTGCCATGACCATGGGGATCAACATCTGTCTCCATGCTTCCAGAGTATCATCATTACAATATACCAGTACAGTCCTTATGCCTATACGCCCTACTAGTAGACCCTTAGGGTTTAAGGTTTAGGGTTCGCCGTCAACGTCTTGAAGCCCCAACAGGCTCTGGGTTCGGCGTCGCTATTCTGGCAGGCTCTGTGCAGACGAGCCCTTCTCATGGCCAGTTATCGCGATTCAAGAAATCGGGCTATGATCATGGAATCTTGTTCTTAGAAGGCTGGATGAAGGTGCTTGTTCTTATTTAGGGTTTAGGGTTTAGGGTTTAGGGTTTAGGGTTCTTATTTAGGGTTTCGGGTTTTGAGGGCCTAGGGTTTAGCGTGGAAGCAGGTGCTGTCATCCTACAGCTGGGGACACCGGAATCTCACAGCCTGGGCTGTTCTTGCAATCCTTTCCTCTACCTCAAACCATAAACCCTAAACCCTAAACCCTAAACCATCAACCCTAAACCCTAAACCCTAAACCCTGGTTTCAGGCTCTTGCGCCTCCGCCCCAAGCACTGGCAGGAAGTCACAATGCAGGGAAGAGGATTTAGGGTTAGGGTTCCTATAGAGTGCCTGGGTGTATCTATATTGTATCTATATTGTATCTATATTGTATATACTTATAGGAGGATATAAAGTAGCTAATTCGCTCATTCCCTACTAAGGACCAGTAGGTAACCATACAAGTCCCAAGACTCCGGAAGCACCATGAGGTTGATCTTCGAGTCGCGTGCGAGAACCTCCTGGAACAGCGGCTAAGGGTTTAAGATTCCAGGGTTGCGGGTTGTGTGCTTAGGGTTTGCTCACGAAGGCTGTGCTTGCAGCTTAGCTTTGCCTGGCGAATTTGGTGGCAGAGGAGGGCAGAGCACCCCCTCCCGCTCCCCCCCCCCCACTTCCAATCCTAAACCCTATCACCAAAGTTCCTCATGTTGCTGGTCCTGAGTGTAAACGCCAAGATGTCAAGTGCCGCTTTTGCCATGCTCGGTTCAACTGTTTCTTCGAAAATGCCACAGCCCCTCGCAGCTGTCTCAGCGAGAGGCGACCACTTGGTGGTGGTGGTGGTGGGGTGTTATAGAAGAGCACTGTGCCAAGCTTTATGACATCATCTCCAAACTGGAAAGATGATAGTCGTGCCCTGCTTCTTGGCGTCACCATACTTGAGATAAACTCACTGGTGTGTTGATTAAAACATCAGCTGCTTCACCTTATATGGATCGGATCGACTCCCCAAGTCCGCGTCCACCCTAAACCCTAAACCCTAAACCCTAAACCCTAAACCCTAAACCCTAAACCCTAAACCCTAAATCCTAAACCCCAAGCCCTAAGCCCTAAACCCTAAACCCTAAACCTTAAACCCTAAACCTCGAACCTTGGGATGTTCTCCCTTACACTATCAGTCCTTAATGGGGATTAGAATGGGGAGTACTATAAACCCAATTAAGGACTGTTAATATAAGGGGGAACATCCCAACTTGAACCCCTTTTGAGCTAGGACTCGGCTTGATTTGCAGCATTTGAAGCAGATAATTGGGGAGCCCCACCTCTCTGCCATTGAAGTGCCCGGCAGGGGTAGGTTCGGTGTGGTGTCTGTTTGCGTTAAATCGAGCAGCGCCCTACTCAACTCTGATCAACTCGGAACCCAAATCACCGAATAATAACAAAGAAACTAGGGTTTAGGGTCTAGGGCTTAGACCAAAACGGCATTTGATTCCAAAGCGCTCAACTCAACCCCAACACTTTAGCACACCCTGAACCCGAACCCTAAACCCTAAAGCCTAAACTCTAAAACCCAATTTGCTTATGTGAAGAGGGTGAATGGAGTCCTCCGCTGTGCTGATGGCAGCTTCCGGAGTCTGCACATTTCTGTTGAGCAAGATCCTTGGGAGGGGGTTTAGGATCCCTAAACCCTAAACCCTAAACCCTAAACCCTAAACCGTTTGAGGGAAAGGGCTGGCTTCGGACGGCCTGTTCACAAGTGCCGTGAAGAGGCACGATGGCGCCGCAGAGAACGTTAACTTCCTACGAGGTAACATCTCCAAGTTTCGGAACAAACCCTCAACCCTAAACCCTGAATACCCATAGCCATAGCTTTCACCCCTCCGAGGTGGTGGTGGGTCTTGATCTTCGGTGCAGGAGGGGGGTGTCAGGGTTTGGCGGTTTTGTCCAAGCAGCTTGCAGCAAAAGGTTTAAGGGCCTCTCACGCTCGTAGAAGCCTCGGAAGAAACCCTAAACCCTAAACCCTAAAAACCATCCCAAAAGGTTCCCGTATAAGCATAGCTCACCGTAAGTCCACAGCCCTGATTCCTTGAAGTTCGGCTGTCTTCCAGACAAAATTGGCCTGGGCACGTCCAGTCATATGTGCCGGCGTCGATGTCCCGCTGTAGCAGCTCGAGAAACGAGGCCTGTCCCCGAAACCCTAAACCCTAAATCCCTAAAGCCCTAAAGCCCCAGATCCTCATCCCTAAATCCATTTTTGTTCCCTAAAAACCCCAAACCATCCCTAAATCCTAAACCCCAAATCCCTGAATCCCGCAACCCTAAACCCTACATCCCCAAACCCTAAACCCTCAATTGCAGTTCTAAAGGTCCTTGCAAGGGATGGACCATGGGACAAGAGCCCTGTAATCAAAATAGTTTCCCTGCTTGAAAAAGAACTTAGGGTTTAGGGATTTAGGTTGAGGGTTTAGGGTCAGCCAATTGCCCACCTATCGCAGATGACAAGCCAGAAAGCGGACAGTTCGCGCTGCTCAAGTGACAAGCTTTTGCCACCTTCCTCTGGAATCTTCATCTAGCCACAGCACTGCTGACTGACCCCAAACCCTAAACCCTAAACCCTAAACCCTAAACCCTAAGCCCTAAACCCAAAGGCCTTGGCACCATTTGTCCACTCGTGGCCATCCATGACCCCAACACGCTTGAAGCCGAACCTCTGGTGTTCCAGTCTTAGGGTTTAGGGTTTAGGGTGGGGGGGGGGGGGGGGGTTTTGAAGTTTTTGGGTTCAGGGGTTTAGGGTTTTGGGGGCTTTGGGTTTTGTAGTTTGGGTTTGGGGGTTTCGGGTTTGGGGGTTTGGGGATTTGGAGGGTTCTGGGGTCTCAGGGTTTGGGGGCCCCCCTGGCTGTGGATCTTTTGGGCTTTTGGGAGGATTTCGGGCTTTCGGGTTCAGAGGTTGGAGGTGGAGATCCCCAACCTTTGAGCCCGAACCCTAAACCCTGGGTGCGTAGGGACGTGGGGTTTTGAGGCTCTTTGGGGCAAGGCTTGGAATATAGGAGCCGTGGCTTTTTGGCCACTTTGATGCTTCAGGATCATGGCACTCCGACGCCAGAATTTTGAGCGTTTTAGGGTTTAGGGTCCTAAACCCTAAACCCTAAACCCTAAACCCTAAACCCTAAACCCTAAACCCTAAACCCTAAACCCTAAACCCTAAACCCTAAACCCTAAACCCTAAAACCCTAAGCCCTGCAAAGGAGACAGGTGCGGAAACTTGGGTAAAGCAAGTCGCAACTTCATGAGCTCATAGACCGGCCGGACCTCGAGGGTCCAGTTCGGGTTTAGGGTTTAAGGTTTAAGGTTTAGGGTTTAGGGTTTAGGGTTTAGGGTGCGGAGGTTGCCTTTATAGGTTTGGAAGGGTGAAACACCCATAACCATTTTGGCTCAAGATGGCCCAGAGCCGTCAGCTTTCGTGCAAAAAGTCCGTGTTGTTGGGGTTGGATGTTACGGGTGGTAGTAGTCCCGTCCCTTCTCCCTTAGCCTATACCCCTGGAGTTGGGTGCTTCTCTTTCTGGTTCGATCTGGGAAATTCACATCATAGGCAACTGTCAAGGGTTGATTTCCTTTCCCTTTCCCCTTCGGTTGCCCCCGTAGGTTATGAGCCCAAGCGGTTCCCTGCGGTAAGTTATTTTCATTCAGGGCTTGGTGTTAGAAAGCAATGTCTTCGTCCAAGCAATGGCTCCAGCCCTCCATGGTGGATGGTGAAGATGGTGGAGCTGAAAATGGTGCAACTGGTTCTTCCGCGCAAGGAGTGGTGCAAGAAGCAATGGTGCCTGGCACTACGGTGGAGCAAGTGGGAAGATCAACGGTTGCAGAGGCCCCCAATGAGGGCGTGGTTCCCAATGCGGGAAGTGGTGACAGAGCTGAAGGTGAAGAGCGCGTAGTTTCTGTACTGCCGAAACCTGGGGAGAAGAGGCCTTGGGATGAGACTGGTGGTATGGATCGCGAGTTGGAAGCGGTGGTCCTGCGGGTACTGCGAAAGTACAACTATCAACCTTCATCTTCGTCTTCTGGTCGAGAGATGGTTAGTCGAGAGACGCAGACTGTCCTTAGTGGTGAGATACCCTCAGCATCAAGAACGTCTCAGAACAAGATGCAAGGGAGTTCTTCTGTGGATTCCATTGGTGGTGATCACAGCGAGAGAAAGGAAGGAACGGGTGTGGACGGTTTGAACACTACACCGGTCGCTGAGTTCGCGATGGATGAGGAGGAAATCCTGGAAATGGAGTCTGAGAGGCTACGGCAGTTGTTCGAAGAGGCTGATGAGATGCGCCAAGTTTCTGACCAAGATGGGTTTAGGAAGGATGAGCGTCTTATCTGTGACTGTGATGGGATGCACTGGGAGTGGCATCTCCACGAGGACGGGAGACAGTATTACTATTGCCTGGAGACGCAGGAAAGCAAGTGGACATTGCCTGGAAAAGGTGAAAAGATGGTGGATGAGAAGGCGGTTGAGTCTTTTTCTGGTAATGGACTGGAGGCAGAGACTGAGCTGGGTCCTACATCGCCTACACCGACGGCTGAGTCCACTAGGGCGTTTCAGGGTAGTGTAGATGGTATTGAAAATGATTTTCCCTCTACCAATAGGGATAGCGGTTTAAAGGGTGGTGGAGCTACCCTGACCTCGGGTTCCCTGGGCGAGGAAGGAATTTCTGGACTGCAGGAAGAAATGGCTAGTGGACACCTGGATCAGGAGAGAGACAAGGATCTTTCAAAGGGTGACGCAGCGGTGGAAACTGCAAGTCAGGACAGGATGATCTCCAATGTGGAGGAGAGTGGAGCATCGGCTACTGAGGAGCAAATGGTGGAAAAGAAATTTGGCACTTAGGAGGTTGGTCCTGAAAAGAAGGAGGATGGAGAAAAAGCGTTAGATGTTGCGAATGAAGAGGTTTCTCCGTCTGGTGCCATTGTTCCTGCCATTCAAAAGAAGGATGATGCTTCAGAGGTAGCTGGGGATGCGGCCAATGTGCCAGAAGAGGAAAATGGAGCCTGGAGCGCCGATGAGGTGCGGGCAAAGGTGCCTGAGAAGACCCAGACTATGGATGTCAAAAGGGCTGAGGCACTTGGTGGTACAAGCTCCGCAACCGACTGTGACAATGGGGAGCAGGTCGTTGTAGCGACTGATGATGGAGATGCTTTGGTGGACGCACCTGTGCATTCTGAAGTCAGAAGCGAGGAGCAGAAAATTTCCAGTCACACCGGGGCCAATGTCGCAGCTGTGGCTGATGGTGGCGGTGATACTCCTTTGGTAACCATGGAGGATCCTGCAGCGGAAGAAAGCATGCCTGCTGTGGATGATCTAGTAAGGGACCCGGATGGGGTCTCTCCCTCCAAGAAGGAGGAAACATTGCCGACTGGTGGTTTGCAGGAAGTCGACACCGCGCAGACTGCAACAGAGGAGGCAGAGCCATTGGCTGAAAAGGAAGATAGTCCTGAATCCCTGGAGCGCAAGGTGGATGATCGTGCGGAACTCGTTCAGGAGCAGGACGAGCAGCTTGCTCCAGAGGTTGAAAAGACGGTTGCTTCTGGAGCTGAAGAAAATTTACCGGTTCCTGCAGATCAAAAGGATGAAGGGCCCAATGTGGCAACTCCGTCGGCTTCTGGAAAGCATTGTTTTCAGACAGGTGATACACTGATTGGAACGGTGCACTGCATCAATCTTGATGGAGTATGCATGTCTATGGGAGACATACGTGTGTTGATCCCTGAGACTGAAAATAGTCACCTTTCTCGAATTGGTGATACCGTTGAAGCAATGGTGGATTACATTGCTAATGATGGTGTTATTATCATGAAGTTAGACCTGGACCTGGTAGATGATCCGTCCTCTTCAGAAACACGAAGATGGAAACGCGGCAGGTCTGACCAATGGTGGGGTCATTTATGGTATTCCGGTCAATGGGACCAAGATTCCTCCTCATATGGTCAATGGGACTGGGGAGAAGAGGAGTGGCAGTGCTATGGCTGGACTCCTGACAAGTGGACGTCTGCTGAAGAATGGGAAGAAGGCGTTCTGAAGCAGTTCTACGGCGAAAAACTCATTGTGATGCTGGGCCACATTGAAGTGGAAGAGGATTACCGTGGCAAAATCACTGGGATGATACTGGGGCACAGTATAGATGAGATTAAATTGCTGGTGGCAGAATCGGCACGGTTGAATACTGAAGTTCAGGAAGCTTACAATATTTTGAACGCAGCTGGGTGGAAACCAGACAAGAGTGAGGTGGTACAGCGAAAAAGGGGGAAATATCCTCGCCGTCTGTATCACAACGCCATGTACGACCTGGTCCGCGAGAGGAGAATTTTCAGTGAAGCGGCTACGGGTGAAGCGGTGGCGAAGGTACTGAACAAAGGTGATGAGGAGTTCTGGTACGAGTTGTGGATGGATACAAAGAAGATTTTGCAGGAGGTAGAAGACATGGTGGAGTCCATGCGTGTGCAAGAGGGAAGACCGATTGAGGATTATTTGGACCCCTCAAAGCACAAGAAGGTTCACATGGCGCCAAAAGTGTCAAAAGGGTATTCAAAGCTGTGCACCTACTACAATCGAGGGTACTGTCGCAATGGGGACAAGTGTGCCTTTGAGCACCGCAAGTATGGTGAAGGGTGGCCCGAGAAAGGTCCAATGGGATCTGAGACTGGCAACAATGCTGGTGATGATGATGAGGATACTGCTGGCCCCCCAACTGAAGAAGGTGCAGTGGATGATGCGCAGGAAGAAAGGGAGGATGCAGCCTTCCGGGCAAAGTACAACTATGGCCAAGGGGCGTCGAAGGGTGATTGCGCACCTGGTGAACCAAAGAAGCAGCTCTGCTTGTATTACAACGATGGTGGTTGCAAGTATGGTGCAAACTGCAGGTACGCCCATGATGACAATGCTGTCCTAGAAGGGACTCGTGAGGCTGGAAAATCATGGGACAACGCTTCTCGAAAAGCTATTAGAGATGCCAGTTTCACAATGTCTGTTATGACTTCCACATTCATGGGAAATGTCGGAAGGAGGCATCTTGTTGCAGATATTCCCATGATGCCCTGAGTGCTGAAAGGTTGAAGCAGCTACGTCATTTGGTGCAGGTTGCAAACCAAGTGAGATTTGCGCAAGATCGAGGATTGGATTTGCCAGACCGCAGTAGCTTCAAGCCACCTACAGTTGAAGAAACGGAGACTCCAGAATCGCAATCGTTGCAGCTGACCAATGTGTCGAAAAAAGGGGAGGGAAGCGATTCTCCGCTGGATGGTGCGAAAAAACTGGAGGCCGACGTTCAAAAGGATTCGGTGGCAGGATCCTCCACGGTACCAACTTTAGACCCCGACGAGCCGATAGAGAATTGGTTGGCGCGTGGTCACGAACTGTGGTTCTACACTCCCCGTATTAGGGAGGTGATGTTTGAGCTTGCAGTGTCCAAAGTGGGAGAACTCCAAAAGTTCATTTATGTGGAAGATTTGGTGGAAAAAGGAGTCAAGCTGGTACATGCCTGTAAACTCCTAGAGGCGGTTGGAGGTGTCAAATATCGGCCAATGTCGCCGGATGGCTGTGTGTGCAGACGTTGCAACTGGCGGGAGTTGGAATGCCGCCGGTGGACCCTCCAAAGAAGGGACATAGATCCTGGTCAAACCCAGTGAGAAGAGGACGACCCCTGCTCAATCGGAAACAGGTGCAAAAAGTGGCGCGCTCTTATTCGAACAGGCGCAAAAAATCAAGGGAGCCGGTGGAGGCACCCAAGCCATTGCCGCCGAAGCGGCCTGGTGGTTTGTCTTATCGCTTTAGCACAGCATGGGCGGATGTGAAGGACGACGATGATCAAGAATTACGTCTGGTGTCCTATGCTGATTCTTCGGATGAATCTCTTGCCGACGAAGCCGCCTACACGAAAATGATGGTGGAAGCCCTTGTGCAAGAAAGGGACAACCAGAGGCCTGGGACGCGTGGCAATGGTTCACGGTCTGGCTCTCAAAGCTCCAATGGGGGCCGTAAAAAAATCAAGCGCTCTTGGCGAAAAGCGCGACAAAGCGTCGCGGGGGGAGACCCGCCAAGATTTTTCGGAGTCAGCATCTTCCAAATCAGAGGTTGCAGTCTCAAAAGGGACCGTGGATGGTTCTGAAGAAGGTGGTTCGCTGGTGGTGGGCTCCGCGGATGAGGTTCTACCTGGGCAATGTGTTGCTGGACGGGAGAATGGTTCTGAAAGTGCTGGTGTTCTACCTGGGCAAAATGTTGCTGGACAGGGGACAGTACTTCAAGGAGCTGGACAAGTTACTGGCGGAGAGACTGAACAACAGGTTGGTGGAAGTGGAAGCAATGGTCTTCAAGCTGACACTTTGAAATCATGTGGTGACGCCGAGGCAGACAAAGAAAAGCTTCTGCTGCTATCCAAAGGCGTTCGCCCAGGAAGGACTTTGCAAGAGGACAGAACAAAATGGATCGAAACTTGGTCATCAGTGCCTCTTCGGATGGTTCAGGTGTGGGGGAGACGAGCCTTGCGTTGGTGGAGAGCTCAGGTCCTGCAGCGGCACAAAGTCCTCAAGAACAAATGATCTTGTACGGTCCTCGGTGTGATCCTCGGGTGTTCGTACAGTCGCAAACGACAGAATGGGTGATGCGCCGTGGGGTGACAGATCGTGCAATATGGGGCGCAATCGCGTCAGAAGCGAGGAAGGTATGTATTGGTATGGTGGAGGTGGATGAGATGAACCTCAAGCTTCAAACGGGAAGATTCCTTCTCGAAAGGAGAGAAGAAGGACATTACGGTGATTTGCATCATCCGTATCACGCAAATCCTTGCTTGCCACCAGTGGGTAATGGCCCGCTTTCTATTATGGGAGTTTTGCTATCCCCCGGATTGCAACAAAAGTTTACAAATCCGGATACCTTTGGGTCGGCAATGGAAGCAATTGCTTTCGAGTGGAATGGTATCCCAGAGATGAAAGTCCATGTGGAGTTAATGGACCGGGTAGCAAGACTGGTGTCTCCGTTCACCGTCCTGGTGAGTCAAGGGTCGGTGGCGTATTCATCTTTTCTCTGGCAGCATGGAAGGGAGCGGGTGATGGAATTCTTTCGGGCGGCTACATGCGCTGACGAACTGGAAGAGTTGTGGAGACAAATCCCTGAGGACGATGTGGAGGTGGATCCGTCAGGATTCATGCTGGAGTTCTCTGGACAGGATGAGTCGGTTCTTGAACAAGGGAATGGTGAGGTTCCTAAATCTTCTGCTGGTACTAAAAGCGAGGTGAACGACGAGGAGGCTGCTGGCAAAGCGCCGGAAATTTCTCCTGAAGAGGAGACAGCGGATGGTTCATCAAGGAGGAAGACCACAAGGTTTTTCTTGCAGACGATCTATGAGAACATCTATGACAAGTTGTTCAAGGAGCCTTCACTACAGGACCGGCAGACTGGGAGGATGTTTGACAGCACAAAAGGTTATTGTGGTGAAGGGCCGTTAAAAGATGGTCCGGATCTTTCCACAAAGGGAATGCCCTGGATTCCAGAAGATCACCTCGATGGAGTGGTCACAAAAAAGCTGGATCAGTCCTCGGAACAAGGGGAAGATGGTTGTCTTGAGTCCGAAAGCGAGAGTCAACCTGAACAAATTCAAGTAGAGGATACATCTACTGATAAAGTTCTTAGGGCTCTGTGGTGGAAAGGATATAGGGCCGGATATGGGAGGTTGTGTCGCGCGAATGGGATCGGTCTAAAAAATGGGACCGTAAGGGTTCCCATTAGGGCTGCGTGGAAACCTGGTTCCAGAAAACCCTTCTTGAAGAGGCCAATCATTCGTGGATCGGCTCAGCATGGCTCAGGAGCTGATGGAAAACCGTTCATGAAGGTGGTTGAACCAAGGCCAGGCTTTCCGGCTGTTCCTGATATGCCACGCACCACTAGCGCACTGGGTGAACAGGATAGTTCTCAACTTCTTGGCAATGTTCAAGTAGGGCAACCTCGCCCCATGGATCGTTACGAGGCTGAACGACAAGCAAAAAGGCAGAGAGGTTTCTGCTATTGGTTCAGCAGGGGAAGAAATAGTTGCAAATTTGGTGAGGACTGCAAATTCATTCACTCAGAGGATGATTTAGCGCTACCGGCGTATTGGTGCAAATATTATGTGGCTGGAAGAATTTGTCACGCTGGTTCTGAATGCAGGTATTCGCATGATGCAGCTGGTGTGAGGTGTATTCAGTTTTACCAGACGGGGAAGTGCCGTCGTGGTGATGAGTGTGTTTTCGAACATGGTGAAACCTTGGGTGTGCAAAGGCCCAGGTCTCCAAGGACGCTGCCAAGGGATCGTCCAAGGAAGGGCGATGGTGGAAGAGATGGTGAAAGACAAGGTTCTCCTGAAAGGTTCGAGGAGGAGGATCAAATGGTTTATGACGACGATACCAGGCTGATGGAGTTGCTGATGGAAGCGGTGTCATATACGTCTGGTGGAAAGACAGATTTGGCCTGCGCTGAAGCAGAACCGGTGTTCAAGCTCATCAAGTTTGAGGGTGACAAGGAGCAGAGGGATGCTGAATGGTGTTCCTGGACATCCGGTATGTTGACTCCATTGGAACTTCACGATATTGTGAAGTCATTTGAGGTACCGTTGGAAGAGGTGGAAGATTGGACGAATGACCTGAGGATCTGGTACGACAAAGCCAACCTGGATGAAGGGAGCACTCCCAAAAAAGGGAAAAAGAGGTCCCTGGAAGGAGAGTTCGTCAAGGTTGCTCCTGAAAAGGAGGTGGTGCCAGAAACCTCGGAGACAAGGGTCAACGTCGATGAAGAGTTGAAGAAGGCCAAAAAGAAAAGGAAGGCTGCTGCAACTGAGGATCCTTATACCCTCTTAGTTCCAAAGCCAAAGAAAAGGCCAGCCAAATTGGAAAAGGGTGGATCATCATCCGTGGCAGTGGTTTCTGAAAAAGAAGGGTCTTCTTCTCGGGCGCGTGCGAAGACTGGTGTTTCAGGTAAAAGCCAGAAGAAAGAGAAGAGCCAGAGTCCCAAAAAGAAGGAGGTATCAGTGGTGGAAGGTCCTGAAGAGAAGGATCGTTCCTCTGGAGCAGACGCGCAAGCGTCTACTGCTGCTGAAGTTGGGCTGGAACAAACATGTCCTGCAGTGGAGGAGGCGAAGAAGGAGGGGATGATCTCCTCAATTCAGAGGTACGTGATGGATCCTATTCTTACAGTGTGGGACCTGGAGCAAATTCTGATACGCCTTCGCTTGAGCATTGATTCTAATCGGGCTAAGGAAGCGAAAGAGTGAACATCGCTGAAGGACCTGAGGTGGCTTTTCTTTTTCTGGTGATTGGCGGACTGGAACACTCAAAGCGCTGCAAAAATGAGTGGTGGTTACTATTAAGGGTATGGAAACCCCTAATGGTAGAGATGACCCAATGTGGTGGTAGAATTTAATTCATTCGTCCAGGATGACGTAAAACCCGTATTTGCAAGCCAATGGCTACGGCCCGTCCATCGGACGTTAAACATATTGGGGCCGCTGTCTTAAGCGACAGTTTTTGGCCAAACTCAAAGGGACCGGCACCTCCAGAAGTGTCCTGAGAGAATCTCAGGACAGGGGGAGTGCGGAGGTTGCCTTTATAGGTTTGGAAGGGTGAAACACCCATAACCATTTTGGCTCAAGATGGCCCAGAGCCGTCAGCTTTCGTGCAAAAAGTCCGTGTTGTTGGGGTTGGGTGTTACGGGTGGTAGTAGTCCCGTCCCTTCTCCCTTAGCCTATACCCCTGGAGTTGGGTGCTTCTCTTTCTGGTTCGATCTGGGAAATTCACATCATAGGCAACTGTCAAGGGTTAATTTCCTTTCCCTTTCCCCTTCGGTTGCCCCCGTATAGGGTTTAGGGTTTAGGGTTTAGGGTTGAGGGTTGAGGGTTAGGGTTTAGGGTTTAGGGTTTAGGGTCCCAGGAGGCTGGACTTTGTAGGCTTCTCTGCAATATGTTTTTGGGGGTTACTAAGGCGGCCCGGTTTAGGGTTTAGGGTTTAGGGTTTAGCCCTGTTTAGCTTAGCGTACCCGTAACTCTAAACCCGAAACCCTGCTCATGCAGTCCTTGAAGCGGTCTGAAGGCGTCATCCGCGTAAGATACGGGTATCGAGTCCGGTCGCTGAGGTGCGGGTTTTCGCATCCAGGTGACACCTGCAGGCATGGATGGCCTAGTAACAGTTTAGGCAGTTTTTTGCTTTAAGTTTTAGAGCTTGGGTTTATGGGTTTAGGGTTAAGTGTTTAGGATGCCGTACAGAGTCTAAAGCTAAGAGCAGGCAAAGCAATGGGTGGTTGCCTGGCATGCCACGTTGGTTTAGGGTTTAGGGTTTAGGGTTTAGGGTTTAGGGTGACGAGTTGTTCACGGCGGCATGACGAGCATCACATGTACTAGGATGGCCCTTAAACCCCTCTGAAAAGATTCCAGAATAACATGCTTTTCAACCCAATAAGGGAAAATACAAAATATCCCAAGGACCATTACATACCTTTACCTAATGTATGAGATGCATCGATCTTAAGTGCTGGTTTCGGCAGGGCCGCGCGGAAGTATGGTACTTGTATCATCCTGGCACCTCCCTGCTGCGCGTGCCAAAAAAACCGCTCCTGACTGAAGCCGGGAATTCGAATCACAATTGACATGGCGAACATTTGTTCACGTGGCATGTTGACATCAGAACCCCGTGAAACCCCCAAAGGGCTGGACCCTGGATTTGGGTTTAGGGTTTAGGGTTTAGGGTTTAGGGTTTAGGGTTTAGGGTTTAGGGTTTAGGGTTTAGGGTTTAGGGTTTAGGGTTTAGGGTTGAGGGTTGAGGGTTGAGGGTTGAGGGATTAGGGTTTTCATCCTCCAAAGATCTCCCAGATGCCGCAGAGTTGCGCTCAGGACATTGAAGAGGCGCGCGGCGTCGCTGATCGCGGAACAGGCTGTGCTGCACACACAGCCAACAATGGCGTGTTTCCTGACGTTTGTTCTTAAGGTTTCGGGTTCGGGGTGGAAGTTTTAGGAAATCATCTGTACCCCAAGTTGCCCCCGAGCTTCAAAACGGCATGCTGCAAGTCCTTGAGATTGCAGGACCAGGGTATACAACCTCTGTGACTGAGGCAAACTGGAACCAAGACTTGTGCTCAGCACCAAACCAGCCCAGGGAAAAACCACGTGTGGGAGAAAAACCCTGGGCCTCAAGAACGCCAGCCGGCTGCCTTAAAATGGAGACAACCCAACCCAACCCCCAAACCCACACCAACCCCGAACAGAAGCCCGACAAGCAACACCGAAACCACAACCGAAAAGAAACCGCCGAACACCCAACCCCCCCCAACACCAACCCCAAACAGGCCATACAACACCCCAATTGGTAGGTAGTTGGGGGTTTTAAGGACTGTGTTAGGTTTTTTCTTTTTTTTGGGGGGGTGGGGGGGGGGGAGTGGGGTGGGGCGGCGGGGGGTCTAGGCTTTCGGGCTGAAGGGGGGTCCGAAGGCATCGCAGGTTCAGGAATACTACCCTGTCTGATCCGTTCATGTTCCATTTCGAACTCGTTACTAATCATTTATAACCCTTTAGTTACTGCCTGGACTAGTGCTTCGCAGTCCCATCACATGCTTTCCCTAAACAACCCTAAAGAGGCACAACAAGTGGCTGTTAAGGAGCAGCTCTTACACTCCAACTCCACATGAACAAGCTGTGGGGGGCCCTGTTGGGTTTTTCTTTGCCAACAAAGGGGTTTAGGGTTTAGGGTTTAGGGCTGGTGGGGTGATCAACTTAAGCGCCAAGCGACCAAAAAATGCTGAAACAGACATGGAGATCAACATGCTGGGCATCTTTCAGTCTTCACATGGTTTAGGATTTAGGGCTTAAGGTCCAAGGGGTTGTTAAGTTGGGAGATTTGAACATCCCATAATTTCGTAAACCCTAAAGGGCTTAGGGCTCAAAACGCTGCACTATGTGGTCGAGAATCTTAGGTCCACGAGTGAAGGCTTCGACTGTTGCCACTGTTCCCAGCGCCTGCGCCATGGAGACCCTTCATGGCTTCGAGTTTTGGGGGCCTATGTTGAGCTTTTGGTACAGCTATGTGGGGATTATGAAGGAATTGTCTTGGCAACATTTAGGCTCCCATAGGCACTGGAGGTAGCAGGCTGCGTAGCAATTTCTTGTAACACCTGCTCGGTTAAAGCTCGCGCTCTCAGCGCGTGCAGTCGGCAGATGCTCCGGACGACGCAATACCCCAACATCTCCCCCCTCCTAGATCCCAAGCCCTTTGGGACGTTTACACTTTTGCACCATCAACAGCCCTCAACGGGATCTGCGAGGAACTTTGGCTGAGAGGAGTGGTTTCGGTGGCACAATCAGTCTGAGCTTCAGTGGTTTAGGGTCTGCGTTTTTTCGGTTCATAACCCTAAACCCTAAACCCTAAACCCTAAATCCGAGACCCTGAACGCCAATTTAAGGGCCTCTTCACACCCCGAGTTCGTGAGGTGGACATTGACGCGGTAACCGGGCAGAAAGTTGCTGTCCTCGCGCGAGATGAGGTTTATATTGCTAAATGATGGTCCTTTTGGGAGGTTACTTATGAGGTGGCCCGAATATATTTAGGGTTCCCAAAAAGGGACCGTAATGTAGAGAACTGACCATCTGATAGTCGGTGTACATTGCCGTTGTCAGTGGGTACATTTTGGGCTCCTTATAGAATTCTGGTGAGTGTATATACTGGGTGTCCTTTTCGGGATAATGGGGATACAAGGACCATAAAACCCTCCTTCACATGAAACGGTTCCTACCTGCGTCTAGTTACCTCGGGTTTAGGGTTTGGGGGTGTTTAGGGCTTCATTCACACCCCCAAACCCTAAATCCTATAACCCGTTACATGTACAGGTAAGTAGGGTCCCAGGTAAACCCGACAGGCCCTGTGTAGGTGAAGCACACGTCGGGGCAGGTTCGTTTTTTGGGATTAAGAAAATCATTGGTAAAGGGGTTTCAGGTAAGCACAGGAAGTGCGGTCCTCAATCTCCTGAGCTGCCATGGCCAGAAGTGGTTCGGTCTCGGTCATCTTGTCACCGAGGCTTCCGTGGTAGGGGCCGATGACCTGCGTTGAAATCTTCTTCAAGAACCTAGACCTAAAACCAGTGCATAACTCACGCTGAGACCCGCTGTAGATATGGGCAATTCCGCACGTCTGCGCGCTTCTGGAGCAAGTGGGCACATGAAGCGCGTACAGCGGTTCACGCGCAGCGCCTAGTGCCACAGAACTACGGCGTCTTCATCTGCTTTCTACAAGGCCCTGCAGCCCAACCGTTTTTAGTGCATGTTGGGGCAGCTGAGAAAGACCAATGCCATATTCCATGCCGACGTATTCACATGCGCCCTGGGTTCTTTTCCCTCCATCTTTGAAGTTCAGATCTGGGGATGAAGGCTCTCTACTCTATACTCCCCTTAGAACCTTAATAAAAATAGTATTTTTAATATCCTCTTGGGTTTTATAGAAATAAAAAAAATAATTCCCAAGGGGGATATAGTACTTAGATTCAGAGTTCATATGCGCCAAGCTGCCGCGATGTTGATATCCTGAACGCTCACCCGGTTCGGGCTGCGGACCACATCGATGGTGCAATTGCCATCCTTGTAGTATCCTGATAAGGTTTAGTTCAGGGTTTAGGCTTTAGGGTTTAGGGTGATTCCGTTTACAACAATGGGCTGCTCCGCTCCTGTCTCTCTGACAGAACGATGTTTTTCAAGCCCTTCACCTTGTCTGGGCCTCCCAAGTCTACAAACAAAATTGCCCTGAAGCCCTATGCCAGCTTATGAGCCCAAACCCTTAAGGTTTAGGTTTAGGGTTTGAGAGAGTACCGAAGCCTAAGTAGGTTTAGGGTTTAGGATAGGCCGCACATATGACTAAGACACCCTGTAGTATAACAATCCGAACGGCTATCGAACCTCAAAAGCTGGACGGCGACTGTCTAGCCCTAAACCCTAAACCCTAAACCCTAAACCCTAAACCCTAAACCCTAAACCCGAAACCCTAAACCCTAAACCCGAAACCCTAAACCCTAAACCCTAGACCTAAACCCCAGCCAGAACCCAGAATGGCTTAAACTGTTTTAAGCGTCCAGCTTCCAAACCCTTTTTCGAGGAGGGGCTGCAGCGCAGAGCTTAAAGCCCTAAACCGCATTCATGCGGGTTTAGGGTTTAGGGTTTAGGGTTTAGGGTTTAGGGTTTAGCGTTTAGGGTTTAGGGTTTAGGCCTGAAACTGCGAGATGTGAACGTGCATGCCCTTGCAGCACTGAGGCACTGCAGGGAGATTGCACACCACCGGAGGCGGTACAGGTCTCTGGGCACCTTCTACATCAGGGTTTCTCAGGTTTAGGGCTCTGGGTTCTTTAAGCTCTGTTTGGGGTTCAATATACCAGGTGCGAGAACAGCTGTTCAGGACCAACAAAGGCAGCGAACAAATCACCAACGGCATGCGGCAATCCACGGTATCGGCCTTCTCAAGTTTAGGGTTTAGGGTTTAGGGTTTAGGGTTTAGGGTTTAGGGTTTAGGGGGATGAGGGTCGAGATTGGCAGTTTTTCGCGGGTGGGGGGGGGGGTCTCGTGGTTTACGTTGACGGTTTTTGAACCCTTGCTGAGAATCCTAAACCCTAAGCCCTAAAACCCTTTCGCAGCTGGGCCTCCTTGAACCATACGTAAAACCCTAAACCCTAAACCCGGCTAACCATCTCCTGGTAGCTTTGTTTACAAACTCTCGCGAACGGTCTGTGTGAAAGAGTAAAAGCGGGAGATTTGAGGCTCGGAGGTACAAGTAAATGTTTTGGTTGGCCTCAAGAACTGAAGGGGACTTGTTGTCAAAAAGTGGGACACAGAACACCAACCTCTCGGACTCAACAGGCTCTTTGAGATCCGAGTGCTCGCGCTGCCAATCCCATTCCTCATGCCCCGGGACCTTTGGACTCTCATCCTCCTCCTCTTCTTCTCCCTCAGGGATTCTCGGCCTCACCTCCTGTTGGGCTTGCATCCTCCTCTGGTTCTACTCCTTCACCTTCCTCATCATGTTCTAGAAGGCGTTTCTCCTCCTCGGACAGGGGGAGGCCCGGGCTCGTCATTTAGTATTGGGGGCAGGCCCGGGCTCCCCCTCCCCTTTTCAGATTTAAATCATTTAAATGTTTTTAATATAATTGGGAACTAAATAATTTAAATAACTTACATATGATGGGCAGGTTTCGCATTTACATTGTCGAAATTGTTTAATTCGGCCGGGAATTAAATAATTTGAATAATTTGAATACGTAATTTAAATAATCAAAAAAAACAAAAAATATTTAAATCCGAAAAGGGGGGGTTGGGGGCAGGCCCGGGCTCATAATTCAGTATTGGGGGGAGGCCCGGGCTCCCCACCCCTTTTCGGATTTTAATTATTTAAATGATTTAAACTATTTATCTTATTTACTTCGGCTCGGAATTAAATATTTTAAATAATTTAAATATGACGGGCAGGTTTCGGATTTAAATTATTTAAAAGACTTAATTCGGCCGGGAATTAAATAATTTAAAAAACTTAAATAATTTAAATAATATAAAAAACTCAAATTATTTAAATCCGAAAAGGGGGGGGGAACCACCCCGCCCCCCCGCCCCCCAAGAATCAAATACTTTAAATATTTTAAATCCGAAACCTCCCTGTCGTATTTAAATTATTTAAACTATTTAATTCTTGTGATGGTCACACCCCCCCTTTCGGATTTAAATTATTTAGATTTTGTATTTCCGAGTCTTAACATCCGAAAAGGGGGGGGGCCACCCCACCCCCTCTCCTTTAAATAATGTCGGGCCTCCAGAAAGGCGCGGGCCAAATTTTGCCGGGCAGGCTCCGGGCAAAATTTGGCCAAATCGGGCTGCTCGTCGTACGCGATGAGAAATGCGCGGCTCGATTTGGCCAACTGTTGCCGGGCAGCCTCCGGGCAAAATTTGGCCAAATCGAACCGCGCATTTCTCATCGCGTACGAAGAGCAGCCCGATTTGGCCAAATTTTGCCCGAAGGCTGCCCGGCAAAATTTGGCCAAATCGAGCCGCGCATTTCTCATCGCGTACGAAGAGCAGCCCGATTTGGCCTAATTTTGCCCGGTGGCTGGCCGGGCAAATTTGGCCAAATCGAGCCGCGCGCATTTGTGCCTTAAAAACATAAGTTAAAGAAATCTTAGGGGGATGGAGCTTGCGATTTGTGTTTTGGAAGCATGAGTTTTTAGAAGAGTCGTAGGGGGACGGAGCTTGCGCGGCTCGATTTGGCCAAATTTTGCCGGGCAAAATTTGGCCAAAATTTGGCCAAATCGAGCCACGCATTTCTCATCGCGTACGAAGAGCAGCCCGATTTGGACAATTTAGCCCGAAAGCTGCCCGGCAAAATTTGGCCAAATCGAGCCGCGCATTTCTCATCACCTACGAAGAGCAGCCCGATTTGGCCAAATTTTGGCAGTTCTTTCCTTGTATTTCTTTGCGCAAGAGGAAATAACAGAAGGAAATGATGTTACGTGTATCCAAAATTAGATTGTCCTTTTCTTACTTTTCTGTAGCAAAACCCACCTTTCAAGGACACTCACCAATTTTTGGAATCCTTGAGAGAACAGGTGTTTTTTTTGTCCACTCTCATCTTTCGTTCGTGTTTGTTTCTTTACCCTTTTACTTCAATATGAAATCTGCAAATCATAGTTAAAGAGGGCTGGGATTTTTTCCGTAGTTTTTTCCGTTTTTTTTTGTATTTTTTTTCTGGCTTGCTGGTCGGGAACCCCTAGAAACCCTACAAACCCTATAAACCCTAGATACCCAGGGTTTAGGGTTTAGGGTTTAGGGTTATGGGTTTAGGGTTTAGGGTTTAGGGTTTAGGGTTTAGGTTTTAGGGTTTAGCTTAAAAAAGCGGGGGGGTTGGGGGGGGGCGCAGCCCCCCCCCCATTTGCAAACTCAATGCTTGCATGATGAGTTTGCTTGCATGATGGGTTTCAAGATTCACATGCTTTGAAAGAAGCTAAAAAGCGGGGGGGTTGGGTTTAGGGTTTAGGGTTTAGGGTTTAGGGTTAGGGGTTAAGGGTTAAGGGTTAAGGGTTAAGGGTTAAGGGTTTAGGGTTTAGGGTTTAGGGTTTAGCTTAAAAAAGCGGGGGGGTTGGGGGGGGGGCGCAGCCCAAGCGGGGGGGGTTGGGGGGCAAGCTTGCCTAATTGCTGTGCTGTGATTGCTTGCTTACTTGCTTGGTTGGCCCGCTTGCTTGCTTGATTGCCTGCCTACTTGAATGCCTGAATGATGGCTTGCTTGATTCATTGGTTGCCTGCTTCCCCAGCTGTTTGCTTGCTTGCTTGGTTGCCCACTTGCTTGCCCACTTGCTAGCTGGCTTGCTTGCCTGCTTGATTGCTGGCTTGTTTGCTTGCTTGCTTGCTTGCTTGCTGGCCCGCTTGCTCGCTTGCTTGCTTGCTTGCTTGCTTGGTTGCCTGCTTGTTTGCTTGCTTGATTGCTTGCTTGCTGGTACCGTTGCTTGTTTTCCTTGCTTGCTTGCTGGCTCGCTTGCCTACTTGCTTGCTTGCTTGCTGGGCCAGACGGCCGGAAAAAAACTACAAAAAAACGGAAAAAACACTGAAAAAATACCGCCACCAGTTAAAGAGGGGTGTCCCAAATGTTTAGAGTGTTTCGGCCGTTCTTTTCTTCCTTGTTCTGTAGCAAAACCCACGTTAAAAGGACCCCCACACCGGAGACCTCTATTGTTTGGAAACCTTGAAAGAAAAGTTGGAAGAGGAGGAGGAGGTTGAGAGGAATGAAAAGGAAGAACTACAAAGAAAGAGCTTGCTGATGCAGAGAGGGAGTGAGATTGCTGAAAAGAAAAAGAGAAGAGAGAAGAGACTTTACATGTTCTTCCTACCTGGTTCTTATCCCTGAGGCCACCATAGTACGACTGACGTGACAGCAGCGTACCCTCGTGGGAACGTGTATGGCAACGAAGGAAACCCGAGTGCCAGCTTCCAAATAAACCCTATTTAAGCCACCCACGAAAGGGGGGGGGGGGGGGGTAACCCTAAACCCTAAACCCTAAACCCTAAACCCTCAACCCTAAACTTTGGGACCCAGGATGGAAGTGCGGAGCCAAAGGCCCTAAAACCCTAAACCCTAAACCCTAAACCCAAAACTCTAACTTGTCAGAGAGGTGCAGGGCCACCAACGAAGGGAAGAGCGCCACCAAACAAAGGAGGCGAAGCTGGAAGGGCCCCGAGCTCATGATGGGAGCGGAGCCTCAGTCCCATGACGCTGACATCCAGGGTTTAGGGTTTAGGGGCAAGGCAGGCAAGGAGTCGACGTGGGCCTGTGATTACGCAAAAAAAACAATGAATCACAAAACAACCTTTAACAGGTTTGAGGGTTTAGGGTGCAAGGCCAATTGTTTTCGTCACACCCGAAGCCCAGAATAGCACCTGGCCCCCAGCCTCCAACCAAGATCATTTGCCGAAAAAAAGGGTCCAAGCCATCCTAACGCCTTCAAGCACACAACGTTGCCGCTTTGCCTATGAATGTTTAGGGTTTAGGGTGATGCCAAGGTATGTAGGGCCTAATGTAGGGTGAAGCCAAGGCATTTCCATATCCTTTCTGAGGCCCAGATCCTGTACAACATTCTGTACCTTCGTCGCCTTTCCTCCCTTCCGATATCATTTTCGTCTATCCCAGTCTGAACCTCTTCAACACCAACCTCTTCCAAACCCTAAACCCCAAAAGACCGGCTCCTAGCCAAAAGAGCTCTTCGGGGCAAGGGCAGAGGGGATGTGTTTTCAATGGGCTGAGGATTGGATGATCAAACTATTTTGGGGGACCGGGGGCACCCTCCGTTTTAGGGACCTGTGTTGAATCATGTTGCGGAATACCGGCAGGAATCTGCGCGCAAGGCTATGAGCCCAAGCCATTGCAAGCGCATCCTGGGTTTAGGGGTTTAGGATTTAGGGTTTAGGGGTTTAGGTTTTAGGGGATGTTCGATCTTTTTCGGGCTCCGACTTGAGGTTTCCGGGTTTAGGGATTTTCGATCTGTTTGTTTGGGGGCCCTTCTTTTCGCCAGCTGTTTCTTCTTTAGGGTTTAGGATTTGGGCTTTCAGGTTGTAAGGCGCATGTGGGCAGCTGCACAAAGACTCAAAGTACCTGTTCTAGAAGTATCCACTTTCGACCTTGATGTTGTAGACTATTTCTGATTCAACCGAACCCTTTTTCAACGAGACTCAACCCAACCCTTTTTTGCAACTGGACGCCTCGCTGCTCAACCAACCCTAAAAACCTAAACCCTACACCAAGTAGGGACCTAATCCCAGCAAGTCCCCAACTTTTTAGAGCCTAAACCCTAAACCCTAAACCCTAAACCCTAAACCCTAAACCCTAAACCCAAAACCCTAAACCCAAAACCCAAAACCCTAAACCCTAAACCCTAAACCCTAAACCCTAAACCAAGCTATTAGGTCGCTTTTTTCGCCACCCTGCCTTGCCAAGCACTACGGGGTTCAGGGTTTAGGGCTATGAAGTGGGAGGAAGCGGGCCACCCTCACCTTGCAAACTCCTGAAGCTGATCAAGTCCAGGGCACGCCGACATCAGAACCTATAGGTGTCTAAGTCATTGTTTTTGGCCTTTGTAGCTGTGAAGTAGAGTTGTCAGGCCTAACTTGGGTTAGAAGTGGCTTATGAGTCCCCGCGCACTAAGGGGTTTTCATTGTGCATGACATTGTACAGGTCTCTGCGTCGGGACGCGAGTGGAAAAGTACATGGCTGCGGCAACTCATCGAGTGGAGTTCAGACCTTCGGGGGGCTGTGGACATCGCCGCAGGGGCGTTGTTTAAACAAGGGCGCTAATTATATATATATATATGTACATGTATATGTATATGTTTCAAGGGTGCTATAATATATATATATATATATATAATACATGTACGCATGCATGCATGGAGTATGGGGGTTGCCGGAAATTCGGGGTCCCCTTCTTGGAGATTCCTGTGCTCAGGATTAAACCGAGTTTTCGGCCATGAAATCGTGAAATCGTGAAATTTTTTTTTTTTGGGGGGAAATGCCCATTAGGGCTTAGGGCTCCTCCAGGGTTTAGGGTTTAGGGTTTAGGGTTTAGGGTTTGGGGTTTGGGGTTTGGGGTTTGGGGTTTGGGGTTTGGGGTTTGGGGTTTAGGGGTTTTGGGTTAGGATGCTTGCCGGCTTGGGCTTGGGTATAGGGCTTAGGATTCAGGGGTTACGGTAGGGGGACATGAGGATGTGGCGATGCAAAGGCCAAGGAGCAAGGGCAACAGCAAGGCTCACAAGCCTTGCAATGCGCCCTGCATCTCCCACAACATCAATGTCCTAAAGCCCTGAGCCCAGCAAGTTCAGATGCTTTAGGGTGTAGGGTTTAGGGTTTAGGGTTTAGGGTATCAAGCAACAAGCCGAATATCTACAAACATCTGCTCTAAGCCGTCGAGTGCACAAGTTCCGTGAACCCCAAACCCAGCTTTAGAAGTTTGATGCTTGTTGCGCTTGGAGGACTAAGGCTGATTAAGGCTGTAGTGGTGCTTACAGTACTTGGTGGAAAGGAAACTTGTCGGCCACACTTACACAATCTTACGTACACGGTGCTTCTTGCATTTAACCAGCAGGTCGAGGGCCCAACTCGGGTCCTACACAGTCAAACGCATCAACCCGCACGACTCAAGTAGATACTCACAAGGAGGCGAGCCACGCGAGACAGCCGCGGCTCTTCTTTTGTTGTCCGGCACGCTCTGCTCTGGTGGCTGTTGTTCCAATAAACGTCCTTTGAGATGACAGAGCACCTATACTCCCCTTGGAACCTTAACAAAAATATTACTTTGAATATCCTCTTGGGTTTTATTCAAACACAAACAAAAATGGAAAATAGTTCCCAAGCTTTAGACCCTAAACCCTAAACCCTAAACCCTAAACCCTAAACCCTAAAACCCTAAAACCCTAAACCCTAAGGGGGATATAGACACCGCACAGGGAGGCGTGGGACTCACGGAAACATGAGATCACTAGCGCCCGGAGACGTGCACGGTGTCTCAGTGGCACTTGGCAGTCGCGGCTGCATATGCCTCGCAAAGTGACCCTAAACCCTAAACCCTAAACCCTAAACCCTAAACCCTAAACCCTAAACCCTGAACCCAAAGCAAGACGTAGCGGTTGGTGTTTTGCATTCAGGGTTTTAGGCTTGTAGGGTTGCAGGGAAGGTGGGAAAGAGCTGCCACCTCCTTCTGCACAGAACGTCCACCCCAACGGCCCGAATGAACTTTCGCGAGAACCCTGCACCACACACTCACTAACACAACAGAATGATCGATTGCCATTTCTTCGAAGAGCCGAAGCTTTAATGACCTTGCACTCTCAAGCTTAGACCCTTGTAACCCTAAACCCTAAACCCTAAACCCTAAACCCTAAACCCTAAACTGTATAGCGACATACGTCCGACTGCCAGCATATCCCGCTGACCTCCTGGATGCGCTTCGTGGACTGCTTGAGCCTCAGCTCCGGTTGTTTAGGGTTTAGGGTTTAGGGTTTGTCCTTTCTTGCGTGGCCTTTCTTGGGGATTTGCGTGGGAATCCCTCGTTGCTGTGGGTTTTGCTGTTGGTGGACTGAGGCCTTGGGCGGGGGCGGTAGGAGTGAGTTTAGCTATAGGGGTTGTTTGCGGCACTTATGCCTGCTACAGCACACGCCTCTCCACATCAATGGTATGGCGAGGTATTGCCGTCGTTTTACGAAGACTCACTTCTCCTGCACAAAAACCTTTTGGACATGGCTTATGCATCAGAGCCGAGCACTCTGGATGAAGACCAGCCAAAAAATTTATGAACCCCACAGAAGCACCATCAGCCCATACATAGATGACCGCAACTCAACTACTCTCTTGCAGCATACGTGAGCAAATGATGAAACAAGCCTGTCTGCAAGGGTCCTACGGTCACATTAATCAGCTGGGTTTGGCCTTTAATCCCTTCGAAAAATATTCATCTATAGGGTCCCTTATAAACCCAAATAAGGAAAATAACCCTAAACCCTAAACCCTAAACCCTAGGCCCTAAACCCTAAACCCTAAACTCTAAACCCTAAACCCTAAACCCAAAAGCCTAGCCAGGTACAAGCAGCGCTGAGGTGTCGGGATCCGGCAGCTTGGCGGCTCGGAAGCCTGGAGAAAACGGACGGTGCTCTGGGTCTAGGGTTTGGGGTTTAGGGTTTAGGGTTTCGGGTTTAGGGTTTAGGGATTACAAGATGAAGATGCCACACACCTGTGTCTGGGCTTTGCAACTTGCGGTGACATGAAAGTTAAAAACATACTTTTTGAAAGGCTCTGTTTCGGGAGTTGTCCAGTGTTCCCTAAGCAGATTGAGAGAGGTCCTACTCGGAGAAACTCTGGTGGCTTTATTCTGGCGGGATCGTAGAAGGTTGAGAATTTAAAGGGTCTTCGCTTGGGCATGTCTGCACGTATCAAAAGCGCACGCCGTGCTACTTTAGAACTGCGTGTGCACTACGAAAAGACGATTCTAAAGATGCCATTGTCCGAGAGACGGTGGAGCAGGAAGGCCATGCCGAAGATTCCGGATTGAAGCTGTTGGAGCGTCTGCCTCGGTTGCTTCCGGGAAGGTCGCCGCTCTAACACGTGCAGGAGGGTCTCGGGCTTTGCAAAACACCCTCTCAATGTACCAGAAGTGGGGTAGGATATATTCAAGTATGTTGCTTATGGGTGGCTATTTGGGTTGCCAAACGAATGGGTGAAGTCTGGAGTCCATAATTTCTGACTTCCCAAGCCCACGACACATTGTGTCTTTTTGGACAAGGTGGGCCCGTTTATGCAACTCACTGAATGCAACTCACTGAATCCCTGCAGAGATAAACTTGGTAGCCCAGCAACCATATTATGATAAGGGCACCCTTTTTTGAGTTGGTGATTTTATAAGGGACCCATAACGAAAAAAGGGTAAAGGTAGCCACTGGGCTACCAGGTAAAACGGCAATAAGGATCTCCCCGAGGTGCTTCACGAGCTCGGACTCACATCCTTGTTCGATGACGAAGCCTTGGAAGGCCTGGCGTTCGGAGGTTCAGGGTTCACTCGAGGTCTGGAGCGAATCCTGTCCCAAGACCTGGTGAAACCCAGAAGAAATGCTGGCGAAACTGCTTCGATTCCTGACGCAACCTTGTCCGAAAGCTCCTGCAGCTGAAACCAAAAGCGGCCGCCTGCACCAAAACTGAGCAGCCCGCACTTTCGGAAGAAGAGACCCAGACGCGCAAACAGAAAACCCGGCTCCACGCCCATAAGGCTGATAAACCCTAAATGGAACAACCCTAAACCCTAAACCCTAAACCCTAAACCCTAAACCCTAAACCCTAAACCCTAAATGGAACAACCCTAAACCCTAAACCCTGAACCCTAGACCCTAAACCATAAGCCCTGAATGGAAAAACCCTAAACCCCAGGCTGCAACAGCAAGACGAAGCCGAAAGTTCAGGGAGTCGGGCCTTGCCCCGAAGGGCTTAGGGTTTAGGGTTTAGGGTTTAGGGTTTAGGGTGTCGGAAGAATGGTTTTGGTTGGAAGTTCTTTCCTGACGAGGTATCTACATGGTTCCAGATGGCTTCATGGCTCTTGGTTTCAGGGTTCATGGGCCGTAAGTGCTGTCAATGCGGTTCTTCGCTCCGTAAAAGTGTCCATCGCCCTACCAGAAGCCCATACCCTAAACCCTAAACCCTAAACCCTAAACCCAAAACCCTAAACCCTAAACCCTTGACTTCTCGCAAGGCCTCCGTGTCCGCAAGGACAGACGCCAACTCTCCGAGCAAGTTAGTCCCTGCCAGTGATGACGAAAGAATGGCTGAACTTCACGAGTTCATGGTTTAGGGTTTAGGGTTTAGGGTTTTGGGGTTTAGGGTTTAGGGTTTAGGGTTTAGGGGTTGGGATCGTCTTAAGAATTTAAATCTATATTCCTCATTGGGCTTAAGCACCCTTAAAAATGTAAGATGATACCCAGCTATGGCCAAGTTCACCCGAAATCACCCCGAATGCCCCTCTGAACCCGAGTTCAGGCTTAGTGTTGGGCCTTGGGAATCTGGGCAAAATCAGGAGGATGCGGCCTTTGGACCGGAAAAAAACTGAGATCTCCGAGATCCTCAGCGTGTTTTTGGCGGCTTACGCCTTTAAGGCGTAACTGCTGCCAGGCCCATTGGCGATAAGGGGCTTTGGACGTATGGGAGATTAGGGAGTGTGGGGAACTAGGGCAGGAAAGCAGAGGCAAAGGCAAAATTGTAAATGCTGGAATAGAGCAGCAATCAAGCCCTGCAGAAGCAGCAGACTGAGCGAAACATCCCGAAACCCTGGATTTGAATCTTTAATCCCAAGCTCTCCTGAGACCTTGGCCTTCGCCCCTTTTCCCTAAACCCGACATCTTGAATCCTGCACTCCGCACATCCCAAACCCTAAGACTTCTAAAGCCCTTGCTTTCCTCCCCTTAGAACCTTAATAAAAATAGTATTTTTCATATCCTCTTGGGTTGTACATGAACAAGATACAAAAGAAGTCCCAAGGGGGACATAAGCTGAAAACCCTAAAAAAACCATCCCCGGCCTTGGCGCCAGGTGGCTCGAAGGTGGCGGTGGCTTCGGCCGAGTGCGGACATGCTCTGGGCGTAGCCGGCGGCGAGGTCGGAGAAGCCCTTCTTGCAGTCCTCTCACTTGCATTGCTGGGATTTTCTTGTTTTTTTTTTGGGGGGGGGGGAGTAATCTTTTTCAGGTGGGCTTAGGGCAGTTGAGGGTTCAGGGCGTGCAGCGCTTTCAGGGCTTGGGCGGGCGACTCTGACTTGGAGCTTCAGGGTTCAGCGCTCTGTTTCGGGTAAATGCTCCCCAGCTCACTCCTTTCAGCTACTGCACTCTAAGGCCTCGTGTGATCAACTGGATCGTGAGACTCTAGACGTCTAAGCACCCCGTTCTGAGGCCTCTGCAGTGGCTTACCAAGCGCAGCCGAAGCTCCAAGTAGCTTTTCAGCTCCACGAGAGAGCCCTGGAAGGCTTTGACTTCGTCCTCGGCCACGTCCAGATACCTCTGAGAGCTGCTAGGGCTTTCATAAAAAATAGCGGGGTGCCGTAACCCTAAACCCTAAACGCTAAACCCTAAACCCTAAACCCTGAACCCTAAACCCTAAACCCTTCTTTAAGGCTCCGTATCAAAAGGATTGGGTTCTTTATTAGGGTTCTGCTGAGGGTGCAGATGGTTCTAGGGCTGAAGGCTTCGGGTTGCTGTCACTGGACAACTGAGGCGGGCGTAAAGAGTGTAAATCAGGGGTACATGCCAGCACAAAACAAGCAAGTAACCCTAAACCCTAAACCCTAAACCCTAAACCCTAAACCCTAAACCCTGTAGGTCCAAGACATGGCAAACCTTGAGGGGGCAAAACACCGGCGCATTCACTCAGGCACGTTTTCTTCTTCTGCACAACTAGGCCAAACACAGACACGCCAATATACTTTCTTTACCAATGAGGAATACTTACTTGTGTTAGGATTGCAGTCGCTCATGCATTCCATGATTGGTATATTTTTGCATAAAGAATCTATGCATTTACATTATATACATGTGTGTGTATACATATATAATATGTGCCCGCCCCATCAACGTAAATCCTAAAGAACTAACCGTCGCTAAATCCTAAAACACTACCCGTATCCCAAATCTTGTCGCTAAATCCTAAAGAGCGAGATCGCTAAATCTTATTCCCTTGTGATGTTACTCCCTACATCCTCTTCCCTAAGCCCTGAAGAGTGGCGTCCCTGAGGCCTTATGAAGAGTGGGGTTCCTCGGAGAGGCCTTTAAAAAACGAACCCTATTCCCGAAGTCTTGTCCCGAAATCGTATTCCCTTGATCTTCTTTCCCACACTTTACTGCGTAAACTATCTCCCTCCCCTTCAACTCTCACCAAATTCCTTAAGTCACACTGGCCAAATCTTAGTCCCTAAATCCTGAAAAAGCTTGTCGCTGAATCCTAAAGAGCGGGATCCCTGAATCTTGTTCCCTTAACTATACTCCCTACATTTTGCGAAGAACATTTAGCCCCCGATTCGGGCAAAAGTGTGCCGATTTGTGAAATGCAGAAATGACTAAAATCTCCTCTTTGAGTTTTTAAATATTTTCTAGAGAAAACGATTTGCATCTGTGCATTTGTTCTCTAAATCTTCGTCTTCGGGCCAGGAGCGAGTCCAGCTTCGTGCGCAGCTGCCACCAGATGTGGTCCAAAGACATGAGGACCTCTCATGCTCAGCCGGAGTCTCTGCGGCATCCAAGAAACAAGCAGACCCCACTTGCCCCATAGCATCAACCTACAGTGAGCTCGTTCTGAGGCCCCATGAGGCAAAGCATCCTCGCATTCCTGCTCTCAGAAGGGCATCTTCCATACATGGGGTGCTTCCCTATATGCACTCATGTCTGGCTCAGACATGTTTGTTTGTTTGTTCCTGCAAAGTCCTCAGATGCAGTTGGGGTCCGGGCCTGAGCTCAATGTAGCTCTTCCGGCATTTGCAGGAGGGTTTCAATTTTCTTTGGTTTGCCTTTCGCCTTTGGCGCACTTTACTTTTAGTGAGTGCAGATGTGTTCAGGGACAACCCCTGGACTTGGACAGACTCTTTACGTAGGGTAGAGTTTGATTCTGTTGGTAATGATCTTTGTGGCGTGTATTCTGTTGGGTCAAAAGCCTGAATCCCTGACCTCCATAGTAGGGCCTCTGGGCCCAAAAGGCCTTAAGCTATGAGTCCCTAAACCCTAAACCCTCAACCCAAAAAGCCTTAAAACTATAAGTCCTAAACCCTAAACCCTAAACCCTAAACCCTAAACTCAAAAAGCCTTAAACAACTATGAGTCCTCAAAGCTTCAGGGTACGGCCTCCCCAAACCTCTCCTCAGCCCCGGACTTCATGAACAAGGCTGGGGGGAGTTCATGAGACAAACCTGCAACCTTCCAACTCACTATCCACATGTATAGTAAATAAATACATATGTATATATATATATATATAAATACATAAACAAAGACACATATACATATATACATATATAAATATATAAATATATACATATATACATATACACAAATAAATATAAATATATATATATATATATATGATTATATATAAGCCTCCAAAACCCCTCTACCATACAAAGCCACTATAACTCCATGATCCATGATCCCAGGCCCCCCCCTCTCCCCAAGCTCCGCCTGGTGCCGCTCCCGGGCCAAGGCCTTCGAGGCCTTCGAGGCCTTGCCGCGCGCGGCCTGGCTCGAGGCGTTGCCTTGGAAAAGCCGCCCCGCTTTGGGGTTTAGGGTTTAGGGTTTAGGGTTTCGGGTTTCGGGGTTAGCCCTAAGGAAGTCCACCAGGGGGGGGTTTAGGGTTGGGTTCTTGGTGGAGGGTTGTAGCGATCAGTGTTTCAGAGTTTTTTGTAGGGTTTCGGCTTGAAGTTCGTTGGTGGGTTAAAAGGTTTATGGATGGTTTTTAGGTCTAATGGAGGGTGTAAGGCTTTAGGATTAGGGTTGGGGCTTTACTACTTGATGCTCATGTCTCTTGCAAGAATGCTGCTGCAAGGATCAGAGATATGTTCAGACTGTTACGCGGTCTCCGTTCTCGCATTTGTCCCTCTCGTTCTCTCGAACAAGGTCGCTGCTTATGAGATGTCGATGTCTCATCGCAGGCTGGCCCTTGCCGCCAAACAGTTCTTAAACGTGCAAGGTTCCAAGTTCTGAAGCAACCATTACATCATCACAGCAGCTTTCAAGTAAAACCTCGACGACGATATGCAACACGGTAGGTCTTCAACATTAAGCTCCCCTCGAGGTACCTACTTTCAGGACAGTTTACCCCTACAAGTGTGTTAGACTCTCAAGGCTTGGGCTCCAGATCCCCAGAAATGGGGCAGTTTGGGAGTCGATTCTCTACGGCTTAGCACAGGTTTCGGAGTTCGGGGTTTTCAGAGACACCGGGAAGAAGCGTGCAAGAAGCGCGCCGAAGTCGGAAAAAGACCGGCACTTGAAATTTACCCTAGCTCTGACTGTGAACCTGCTCCACTGATTGACAGACCCTGGACCTTGAACGAATGCTGATGGAGGCAAGGAGCTCTCTTGGCGGTAGACGCCCAATGTCCGGAGATGGAAGCTTGCCTACTATCTGTACACATATATGTGTATAAATGAAAAATATATATATATATATATATACACATACATATACATATATATATAAATATATGTATGTGGTTGTGGTGGTTTTGGGCTTAGGGTTCAGACCTAAGCGGTGCAGCGGCATCCAGATATGAGTCGTAGCACAAGAAGAGATACTGTGGCATGCTTCTTTCTGGCACATCTTGTAGGCCCTTATTTCTCCTGGCACATCTTGCAGGCCCTTACTTACTTTAGGGCTTCAAAGTGCGATGTGGGTTGTTTGCACAGTTTACTTACACTTCTTGCTTCCTCGCCCTGAACCGTAAATTCTAAGCCCTAGACTTGAGCCCAACAGGACTGTGCCTTGGGAAACCCCATCAGAGGGTTTAGGGTTTAGGGTTTAGGGTTTAGGGTTTAGGGTTTGGGGTTTGGGGTTTGGGGTTTAGGGTTTAGGGCTTAGGACGGCCTGGCGCTGGAGATGACGAACGGTCTGGGCGACCTGGCATCACGCGTCGGGTCAAGGAGTGGGCATCTGGAGGTTTCAGAAAATTTGTGGATTCCTTACGATGAGGATCCTAGGATTTAGGGCTTAGGGTTTAGGGTCTACCCGAATTCGGGCCCCCGTGCATTCTGAATCTCTCGTATGAGGTGTTGGGCGTGTGCTGGGATTGAGGGGTGCTTGGGGCTTCGTGCGTGCTTGGGGCTGCGTCTGATGCCAATACTGGCGTTGTGAACCAAGTCTGGAGACCCCCAACCCCCCGAAACACAACCCGAATGCCTGAAGCCATTGAAAGCACCGAGCTCATGAACAGACCAAGCGCCAAGCGCTCGAGAACATCATCTGGCCCTTAACCCTCAGAGTTTACTTTTGGTTTGGTTTATTGTTAAAAGCATTTGTAAAGGCAGGATTAAGGTTTACGTTTGAGTTGAATTTTCTTCAGAGTCTTTGGAAAGGCAGGATTAGGGCTGTACGTTTGAGTTGTTTGATGAGCTGGGTGGAGGATTTACTTCGTGCTTGGATTTCTTTTCAGGGGTTCTTGTAGGTGCAATGTTGAAGGTTGTCTTTTGCTTCTTTTGTTTGGTTTAAGAGCGTTTGTAGTATGATAGAGAAACACAAGGCCGAAATCAAATCATACATAAAGGTTCCTGGCTCAGACCTGATATAAATAATAATAAATATAAATATAAATAAATATAAATATGAATATAAATAAATAAATAAATATATATATATATATATATATATTTATTTATTTATATTTATATTTATATTTTTATTTGTATTTGTATTTATGTTTATATTTATATCTACACTTATATTTATATTTATATGTATATATATATATATATCAAATTGTCAGTGACCAAACCCTTAGCGGGCCCTAAGCCCTAAACGCCAAAGGTTGCAAACTCTGAACCGCGGCCTCGAAAACCCCACCCATATGGGCAGTCTTCAGAAAAACAAAACCCTGCTGTGGAGTAGACCATGAACAAACCGTATATACTTTTTAGGCATAAGTAGCTACAGTAGGAACCCAGAACCAAAGAAAATACTAAAGTATATTCCTACTCCCAAAGCCAGTAAAGAACTGAAGCCGAGTTGGGCATAAGGAAACAGAGACGCGGGCCTGGCGGCTCATCATCTCACCCTTGTCCCGGCCGCGTCCGGCACGCTGCAGCGTCTGGTGCAGGACCTGGGCTTCTTGTTGGCTCAATTGCACAGCTTGTTTTTTTCAAAGTCAAGCTGGGGTTCTCATGTGGTGTGCACATGATGGGGAGGGCTGCGACCCCCAACCCCCCCCCCCCCCTCCGGCTTTTTGAAAAAAGACGAAAGCCGATTTACGATTTCAGATGGGACGGGCCCCACCCCCAAACCCCCCCCCCCCCCCGCCCTATTTTCGAAGAAGGCGCTCGAAATGCAACCCGACCGAAAGACAAGAGCAGCTTAAACCCTCAACCCCACATCCTCCGACATGCTGGGCGCACTGCATGAGAGCCTTAACGGGGGACGCAGCCCCCGGTCCCCATTTGCAAACACCATGCTCGAGCGGTTTCAAAGGTCATATCTGCTTTGAAGCAAGTCAGCAAGTCCAACCCCCCCCGTTTGCAAACGCAATGCCGCATGATGGCTTTCCAAGAGACTGATATGAAGCAAACTTGCACAAGTTTGCACGGCTCATCACACATTCCACAGAACCCTCCTGCTGCAGAACCATTAGGAACGACCTCCACTCCTCTTGAGATCCTCAAAAAAACCGGAGGGGGGGGAAGAGGGCCCCCATTTGCAATTATAATGCCCGCGAGAAGGGTCTCAAAGAGACTCATCTGCTTTGGAGCAAAAAAAATCACACACATATGTTTCGAATCAAGCTTGCACGGCTTTAAAAAACAAGCGGGGGGGGGGGGGGGGGGGAGGTTGGGGGGGGGGGGGGGGGGGCGCAGCCCCCCCTTTGCACACACAATGCTCGCATGACGGGATTCAAACTAGCACTACTTCTACTAGTAACCAATAGCATTCGCATTACTATTACCGTTCCTCACCGTGGTGGTGGGGTGGCTTGGGGCGCGTTGTTCTTGTCCTGTCGTGGCGGGGACGGGGGCTCACTCGCTCGCTGGCCCGCCCGGGGCGCGCCGCTACTTCCGCAGCCCTAAACCCTAAACCCTAAACCCTAAACCCTAAAACCCTAAACCCTAAACCCTAAATGTAGAAAGGAGCCTATCAGCTCAGCAGCTCCCTAGACGACCTCCAGGCAGTCGATATGTTGGCTGAGTGACGATGTTGGGATCGCCTGCAACCTCTTAGGACCCCCAAAACCCCCAAGGCGCGGACCAAGAATCAACTTCATGAGGAACCGAATTTCTGCCTTTAAAGCCATGAGAGTCCCTCTAACTCTCGTACTCTAGTCCCTATTCAGGACTGTTAGTATAAGGGGGAACATCCGAAGCCATGAAATCCTTAACTCTCAGCAGAAAAGTTGGAGACCAAAGCACATCCAAGCGCCCCAGCAGCGAAGCGGCAGCTGTGGCGTTGGCTTTCGGGGAGAAGTCAGCAGATTTCAGGAACTCCTTGTCGGTCTAGGGTCTTGGGTCTAAGGTGTTGGAGTGTAGGAACTCTATAAGACTCTGATAAAAATCTTCGCTCTCTGGAGATCCCTTCAAGTGGCTTGGTCTGGGTTCAGTGAGTAGGTCTTTCGGCCGACACTTCGCCACAGGGCCCTATAAACCCTAAACCATGGTATTCTTGGATTCAATAGCTTGGAAACAAGCATATCCAAACACCAGAGGCTCCGAACCCTAGACCCTCAGACCCTAAACCCTAAACCCTAAATTCAAACCATGAGTGCCCTGTGTTCGAGGTTTGGATTCATAGCCCATGGTAAAAGTCGTCATAGATGTGAGCCAAGCTATTAGGGGATTATGGACCTGGGTGAGGAGTCGATGTTGGGGAGGACAGGAGTCTAGGATTCAGAATTCGCGTTGCAGGGTGCAATAGACTGATCACCAGGAATCAGAGATCTGAGGGAACCTGCGATTTCTTTTATTGATGAAGTTTAATTATGCACTTGAGGTTTTGGAACTTGGGAAATCACATCTAACGATGACGTCCTAGAACCTGTAAGCCCTAGCCACACTAAGCTTTACCCACCCGCGAACCCACAACCAAAAAGCGTTAGATAATATCTACTCTTAAGATTCTTAAGACTATAAATATAGGACTAGGAAACGCAAACCCTCAGCAACCCGGGTTGGTGGATCCGCGATCCGACGTCCCGACATCGGGAAACCTTTTGTTTGAGCTAACTGTCGTATGTCACACGCCCTTTTCTGGGATATTGAATCAAACGACACCGCTCCCTGATGCTCTCGCATCCCTTTACATGCGAACTCCGTTTTTACATCCTCTCAACCAGAGGGATCAGTTCTCCAAAGCCCCTTGTGAATAGACCTTCGCCCCTCAAAGCTTGGGTCGTAAGATGAAGCCAATAGCAGGGAGCGCTGAGCAATCCGCCACACCCCATCAAGAACCCAAGGCTGAAACCGATCTTGTACTTACTGCTCCAATAACCAAGGGGAAGAAAGGATAAACTTTAATATTCCTACTAAAAAAGGAAACCCAAAAAGTTTAAAGTTCAACTAAAGGCGAAGTAAGTGTAAGGCCCAGAATCTTCGAGCGCTCCCTTGGCCGTGATTTTCGAGAGCTCGTCGAAGGATGCAGCCTGACTGAAGACTCGGTTTGGGTTCTGCGCGCTGTGGCCTCGCCTTCTTTAGAACTTGCCACATGTGTTGTAAGGCATTGCAAGGCAGGTGCGGCTGCGGGATGAGTGTCTACGGAGCTGAAAACCTACACCCCAACCGAGTAATTACAGTAAAGCATTCTAGATGCGAAGCCCTTAAGCCTACAAACCATTTTTCAGAGCCCTTTGTGACACCCAAACCCCCTAGGGGATCAGAGACAGACGCAGCCTGAGCGTACCCGGCGAGCTCGGCAAACCTCGGTGCCGAGGAGTTTTTTGAGGCTGTCCCAGGTTTGCTGAGGGCTTGCTGAAGGGTTTCGGGTTTAGGGTTTAGGGTTTGGGGTTTAGGGTGGGGGGTTCTCGTGCGTTGAGCATGGCGGTGTCAAAGTCGTTCGGGGCAGGCGCGTTCTGTCACGAGGACAACATCGGGGCAGGCGTCCGTTGACACGGGTACAAGACACCTGCCTATCTGTCTGGGACCGTTTAAGGTTTGGGGTTTAGTTAGGGTTGGGTGTAAATCACTAGAGGACGGTTCTGGGATGCAGAAAAGCATAACAAAAGAGACACGCTTGGAAGACAGGAGAGATACAACATAAGGCATATAGTTTAGGGTTTAGGGTTTAGGGTTTAGGGTTTAGGGTAGGGTTTAGGGTTTAGGGTTTAGGGTTTAGGGTTTAGGGTTTAGGGTTTAGGGTTTAGGGTTCGCTCCTACTTGTTCGCGGCCTTGTGACCTGTGACATGCTGTAAGCCTATGCAACACCGGTGCTAGGACAGCAGGATCCGCAGTGTCAGGGTTTTAGGGTTTAGGGTTCTTTAGGGCGCTTAGAGTACGGATCCTGCAGTTGACGCCCTATTTTGGAGAACCACCTAGCATTGCCCCGGGGGCAAAAAAACAAGCAAGCCGAAAACCCTGAGTATTTAGCCAGAACTTGGAGAATTCCTCATACCCCAAATCCCTCAGCCCCTTAAATCCCGAACCCCCCCCCCCCCCCCCCCCCCCCAAACCCTAAACCCTAAACCCTAAACCCTAAACCCTGAACCCTGAACCCTAAACCCTAAACCCTAAACCCTAAACCCTAAACCCTAAACCCTAAACCCTAAACCCTAAACCCTAAACCCTAAACCAAAAAAAAAAGTCTCAGGCCCAGGTGCATCGAATCGGTGGCCTTCTTGGTGCCTTGCAGGAGTTCCTCCTCAGCGGAGAGGTGGGGGTTTTCAACAGATACGGAGGTCTGGGTTTAGGGTTTAGGGCTTAGGGAGGGCTTCAGGCCCAGCGAACACAAGGGGTGTAGTGGCTGTAGAAGGGATCTAGAGATTCTCCGAAAAACAAGGGTGCCTTGCTCGGGGTTCAGGATCCTACTATTTCGGGTCTTTGCTAGGGTCCGAGTTTTCTGACTTGTATTTGTGATTTAAGGTTCATGCTCTTTTGATTGGGGTATGCGTTTTGTTTAGTGTATGTAACTTCTCGCTGAGTGCTGGATCCAACCATTCTCGAAGAGGCACCGAATGTAGGCCTTGAAAAGACACCCAGCAAGCAAATAGGGAGTTATGCCATTCCTGCTGGAACTGCTGATTGCTCGCAGGCCCCCGCTCAAGGGGGTTTCGTGGGTTTTGCCAACTTCTGTGGTCTCCCTGCACCCCCAAAACCCTAGGCCCTAGAAAGAACATCGCAGCCAAAGATTGCAAAAGAGGAAGGCGAAACCCAAACATCCTCAAACCTGCACCCTACACTGGCCTACACCCCCTAAGTTGAAGCACAAACAAAACACAAACAGACACACAGATCTTCTGCCTAGAACCTTGACATCCCCAACCCCAGAGCCGCTGGAACCGTTCGCTCAAACGGCCCTCCTCACCGGCTCTGGACTGGAGGGTCACCAGGTCCTAGGGTCGTTGGCGCAAGGGCTTAAAAGGGTGGGGGCTTGAAATCTAATGTTCTTTTTTAGTGAGCTTCTGTCGGGCGTCACACGGGCTACTCGGGATCTTCATAGGGTTCAGTGTGGCTTCAGAGGGGTTTGGAAGGCAGTAGCCTCTAGAGCCGCCGTGCCCTCGAAGAGTGTTGAAGGGTATGTTCGGGCTTCACTGCAGTATGTTATACGTGCGCCACATCACTCCATGCCTACAGCTCAGTAGTAATATACAACAACGAAAACAGAAATCCACGATTTTGAGGATACACATGCGCCAGGAACAGAGTAAGACGGTAGAATACGTCGGGTAAAACAGCACGCCATTCTGAGGGATTGGGGTACAAGTTGTGGTCGCTTTCGGTCATGGTTCCAGGGTCAGACTTCAGTGAGCGCTGTGTCTGACTCTGACGATCTTGCATGTAAAGCGCCGTACGACTCCATGAAGGTGTTGCGGGCTATTTCTACAACGGTTCGGGGTCTAGCAGCACCAGAACTAAGCAGAAACAGGAAAACAAAACTGAACATTCACCCAGGCGTCGTGGATGTCCTTCATGTAGCCGGTGTTGATGGCGTGCATGTAGTCCAGCTTCTCGCCAATCCACCCGATGTCGGTGTGAGATGCATCGACGGACCACTTGACCAGAGCCTGTCAGGGCAGAGGAGGCATTGCTTGGGTTACTACCCAGACCTAGGAGGATCCAAAAAACAGATCCCCTTAAGGGTTCCTAAGAATGACCCAATAGTAGTATAGAGTACAGTACGTTTTGGGGGCTCTATTTTTTGGATCCTCCCAGGGGTCTGGGTCCAAACGGAACGAAGGCGAAAACCCATCAGCATTCTTCAGCCACACCAACACCAATCTTTGGAAAGAATGTGGCAAGGGGCACAGTAACGAACAGAGATTGCCTCTACACCGCATGTGCGACTGTCTCAGATGGCCATCACGAAGCAGAGCCTGAGTCTTGGCAAAATCGCAAAAGCAACGCGGAAACCAGACTGGCCCCATACCCAAAGCACGACAAACCCAAAGCCTCCCGAACTCCAAAGCACCTAAAACCTTAAGCCATGAGCACAACACCCAAAAACAAGGCCCCCCCCCACAACCCCTAAGCCTTCAAGTTGTTGTTCGTCTTCTTCGTTGCCATCTCAAGGTTACCTCAGGTAGATTCGGGCAGTCGGTTTAGGCCCCCGGGCCTTTTGAGAGTCGCTGAGGGCTTAGCTAGGATTTGTAGGTTTGGGCTATTTAGGGTGCGGGTTTCGACGATCACACTCGTTCTAGGCTGGCAAGGAGTGAGCAGGCTTAGAATTTTAAGGGAATCATTGGGCCCAGGAACTTAACGTTGTGATTTTCTTGGGGTCCAAACTAAATTCTTGTTGCCACTCGCGTTGCTTGATCAGACGTTCCAGGGTTTTGGCCCAGGGCTTGAGCTTTGACGTTGAGGAGCGCACAGGACTGTAAGTTCTGGTTTTCAAACAAACCTGGACTGTCTCTCGTTCTGGTCTTGCAGTCCGAGGGTTCGAAACACATGCCTTATTTTTCTGTGGCTTCCTCTCCCAAACAGCCCTACGCGCACGAGGACTCTGAACTCTGAACCCTCAGCTGCGGCGATTTCTGGAGACGCCGGTAATGACAGCGAGCTGTCAAACCCTAACTTCCCCTCAAGCAAAAACCCCTCATCCCTTGGGTTTAGGGGTTTAGGGTTTGGGGCCACCATGTCGGTCAAGAAGCGGATGATGGACCGATCACCCCGGATCACGGCGTCCCGCACGCAGTGGATATCGCAGAAGGCTCGTGCAAATCCGATCTGCATGGGGTTGCACGCCGCGTAGCCTTCCTCCGGCGAAGGATGGCGCAGGCTGGGTGCGACTGTTGGAGCAACGTCTCTCTCTTGTCTGCTCGACAGAGAGAGACAGAGAGAGATACGTCGTCGATATGCTGTACACAGCTTGAGCAAACGGCCCCCTGTTACTTGTGCTTGACGCGCTAAGCAGGAAAACTGGGGCCTCAAGGTCACCTTATGGGGACTCTCCTCCAAGCAAAATCCCAAACCTCAAAAACCTTCAAGCCCTAAACCCTGTAAACCCTACGTCCTCTTTCCTCTTTAGAGGTACCTCCTCTTTAGCTGATAACCCCCCCCCCCCCCTCAAAAAAAAAAAAGCCAGCTTTGGGATGCTGCAAGCGAGGCGCTTGCTCGATGGACCAGCTCTGCCTGGTGTTAAGGGGCCTTTTTGTGGGTTTCGGCGTTCGGGCTATAAGGGTTTGGACATACTCTTTGGGTTTAGGGTTTAGGGTTTCAGGAGCGAGGTGGTCCAACTCGCAGAACAGATCCGCTTAGGCCTCTGACCCTTGGGTTCAACATGCTTCCTCTTCTCAAGAGCCAGTAGATATGTGCTATGGAGACGAAAACCAGCCATTGGATATGTACGATCTAGACGAAAGCTCTATGACTCGCACAGGTCCCCAATTTCGTAAATCCCAATATGTATATCACTCTTATGCAGAGGGAATAATCGCCAAGTATAGCGTAGACGAATTCTAATCATGTTTGGTCAGGCTCCCACGACAGCCTATACCCTAAACCCTAAACCCTACACCCTAAACCCTAAACCCTAAGCCGGTTTCAGAATGGCGCCTGGCGAAGTGGAAGCCGCTGGCGGGTCCCGCAAAGTTTTGAGCGGCCCCAAGGAGGTCGTTGATGCCTGGTTCTGCAGACTCCGGTTCAAGGATTCAGGGGTTAGTGTAGGGTTTAGGGTTTAGGGTTTTTCGGGTTTGGGGTTTTTAGGGTTTAGGGTTTAGGGTTTAGGGTTTAGGGTTGTAGGATTCAAGGAGAGTTCATTCAGGGCTTAGGGGTGTAAGGGCTCAAAGGTTTACACATGACTTAAGGCTCTTAAGGTTCAACGATTCTGGGGATTCAGGGTTCAGGACCGGGGGTAGCAGAGACCGCTCGGGCAGAAGCCATAAGTCGGATTCCAAGATTTCGGATGTTGGGGCTTAGGGTCGGACGCGGCTTACGCCTCCTGATCTATGGGCGCATACACTGCCCTAAACCCTAAACCCTAAACCCTAAACCCTAAACCCTAAACCCTCAACCCCAAACCCTAAACTCGAAGGCTCGCCCCTTCGATGATCCCTGGGTTGATGGCGCTACTGGTGCGAGAGAACGTCTTGCGGCTAACACGAAAAACGCCTTGCCAACATGGTCCATGAAACCTTGTCCCAACCCGAAACCCTAAACCCTGAACCCCAAACCCCAAATCCTAAACCCTAAACCCCCAAAAGCAACCCCCTGTGCCTGAGTAGCAGGAGCTGCTGGTTCAGGGTTTAGGGGTTTTGGGTTGAGGGCTTTTGGGGTTTAGGGTTTAGGGTTTAGGGTACATGTAGAAAGAAGACAGAGTGGCCGGTGCAGATCTCGCTCGGATTCAGCGCCACTCCGGCACCGAAGGGGGCAATCATCACCTGAAGTTGCAGACCGAAACTCCAAAAACGGCCCCAACTACTCGGTACTCTCGGGGTCGGAATAAAAAAAACCGAATGGAAATCCCTCATAGTCCTTTATGGGAATACGAGATACTCCCAAAACCCTTTTCGAGAGCAGCTCCACTCGGGCCCGAGATTGCTGATCCCGAATGGAAGGTGAGCAGCAGCTCGCGAGGTCGTAAGGCCGATTTCTACTCCATGCTCAAGGCCACGACGAAGCTATAGATACATTACGCGAAGGCAAGTCTAGACCCCCCCCCCCCTTCCCATGCTGGCACACACATGTTCTCAAGCTCCTCGCGACTCTAGGCTACTCATAACTTCAAATTGGCCTTTGGAACCCTGAACCCTAAACCCTAAACCTTAAACCCTAAACCCTAAACCCTAAAACCCTAAACGCTAAACCCTAAACCCTAAACCCTAAACCCAAACCCTAAACCCTAAACCCTACACCCCGAAATCTAGACGCGATGTTTGAGCCCCGCCAGCTCAAGCCTTGGCTGTGCTCGACAAGATGCATCCGGGATGACATCGCACACCGCCCCCATGGTCTCCCCCACGAGATCCATGATGAAGTCCTTGCTTTCGCTTGGAAAAAGAAGGACAGCTCTCTCTCTCTCTCTCTCTCTCGTAAGGTGACCCTTGAAGGGTTTAGGGTTCCAGGGTTCTTTAGGGGTTGAGGATTCCCTTTGAAGGTTCCCTTCAAGTGCCTAGCCTCCCACAAAAAACAAAGAAAGCGCGCCTTGTCGAGCTGTCCTTTATTTATCCTGCATTTGAGTCTGTCTTGCAAACCCTAAACCCCATCCTGATTTCTCAGAAGCCCCCCACCCCCCCGCAAATTTCCGGAAAGTCAAAGGCAAGACTCGGTGAGCGCAGAATGGTAATCCAACTGCGCCGAGGCCAAGTCACGCTCGATGTCGCCTCTCATATCATGCTTTTTGTGCCGTTGGGGGCTTGTGGGGCCTACATTACTTTTCGGTTTGGATTCAGGCTTTAGAACTCACGACGGCCTTCAAGATTCTCATGATTGAGACTCCTGAGAAAAGCAGAGCAGGTACTACCGATCTTCGAGTACAACGCCTGCGAGGCTCGGATGCGCGAGCTTCGGCTTTTTTCGAAGCTAGCTAGACCCTAAACCCTAAACCCTAAACCCTAAACCCTAAACCCTAAACCCTAAACCCTAAACCCTAAACCCCAAACCCCAAACCCCAAACCCCAAACCCCAAACCCCAAACCCCAAACCCAAAAAAATCTCTTTCCCTTGCCGGTCTTGAGAGTTCAAAGCCAGGCTCGCTTCTGTAAAGAGGCGGTCCAGTCTTCAGCCTATGGGCCCCTGGCAGCGGTGAGCTTTTAGGGCGTAGTAGGGTTTAGGGTTTAGGGTTTAGGGCGGTTTAGGGTTTAGGGTTGAGGGTTTAGGGTTCAGGCCTCTAGGCTCCAAGCTCTCTCCTGATTCTCTCTCGGAATTTGCTTTCTGAGCAGGAACCGAGGCGAGCTCCTGCAAAGTTTATACGGGACTCGGGTGCTCCCACAGGCCAGGGGTGCTAGCTACCATGCTCTAACCCTAAACCCTAAACCCTAAACCCTAAACCCTAAACCCTCAACCCTAAACCCACAACCCTGAACAGCGGACTTCACCAGTGCCTTGCATACAGTCGTTCCAGTCCGCATACATCATATTCTCCGGAGCCGTCGACCCATCTCCTCCCGGCAGGTCTGCATTTTGTTGGGAGCCGGGAGGGTTTAGGGTTTAGGGTTTATAAGGGTTTAGGGTTTAGGGTTTAGGGTTTAAGGTTTAGGGTTTAGGGTTTACGGTTTAGGGTTTAGGGTTTAGGGAGGTTGGGCCATACCACCCCAAGCTTCGAATCCTCGGAGCAAGAACTCTCAATTTAGGTTTGGGCAAAGCAAAGCATCTTCCCCTGTGTTTTTGGTGTGTTCTAACTTACCACAGGTTCCCGTTTCGCAGATGTGAAGCCTTGAGATTTATAAACCCTCAATCCCTTACACAGCATCATAAGTTGCAGCGCATGGGAGAGTTAAACACAAGGTGCGGCTGTGCGAAACACAAGAGGACTACATGTACAAAATCAACGCAGCTCAATATCAGAGCCACCGGAAGGGAGCAGCAATGCACGAAGATCCTGGAGGAGAAACACCCACAAACCAACCAAAAGAACCTGACAGCACACAGAAACCTTCCCCCACAAAACTCAACCGTGAAAAATCCGCAAGTTCCTGGACCAGCAGATGATAGCAATTACTCCGACCCCTATAGTAGTACCCTCCATATATACCTTGAAAAGGCCCCATAGAGCCCGGAACTTCTTTTTTTACAGCCCTCTGCCTCCACCCCATTGGCCGAAGATGCCCCCGGCAGTCTTGGCGACTTCACATGGGTGGTAGGAGTCCAGCTCTTGATCCTCGCAAGCTACTATACTCTCCTTAGAACCTTAATAAGAATGATATTGTTTAAGGTTTTATATCGACAAAAAATAATTCGCCAGGGGGATATAGAGCTAGGGCTGTAAGACGGAGCTCACGGATGCTGAAAAAGGGGTGTCTGTGGAAGGTTCTCCTACGTCAGTCGAAGTCCCACGTGTGATAAGACGTGAAGGCGCAGGTTCTCGCAGGGCTCAACGCCATTCCCGCAAGAACGCCTTTCTGCTTCCAGCAAAGCACTCGCAAGTGGGAGTTGTCTTCATCGTGCGGTGCTGTGGTGCTGTGGTGGTGGTGATGGTGGTGGTGGTGGTGGTGGCGGTGGTGGCGGTGGTGGTGGCGGTGGTGGTGCAGGCGCTGGTGGTGTTGGCTCTGCTAGCGCTGGTTGTGGTGGGGGCTGGGGCTGGTGGTGGCGGTGGCGGTGTTCGCGCAAAACGCAGGCGCCGAATACATCGGTCTTCACTGTGTTTCGTGTGGTTGACACGCCGAAAACACCAGTGTCCTTTTCGCGCATGCGATTTCCACGTTTCCACGCACGTGGAAAACATGGTTGTTTCGCGTATGCCCGTAGAGAAAACGCCGGCTTTTCCGGCATTTCCGCTTCTTTAAAGAACCGATCAGAGCATCCATGTCTGCACGGTCAGTCCGTCCGTGTTAACTCCATGCGAGTGGCCAAAGCATCCATGTCTGCACGATGATGACGTCCTTAAAGTCCGAGCAGTTCCCAGCACCCTCAATTCCAACCACGAAGCCGTGCAACGCAGAGCCCAAAACCTGCATGCGGGCAATTCTGTAGTGCTACGCTTCTGAACCCTAAACCTTGAACCCTTCAAACCACACACACACCAATCCCAGTGAGTGCTCCCGTGTAGAGCCCAAACATCCTCAACTTAAATCTCTACTTTTATTATCCCTGCCATGCAAAGCCCTCAACCCTCAACCTTCAACCCAAATAGCTGCGGCAGACCAAACCCAAACTCAAGCATGTTCCGGCCCCGGCTTCGCCGCAACGAGCCGCCCCGGACCAACCCCCAAAACGACGAAAACAGAAACTCCCGTGTACAGTCCCACGCGAAACGCGCATGTTTTCCACAACCACAAATAGAAAAAACGCAACCCAGAACCAGACATGCTTCAAGCAGCACGACCGCCCTCTACCAAAAATAAACGTTGCTTTCGTGCCACGCAGGCTCCGTGAAACGCATTCAAAACAAAGAAGTTCAAAATCATGCGTCTACATTAAGGCGCGCGCGCTGACAGCACGTCCGCGCTTTGTTGGCCCGGTTGTTGTTGTTTGTTGTTGTTGTTGCTGTTGGTGGTGGAGGAGGTGGTCTGCTGTCGTCGCTGGAAGTCGCAGAAGCAGGAGCAGCCGCAGCTTCAGTGCTGCTTACATAGCACAACTACGAAGACAACGACTCGCGCAACTACAAAAGTCACGAAACAGCTGCTGCACACCTGTATCAAAAGGGAAATCGCCGGAATATTTAACAACACTGAAGCCCCATTGCAAGAAGTGAGTTCTGCACACCTTGGCCACTGCAATACATACGAGCGCACCATGCATGTAGTTTAGACCTAGATAATAAGCACCCAGACCATACCGAAGGATCCGTACCAAATACACGATTCGACTGTGCAGAATCTTTGGGCATCTGAACGGTTGCCAAGGCCTACGATCGAGGGCTCAAGCTGTTTGCGAGGAGCCTACACCTACTCTCCCCTTAGAACCTTAATTTAAAAATAGGTTTAATATGCTCTTGGGTTTTATATAAGCAAACAGAAAAAAAAATTCCCAAGGGGATATAGTACACATGCACTCGAAGGGCTCCTTCGTGGAAGGATCGGCCTCCAACTTGGATGTTCTCTGCACTTCCTCGTCCTTCGAAAGTTCCCCCCCAACTCTTGGGACTCGGGGCTTCTCTAGGAAGGGAAGGTCGGAAGGAGGTGCAGGTGGGTTCTCCGCGAAAAGCTACCGAATAAACGTGTTGATCACCACTCAACGAGTTGGACTCGACAATAATTGGAGTTCAGGACGGAATGTTTGACTTGCATGCCCGGACACACACAGATTCGGTTACGCGCGTAGGTTCGGGGTTGAGTTATTCGGCTGGACTGGCGGGCAACGGAGTCGGAAAGGGATGCGCGTACGGCAACTCGGACTCCATCCGCACAACAACTACAATGCGGCTTCGAACTCCCTATTGCCAGAGATACATGGACATGTTCTTACAATGGCTTAGAATTCTACTGGGAATCTGCACTGAGCAGCAGGGTTGCTTTGTCGACTTGCCTTCGCGAAAACCACATCAAGAGGAGCCTGGATCGAACGAGAAAGCGATTTAGCATGTTGAAGGCTTCGTGGGCTTTGCGGCCTATATTAATTTATTAATGAAATCAGGGTTTAGGGTTTAGGGTTTAGGGTTTAGGGTTTAGGGTTTAAAGGGGGATATGTGAACCATTGGCGGATGGACGGGCCTCCTCGTCTTTGAAAGTCTCCGTGACATCCTTGGCCAGCTGTCTCTTTGCTTCTAGCTGTGCCTTCCTACCTTGTCTCTACAAGCAGTTTCACAACTGAGGCCTCTAACATCTCATAGTGTGAATGCGTTTTTGCCTTGCTTTGACGGATCTGTGGGCGCAGGTGAAATCGTGGAGGCAAGCTGGGCATTTTGGGCTGCTCGGCCCCGGATCTGCAAACTTTCGAGTGTAGTTACGGACTTGAACTGCGTTAGCCTTGCGAAATGGGCAGGTTCGGGCTCTTCTGGGCCAGCCTCGGCTCAAGCCGACAATTCCCTTCAGACGCCGTAAACTCACTGAACTCGGGCCTCAAGGTGCAAAGCGGTATGTTGCCCAGATGAACCAGTTAGGAGAGTGCAGGGGTGTGCAGGACCTCATGAAAAGGGACGTTCAGAAGCATCTGCACCCCCTGGAAAACTCCACAGAACCGGGACCAGGTGACCTTCCAGAGATTCTCGTAGTTCAAGCACTCCGCAGCATACTTCGGCTGCTGCGCCTTGAACTCCTCGGGCTTCATGGGGGGGCGCAGGCGTAGAGTTCTGGACATCTTCCCAAGGATGAAAAAGAGCAACTTCTTAGGGTCTAGGGTCGAGGGTCGAGGGTCTAGGGTTTAGGGGCTCAACCGACATGCAGGGCTGAACAGGTCCAGCAATGCCCACATTTTTGGGGCACCTCCAACAGCAGCACATCCTTTGGCAGTTTCCCACTCATTTCTGCATTCGGCAAGCCCCCCCCCCCCCCCAAAAAAGAAAATAAAAAAAAAAAAAAAAAATATAAATAAATAAATAAATAAATAAATAAATATATATATATATATATACATACATAAGGGGGTGGGATCCTTAGGGGTTTCTGTGAAAACCGACTCATGGTCGGACTGTGAAGAGCTTGAACCACCGGGGACTACAAAGATTTGGGCTTGAAACTGCATGAGACCCAGGAGTACTGGCTGCTCCTCGATTAGATGAAGTTCAAGACGAACCCCTTTGCAGAACCAGAACTAACGCTCTATGCCCATGAGTGCCCTTCAGGCCTGAGAATGAACCGCTAAGACCATCAGAGGACCCCGGTGCTGGAGAAATCTTGAACCTGGGCACACACTATCCTGCATTCAATTCAAGCGAGGCTGTTTGCGCGACGAACCCTCAAGCCCAACTGATTGAACTCCTCCCCGATCCTCAGCACCAAACCCCCAAACCCCAAACCCCAAACCCTAAACCCTAAACCCCTAAACCCCCCCGGACAGCCTCTAGCTCGGGCATGGGGGGCTGTGCGGGGCGTCGCGGAGGCTTCATGCGCAAAGCCTCCCCATCATGGGTTTTGCAGCTTTTTCGCTATGCTGGCGTTCAGGTGCTTGGGACTGTCCTGAGTATTGGGCAGGATGTTGCTCTGCAGGGGGTCGGAAAAACGCACAAAATATCTTTGAAGACTCCTATCTAAGCGGCCCCAAACCCCCAAACCCCCAAACGCCTACCAAACATCTAAGCAGCCTCGGGTTAACTATAGAGCTCTGAGGTCTGAGGTCCCTTAAATGAACCCTTAAATGCAGCCTGTCTAAACCCTGAAGCCTGAACCTCGAAGTCTCGACACACGAGTCGCCATCTGGGCACCCACTCGAGCCTCCGCCAAGGACAAGGCCTCCCCACAACTTTCGGCGTCGCTTGGGTTTTTTCGGGGTTTGGGGTTCAGGGCCACGACGGTCTAAGGTTCTTGGCTTTGGGAATCTGGGCATTTCTGCAGATTTCTGCCGTCTGTTCCAGTTGGGGAAACTTGCTCTATTTAGCAATTCTGAGCTCGTAGCCAGGAAACCACATATTTGCGCTGAGCTGAACGAAAAACATACGAATTACAACAACAACTTTGCTTCAACGTGATGTTTCGACTTGGAGGTTCTGTGTGCACAGCTCAGGCTGGAGGAGTTACTTAGTTGTCCAGTACCTAGGGGTTTTAAAGGTTAACCTTTGGGATTATAAGGGGAATATATTACCCCAAAAAGGTTAAAGGTTACCTACTCTACTACTAAGGTTACAGTAGAGTTTGGGGAAGCTCAGGGTTTCATCTTTGCAGCGCTCGGGGGTCGGAAGATTTGTCTCAGGCTCCACTTCGAAGGCTGAGTTGCCGAGCAGGGAACGGTTTAGGGTTTAGGGTTTAGGGTTTAGGGTTTAGGGTTTAGGGTTTAGGGTTTAGGCCTTTTGCCGCCAGAAAGTCTGATTCCATATGGCCCTGACATGTACTCGTTTCTGTAAACTGCTTGCGTTTTATCTTCTGTAGTTGCTTGCCTCCATAAATAACCCTTTGGATGATCCAGAGGTCGTGCCCTTAGGCCAAACAGCACATCGTCCTGTGGATAGCCTTCCTGGGCTGAGCCCAAGATGTAACAGAACGACTTAAGGAAGATGATGAGCGCCGAATCTACCAGCTCCCCCCCCCCCCCCCCCCCCCAAGCCCAGAAGATGGTCATCCCAAACACCAATTCACCAAGCACACAACACGAAAAGACCTGCTTCCCCAACTGGCTCACTAAACCCGAAAAGGACCAAGGATGTGGAGAACTCCTCTTTCCCAAGAAGGCTTAAGAATGCAAGACAAGGCCTCAGCCGGCATGAGACATTGGAAACTCCTACACTCTGTGGTCCAAGTCCTTCCACTCCCTACCTGCCTTGTTCTTCTCTTTGGGCATCTGCCCGAGGAACTCCCCGTCGAAATCGCTCACATTTACCACTTCGAAGGCGGCACCTGCCAGCGAGAGCGGGCACAAAAACCAGTCCGATGTCGAAGGCGGGGTTTTAGGGTTTAGGGTGTTAGGGTTTTAGGGTTTAGGGATGTCGAAGGCAGCCTGCAACTGCCACGACCAACGTTTAATACCATCCCTGAGTACGGTATGCACGCGGGGCAGAGTCGGACTTTACAGTTGAACGCAGAGAAGACCGAGATCTTTTTTGGACCCTTCATGGGGACCCCTTTGACTCAAAAAACCCAGCACAGCCCTCCACCACAGCTCAAAAAAACCCAAAAAAAATCCAAGGCCAAACTTTTGACCGAAGCCTGTCATGCCCACAGGAGAAGCGCTGTTGGTGACCTCCGAGCACTCGGAATTCAGGCACCACTTGCCTGGGCCACCCAGCTGGCTTTGTGTTCGGTTGCGCCGTCCTATTCACCGTTTGGGGGGGCCTCGGTTTAGACTTTGGTTCGGGTTGAAGCCTCTAGGAGAAAAGCCACGCCAGTGCTAGGGAACGCCACTCCTCTGGAGCTACGAACGCCCTTATCCTCTTGGGTTATATATCAACCAAAATCATTGCCAAGAGGGATGTAGGCCAATATTCGAAGCCAACGACAACCCCCAAAACGAAGCCCTGCTGTGCCCGTCCATCCGCAGGCACGGGCTTCGGATTTGTCAACCCGTTTTTGGGCTTTCGTTTTTTTTTTGCCACCCTCGAGCTCAACCCTAACGTACCCGCGAGCAGCTTTAGGACCCCCTGAATCCCTAAATTACCAAGCCTGTGCCCCAGACCACACCCCGAAAAGCCCCACAAACCCTTGCAGAACCTAACTTCTCCCTAAATAGTTTAATCTATAGGTGGTCGCCACCCTGCCTTGCTTACTACTTTGTATAAAGGGATGATCGTCCTCCCCAACATCCCCTCAAACGTGCACCTAAACATGCCCCCCCCCTCCCTCCATCCCCCTCTCCCCCCCTCCATCCCCCTCTCCCCCCCTCCATCCCCCTCTCCCCCCCCTCCATCCCCCCTCCCCCCTCCCCCCCCCCTCCCCCCCTTATCTGCCAGCCTCTGTCTGTCTAACCCTCTCTCTCGGTCTCTCTCTGTGTCTCTCTCTCTACATGTCTGCATCTATCTCTATACCTTCTTTCTCTATCTGTGTTCTGAGTTTTCAATGCCGGTCTCTCTCTGTATGTGTCTCTGTCTGTCTGTCTGTCTGTGTCTGTCTGTCTGTCTGTCTAGTGGTCTGACATCAGCGCTTCAAGAGGTCAAAAGGGCATCGGGCTTGTTGGGTGGGGGCTCTTTTGGAACCGGCTACGGGAATGCTTCAAGATTTCTGCTGCTGCTGATGAAGTAAGACGCCTATCCGGGCATCTTACTGCTTTTTAGGGGTGCCCCGATCGCTTCCTCGGTCAGACAGACCTTGAGTTGTGCACTTGCACAAGAGAAATCCCAATTTCAGCATGTGAAAAGCGCATTGGGCTTGTTGGATGCTCTTCTAGCCTAAAACAGGCACGGCAGGCCTAAAAAGCCCTTGCCTCCGTTAGATGCCTCGCTAGCTGATGACACAGGCCCAATGCACTTTTCAGGTGCCGAAATTGCATTTTGTCTTGTGGGAAAGGACTATTCAGGGTCTCTTTGGCTGAGGAAGAACGGAGAAAGCCGCTAGGGCCTGGCGGCCTGGCTAGCTTTCTCATCATCACAAGCAGCAGAAGTCATCAAGTATTTCTGCAGACCGGGCTAGAACTTCCAAGAAGCCCAATGCACTTTTCAGCTGCCGAAATTGCATTTTGTCTTGTGCAGGAGGACTATGAAGGGTTTATGTGGCTGAGAAAAACAAAGCCAAGCTTACGGCTTAAGAACCATGAGGGGCCTGCCTCTTTCTGGCTGCTGCAAGCACCGCAAGTCTTGAAGCTTGTCTGCAAGCGTGTAGGCAGCAAACCGTCAGCTGCAGGAACTGTTTCTGGGTCCCGAGGAAAAGACCGCGCTGCCTCTTCAGCATAGTGCTTTTTCCAGCTTGAAGCTGCGCGGGCCTTCCCGTGTGGCTTCATCTTTCTTAAAAGGCTCTAGGGCAGGACTTGGAGGAGCCCGTCTGGCTACTGCTTGCCTTGGCGTTTTCGCCAGGAAGACAGGAAGAGCTTGTAGCTTCGGAGCCTCTCAGACTTCAGGGCTTTAGGCTTTAGAGGCTCCAGCTATTCTCCAGGCAGATCAGGACCTTGGCCAGGCCTTCTAGACTCCAACACTTTTCTTTCGGGATGCCACGCATTTTCTCCTAGTTCTCAAGTTGCAAGGCCCCATGCGTTTTCGCCTTCTTCGGAATTTGCAGGACCCGCGCGTTTTCTCCTGCTTTTGAATTGGCCCGGGCCCCCACGCGTTTTCTCCTGTTTTTGAAGTTGCTGGACCCCACGCGTTTTCGCCTGCTACAAAAACGGCACAAAAACCGGAGAAATGGGCCCGGACCCCACGGTCAAACGGCAAAAATGGGTCTGAGTCCCACGCGTTTTCGCCTGTAAAACGGCCGAAATGACTCTTGTTCCCACGCGCTATAAACGGCAAAATGGGTCCGGGTCCCACGTCAGGCAATCCTACGGACCCCACGTCTTTTGCCCTCCCCAAAACAAATCCTGGAGTCTAAGAGGCCCGCCTGAGATCCGTACCTGCTCCTAGCGCGGGCGGATTTCGAGTCTTGCAGCAGGGCAGAAGGCAGAGGGCCGCCTATGGTCCTTTGCTACTCACAGCATCTGAGGTCTTCGAGTCTTGCAGCAGGGCAGAAGCAGCAAACTGGGTGCTCGAGCAACAGCAAGTTTCAATGAAACAGGACTGCTGCAGTCCTTCAGCGGTGCTGTTTCTGCAGTCCTTCACCAGTCCTTGGGTCTCTCTCCGGCTGGCACAGAGACTCCGAAGGACTGCTACCTGCTACTTGCCAGAGACGTTTTTCTAGGCTTGCAGCTCCTGCTGCACGCAGAATAGCTGGACCCTTTAAAGCCTGAAGGCATATTAAGTCTGAGAAGATCTGAAGCTACAAGCTCTTCCTGTAGTCCTGGCCAAAAAATGGCAGTAGCCAGACTGGCTTGCTCCTCCCAGCCCTGCCGTATAACCTTAAAGAAAGATGAAACCACACTAGCCTTCCCACCCAGCTTCAAGCTTCAGACAAGCACTGCACTCAAGCTGCTGCAAGGCTGCACCCCATAAGACCAAGGAGCCCATGTACCCTGACCTTATACCCTAGCCTCAAGCCTACACTTACACCCACTAGCGGCGAGGGCTTAACGGCGCACGCTCAGCCGATCCTTACTTAGGGGGCCCCGGGCTTAGGCCCTAAGGTTTAAGGCTTCGGGTTTAGGGTTTAGGGCCTCGGGTTTAGGGTTTTAGGTTTAGGGCCTTTATGGCTTGACGGCGCACGCTCAGCCGATCCTTAAGGGCTTTGGGTTTAGGATTGAGGATTTAGGGCAGGGCTTAACAGCGCACGCTCAGCCGATCCCTACCTGGACCTATGATTTAGGGCTTCAGGTTTAGGGTTAAGGGGGTTTAAGGGGTTTAGGTGGTTTAGGGGGTTTAGGCCTCTGGGAATTTAGGGCCTTTAGGGCCTGTAGGGCTTAACGAGTTTAGGGGGTTTAGCCGAGTTTAGGGTTTAGGGCTTCGGGTTTAGGGCTTTTGAAAGGGCAGAGGCCCCAGACCAAAAAAAACTGAACCGTAAAGCTCAAACCCAAAACCAAACCCTAAACCCTAGGTCCTAGGCCTAAGGCCTTAAGGCCTAAACTAACCCCTAAGCCCTAAGCATTAAATGCTTTGCGGCCAAGAAGCTGCTTGATCTCTCTCGCTCTCTCTGCCCACCTCTCTCCTTGCTTCCTCTCGACTATCTGTCCTCTCTCCACTCTTTTTTCAGGTCCTCTTGTCCGCTCTGTATGTCTCTCGCCCTTTCCCTTGATCTCTCTGTATCCATCCATCTCTCTCTCTCTCTCTTCTTCTTCTCTCTTCTCTCTCTCTCTCTCTCTCTCTCTCTCTCTCTATCTGTATCTATCTCTCTCTCTCTGTCCTCAGTTGGGGGGGGGGGCATGTTAGACGGCATGTTTGTGGGGATGATCATCCCCCCCCTGTGGGATACCCCAAGGCAGGCGGTGACCACCTATAGTTTAATCGGTCATGTCCTTGAAACCCAGAAGCCACTGAACCGCACGCACCCTTCGGACGCCAGGGAGCCTGACTTGCGCTGGAAAGACAGGGTGCGATCAGATCCACCTTCCTTGCGCAGGATGTGGGGGTTTAGGGTTTAGGTTTTAGGGTTTAGTTTAGGGTTAAGGGTTTAGGGTTTAGGGCTTGGGCCTTCGGAGTGTGTTCTCGTCATCCTTCCGCCTAGCTGATCAGGTCTCACTGCGGGGAATAGACATGGCATACATGGACTTCAGGAATATGGGTTAAGGGTTTTTGCAAAGGTTAGTTCTTGCCCCGTTTCGGATGGGCTTGTCGGACAGTAGGGAGTCGGCTTCAGGTTACAAGGTGCGCGCACCTTCAGGGTTCCGAATTCAAATCGGAGCATATGGGCCCTCAGAATGTGAGGGCTGGACAATGGAGTGTGTCTCGGGTTTGCGGGTTTAGGGCACAGTTGCTAAACTATGTATTTGCATCCAAATTTCCTGGCTGCCAAGAACCACTGAGGGTCAGACCCTAAACCCTAAACCCTAAACCCTAAACCCTAAACCCTAAACCCTAAACCCTAAACCCTAAACCCTAAACCCTAAACCCTAAACCCTAAACTCCCAAAGGCCCTAGGCCCACGGCCTACATCTCCTAATGAAGCGCTACGAGGGCCTGCAATATGTTGTACCTTTCTGGGGTTCCTTAAGGATGCAATGCTCCGGGCTTTTTTAGGGGGTTCCTTGACTGTTTTTCTGAAAGTCCCATGTCAAGCTGGCCACTGAAAAAAGATATGTCAGTTCGAACCTAAACATGGTGTGGCAAATTCCTTGCGGGCGTAGGGTAGTTGGGGTTTAGGGGCTGGGGAGCATCAGGGTGACATTGTAGCATTCTGTTTCATGAAAACGCAATTGGAAACCTCCACAGCGGTAGTGGGGCCGTGAGCATAGTGGGGCCGTCGGCATCGTCGTAGTCGTAGCAGAAATAGCAGAAGTAGTCGCTGTCGTTGTCGTTGTCGCTGTCGCTGTCGTCGTCATGGTCGTCGTCGTCGTCGTCGTCGTCGTAGCAGCAGCAGCAGCAGCCGCGGAGGAGGAGGAGGAGGAGGAGGAGGAGGAGGAGGAGGACTCCAGGCGTTCTTCTACGATCAGACTTACGGTCGAGGCTCAAAACTCACCCGGCCACTCTGCTCATCACGGCTGCTGGGGCAGTAGATCCCGTCGTAGCTGCCTCACTGATGCCGGCTATCCTTCTGCCTTGAGAACCTCACACACCCGAGAGCAGAAGCCGAAATCCAGAAACCTTTAAGCCCCGAACCCTGGCCCTTTCGGCTTTAATGCTTGGGCCTCGGGATTTTCGGTGGAGTCCTGCGGATGAACACTTTACGTTAGCATCCACCTGTCTGAAATCGTTCTACACGGGCTGCCCTCCTGCCACGGCCAATATTCCTGTCACCCACGTGAGAATCCTGACTGCGCTACTGTTGCTGCGCATGCTGTTCCTTAAGGCATTGTTCTTGTTTCCCATGGTGCCCATGCTTACGATTAGCTCATAGCTGGAATACAAGCAAAGTTTTCTCGCCCTCAGTCTTTCGCCAGTGGCCCAGGAACACCAGGAATTCGTAAAGCTAATGTCTTCACCGCATAAACCCCTGAAGCCTCAAGCCTTCTTTATTAAGCCGCAGGCCCGATTTCAAGCCCGAATGCCCGCATCCAACGGTGTAAACTGGCGTAGACCCACAACAAGCAACCCCCAAACACTGATCTGAGCAGTCCGTACATGCCAAACCACCACGAGAACCACGACTAGCAGGAGACCAGCAAGAGATCAGCAAGAGACCAGCAGGCGACTTCATCAGGAGATCACCAAAGCAATAAGCGGGGTCTGACGGGAGTCAGCGCTCCAGAGGCACATTGACACGCGGCACCGAATGCCAGCATGCTTCCCTGTCTTGTCTTCGAGCGTTTTCAGGGCATCGCAATCGCAGCCAAAGCGCTTCCAGACCTTGTCCGGCATGCTTCGGCGTTCCACAGACTCCAGTAAAAACAATGCTTCCCCGCCCTGTCCGATGGGTTTCGAGAGTTCTTCCGGGCACCACGGCCGAAATGATAACCCACCTTGTCTGGACGGATTCCGTGTTCTTCCCAAAAACACCTCCCATCGTTCTGCTGGGTTGCGCTTTTTGAAACTCAATGCAATCGAAGGCCCGCCTATTGAATTTCAGCTGAATGCGGCGTGCCACGCGGGGCCACCACGAGACTGTGGAATCACCTGCCTCGCGTGCCGTTGGGCGAAGATGTGCACCACTCCACAGCGGGAGCCGGGACGCCCGCTTCGAAGGACACCCAACTTCGCCTCCTCTACACTGGACGTGAGAGCCCCGAAAGAGTGCCACCACACTCTTGGATGCGCTTGGGGAACACGCACAAACAAACACATCCCTAAACCCTAAACCCTAAACCTTAAACCCTAAACCGTAAAGCCCTAAAACCCTAAACCCTAAACCCTAAAACCCTAAACCCTAAACCCTAAACAACTCAGAAAGCAAGAAGGTTTGGGCCAAGGCCACCCACCAGCTCGGGCAGCTGCCCCCGAGGATCGAAGCTCACTGGCGCCCCACCGGCTTTACAGCACTGGTAGCCTTAAGGACGTGTGAGGAATTCCCGCCCGTAGGATTCGGGGTTTAGGGTTGAGGGTTTAGGGTTTAGGGTGCAGGCTGGGTCTCGGAGTTTCGGAGCACGTGGTGCTTGGAGCTTGCTTTTGTTTGTGGGTTGTGCTTCGGGCTTAGGGGTTTGGTGCTACGGGCTTGGGCAAAGAATACTTTCTGTTCATTGCTGGAGCCCATAACGACTGGTTGAGTTGCTCAAATACAAAAAACTCAGGGGCACCGTGAAGACTCCCTCAGTGTTCTGACCTAGCTTCTTCGGGCTCAGGGCAAAAAAATTCGACCCAATGGCTTAGGGTTCCGTGGCACCCAGTCCTCTGACTCCATGCTTGGTTGCAGAAGGCTCCCCATGCTGGATGCTGCATTCCGGGCCAATACACCAAGTCCAGGAGACTTCGATTCAAGTCCGAAGCCTGTCACGCATCCTCCAAGCACTAGGCGCACGCACATCCGAACAGAATTCATCTGGAGAAGTGGGGTTTAGGGTTTAGGGTTTAGGGTTTAGGGTTTAGGGTTTCGGGTTTCCATGTTCAGGCAAGCTTCGCACTCGACCCCACTTGCCCCCCTCGGAGAACTCGAAGTGGAAGCCTCCCAGCACTTGGAGGTTCGGGGTACTAATTAACCAATTATCCGCCGACCCTGGCGGCGTGTTGGATGGGAAAAGGAGGTGAAAACCTCCCTGTTTCCCTCCTTACCCCCCCCCAAAACGCGGGGAGGGGGGTGGGGGGGGTCGGTGCACAATTTTTTCGTGGAGGACCGCGCCACCCGCACAGCGTAAACAGGGGGTTCAGCACGGGGGGGTAGGGGCGCCCTCAGCAAAATCAGCGTTTTTCGACCCCCCCCCACCCCCCCCCACCCCACCTGTCTTTTTGGCTTGAGCTTGTCCTGGTGCTACCCCCTACCCCCCCCAAACGATTCACAGAACTTTGCCGGGGATTCCATGCGAGCGGGTCTCAACTATGCTCCAGCGGGGTCGGCGGCTTGAGCCGGAGGCTCTTAAATAACTGTACCCTAAACCCTAAACCCTAAACCCTGTACTTATAACTGCACTTCTAACCACATTAGGGCACTTTAAGGGGCTTACAAGTGGGTTACTAAGTACAGATATATATTAGTTACTAAGTACCATGAGCCTCCCAGTATGGCATTCTGCCCGCAGCTCACCGGCATCATACGAATCGACTTTGCCCTTGGCTGCTCATCCACGGGTCTCTAAGTCGCTGGAAACAATGTGACTGACTACATAGGGGATCTAAACCCTAAACCCTAAAACCCTAAAACCCTAAACCCTAAACCCTACACCCTAAACCCTAAACCCTAAACCCTAAACCCTAAACCCGAAACCCTAACCCTGAATAGGGTATCTGGGTTTTGTGAGGCAGCCCTGCGCCCTGCGCTGCAGAAACCTCAATCCCTGAAAGGAGACCCTGACCGCAAGTTTTCCATCTGTACCGGAGGCTTTTTTTGCCCGGTATTGTAGCGCCCTTTTGGGGCTTGGAGCTACGTGGATATGCTTTTTGGGGTTTAGGGTTTAGGGTTTAGGGTTTAGGGTTTAGGGCTTAGGGTTTCGGGTTTCGTAGGCCTGAGCATGCGAAGGTGCGCAGAGTTGCAGAGCTGCGGGGCCCAGGAGGCTTCAGAGACCAGAGGCCCATGGGCCTAATCAGTGGCCCATGCTAGGGTTCTGTCCACTCATGCAACAGACTGTCACCCCAAAAAAGAAAGCCCCAGGCAGCAGAGGCCCTTCTGGTAAGACCAAGACAACTCTCGAAAACTCACGAAAACTCACGGCCATAGCCATCCTAAACCCCGAAGCTGCTAAGCTGCTGACCTCGAGGATTTTTGGGCCTAGAGTCCCTGCGAAGCAAAGCCAAGATTTTCATTGTATGCATCGCACAGCTACACGAATCCAAGACCCGAAAGATCTGCTGTCAGTACGAGGGCTTCGGGCTCAGGTCTACTGCGAATTGCGGTAGAACATTATGTGGGCCACGGAAACCATGAACCCGCAACAAAGCAACAGTTGCGCCCAAGAGAAATCATAAAGCTTTCGGCGTTCGCCCGACACTCCTTAAGCCGAGACGCCAGTGACTGATCGATTGGCTGAAGCCTCGCTGGTTGGGGCTCATACCGAAGATTCAAGCATGAAGGCTGCCGATATGCACCGAACACTCGTATGGAGTGCGATGCGTAGTTTTGCGAAGAAGCATGCTTCGTTCGGTGCGCACGGCTGTGGTAACAGTCAAAGCATCACCCTAAGCCTCAAAGCCAAGCTCGAAGTGTTAACACTTTCGGCCTGGACCGCTCGAATGAGCTCTTCCACAACATACCCTCATGCACCCCACCCTTCCGAACAAAACCGACATTTAACCGTGCCCTCCGAAAACCGCACAAGCAACAACTCAAAAACAAGAACGCGCGCACACACACGCGCACACACAACATAAACAAACACACCCAAAACAGACACCAGAGTGGCCACAGAGTAAGCCCCACTTCCTTGTCAAGCAAGAAGCTGGCGATCTCCACCTGGGCGCTGTAGTAGTCGAAGCAGGCGCCCAACCCACCTCAGCGTCCCGCATACTTAAGGGCCCTTTGGGTTCCTTGAGGACTTCGGTTCTTAAAGTCTTAGGTTCTTAGGGGGTTTAGGGTTTAGGGTTTGGGGTTTAGGGTTTAGGGTTCAGGGTTAGGGTTTTGGTTCTTAGGGGGTTTTATGGACTCTCACAGCTCGGCGGGGTGAGAGACATGCCGCCGAAGGTCTTCGTTTGAAAGGCATGTCATGCTTGGAGGTTCATGGTGCCTATTAACCAATCATAACTGTACTTATAACTGTACTTATAAGCCCCTTAAGAGCCCCAGTATGGTTATAAGTACAGTTATAAGTACAGTTATAAGTACAGTTATAAGTACAGTTATCAGGGGTTAATAAGTACCATGAACCTCTAAGTGGCGCCTGCATGGCACCTGCATCACAAACATAGGTACTGTCTCCACCCCAGGCGAATGAATAGCATGGGATGACCAAAAAGCTCTATCTTGGAAGTCCGTGTCTTGATGTGTTGTAGAAGCTGTGGAGGTTTGGGGATTTAATTTTTTTAGGCTTTCTTCGTGTCAGGATTCTGAACCATGTCTGCATGATTCTGCAGCATTACAACGCTTGAGCTTTAAGGAGCTTGTTTTGCGTTTTCTTTTTAAATAATCAGGTAGGTTCCAGGGATGCGCCCTCGGTTTCGTTTCGTATCTTCTTTGTCTGCCTTTGCAGGCCCATCGGCTGCTTTCAACGGTCTAGGATGTCTGGGTTCTTTGCAGGGGGGGTGGTTGGGAGGTTGGGTGGCTGTTCCACACCATGAACAGCAAAATGCCTGCAGGACTCCCATCTCCCCCTCTTCGAGCAAGCTTGGCAGAATCTAACCACCCTAAACCCTAAACCCTAAACCCCAAACCCGTAAGGGGGCAGGCAGGCTGCCGATCTTGCTGCACTCGTACTTGTAGATGCTCCTGAGCCGATGGGGGTATTGGTAAAACTATTAATAAATTCTAAGTCAGTTGGGCTTATGCCAAGCACCGAACTCCTGCAGCTGCGAGTTAGGGTTTAGGGTTTAGGGTTTAGGGTTTAGGGTTTAGGGTTTAGGTTTAGGGTTTAGGGTTTAGGGTTTAGGGTTCAGGGTTTAGGGTTTAGGGGGTTTAGGGTTTAGGGTTTGCCCCTCACTGCAACCCTAAGCCATGGAACCACAAGGCCATGAGATACATCAACTGTGATTCAGAGTTTCGAGCTTGATGTTGCGTTTCTATACTCCTCTCAACACTCCGACCACTGTGGAATGGGATCTTGCGGTAGAACATATTGTTCTTGCAAGCGTAATGCAGGAATAGTCCGAACTGCCTACTACAGTACGTATGCAGGCTCCTACCTTGCCTTCTCGATTTTCTTCCCTGAGCGCGGCCAGTCTATGCTACTCCCCCTCAATTCCCCCCGGTGCCCCGCACACTACATGCATTTGCAGCGTGTGCCTGTGTTCTTACTCATTTGCAAGTTCATACCTCGTTCCCTCTTACCACATCATCTCAACCTTCCTCGACTGCGTCTACTTATGCTACCTCTACGCCTATGAAACCATCAGTGAAACCGACGTTGGCATTCATCTTTATACTAAGTGTTTGTGTTTGTGTGTGTGCGTGTGTGCAGATGCACAATCGCTAATAGTTAAAGCGCTTGATATAAGCAATCATACATGCATCTTCTGGACAGACAAGCGCATTTAAGTGCGTCAGGCCTTCGAGGTGAGGGTGTAGGGCTGGGTTTGCGCTACGTGTAGGGCTCTGGGTTCTGACTTCCACCAGACCCTCATTTGAGGGCCATGTGTTCCAACACGTTCGAGTGGAAGGTTATATTGCTTTCTTCTCATATGACCCGGACGAGACAACAGGTGATCCGAAAACATACTTTAAATGTGGGCTCTACACTACATTCCGTTCTGAGACAGCAGCCAGGGCACTTGGCTGCATCCAGCTTGAAGGCCGTCAAGGCTTCGCCCGATTCGCCTTCAGATCTTAAAGGTTGAAGTGCATTTGGGCAAAAAGTAAGGTTTCGGGAACTTAGGGGTTTGCAAACTTTAGAGATCTGGGTTGAACTGCGCAACTAGGTGAAGGTTTTAGGGTTCTACAGGCTTTGAACAGACGCACTGCGGTGTTGCTCAGGTGTGTGTGGCATAGCGGAGATATGACACATGTCTGGGGCGGACAGGGTGTCCAGCAGCTGGCTACACATGGGCAATGGTGTAATATAGGGGCCTGAATAACTAGAATAGGGTTTGGGGGGTTGGTGATTGTAGTAGAACTTTAAAGGGACCATAAGGGAATACCATTAGTGATTTTTCCGACCCCTATATTACACGTTTGCTTCCAAGCCGATCTTTGTGCCATCGTCCGGCCACCGCTATGAGAAATGAGATTAGCGGCCTTGTTCTTATGCAGGCATGCGATGCAAGGAGCCCCACACAACGCACAACACACAACACACAACACACAACCCTAAACCCTAAACCCTAAACCCTAGACTCTTTCTTGCAGCTGGGCGCATTCAACGGAGTTCTCTGCGAGGAGGTGGTGCCAATCCTTCCAGTTGGTGGTGGTCTTTGATCGCACGATGCCAGTATCCACGAACTCACCGAACCTCAGATTTGCGTTGGCTTGCTAAGGAGGCTACGTCTTCAGGCGCTGCAGCTTTACAGATTTGGGTGAGGTTCAGTGTCTCAAAAGGGCTAGGCTGCATAGAGCTTTCGACACTGCATCGGAGGGTGATAGCCCGACCCCTTATGAGTCTCACCTTCGTCGCAGATAACAGCGCAATGCCGGCGAAAGAAGGACCTGCATGCCGCTAGATGGGATTCGAGTCATTTAACAGCTAAGCAGTGTAGAACCCAAATAGATTCTAGTCATTTACCTGCTAAGCTGTCTAGAACCCAAATAGCCCTGTACTAAGCCCTCGAAAACCGCCCCCCCCCCCGCAGCGGACTCAGTAGACCGAGTTGCTGAATTAGCGGGGCGAACTTGCAGGCCGTCTGGCTATTTCCCGTGTCACCTCCATCGGGCCCCATCAGAATTTGGGGGCTTCGATTTCTAGGGTCCTTTTTCCTTTATTGGGCTCCAAAACAGGGTCTTTCAAAGGGGTGGTATTTGGGGGGTGTCTTCATACTAGGGATACTGTTTCACAGGTTCTTCTCGGGTTCTACGAGGAGCCTCTTTCTCGTAGTAGGGCCCCTCAAACTCTTAAACTCAGGATCCTTAAACTCTTAAACTCTTAAAATCTTAAACTCTTAAACTCAGGATCCTCGACCCTTTGGGCTGCGGGCAGGCTCCCCTTTATCTCTGAAACTGAACTGCAGCTGGCTATTCGAGATTGGGGCTATCAGGACATCCCTAGGCTTTAATAAGGGGCCCTAAACCCTAAACCCTAAACCCTAAACCCTAAACCCTAAACCCTAAACCTTCTAGGACCAGTTGAAGTCGGAGGGTTAGTTGAGCTTTTTTTCCGGGGACAGGGTTCCGGGTTCTATAGATTTTGCCGACCAAGCACGGTGAGAAGTTGAGGGTTTAGGTTTTTAGGGTTTAGGGCTTTAGGGTTTAGGTGTCAAAGAGGACAGCACATATTGCCAGACATGCCTTTTCATGCAGAAGCACAACTTGGTCAAGCACCGGCCGAAGCCTCCCTCAAAGAAATGAAGACTGGTAACCCACTCCCCCGAGGCGATGTCGGCAGGCCGCTGCCATTATGCAAGGTTTTTAGGTGATTTTTGTTAAGGGCTTAGGAGGCTCAGGGAGACCCACATTTGTCATTCTGGGGACGAGAATGCGGCTGCAGAGATCTGCCATGTACTGGCAGCATCCAGGGGGGGGGGGGTCGAAAGAATATGGGAACCCCACACCCAAGACCCAAAACCCTAAACCCTAAACCCTTAAACCCTAAACTCTGAACCCTAAACCCTGAACCCTGAACCCTGAGAAAAAACCCCATGGACCCTTGCAAGGTGTTAGGAGTCCAGGCCTGGACTCCTCCTTCTTAAGATGCTAAGCCCTGAGGAAGGCACCAAACACCCCCAAACCCTAAATCCTAAGAGCTCCCGGAAAGGAATACTAAGAGACCCCCCCTAAGCCCTAAATCATACGCCCCAAAACTCTCTGAAAGGAACCCATATTAAGGGACCTGTCACCCCAAAACCCTCCGCCCCAAGACTCCGCTAAAGGAACCCATACTGAGGGACCCCCCTAAACCCCAAACCCAAAACCCAAAACCCTAAACCCTAAACCCTAAACCCAAAACCCTTCAAAAGCCTGCAAAAAGTTGGCCGAAGTCGAGGCTGCTCAAGGCTCCACTCGTGCCGCAGTAGGAGGAAAAGGGCTTGTGGAGATCCTGGGTTCAGGGTTTAGGGTTGAGGGTTTAGGGTTTCAGGGTTTGGGGTTCCGGGTTTAGGGTTGAGGGTTTAGGGTTTCAGGGTTCATGGTTTAGGGATCAGGGTGCCTATGTACGTAGGACCTCCATGTATTAGTGTGGGACATCCTCTTTCGTATATCAACATGCTGAAATAGGCTGTGCGTGTGTATGATTTTTACAAGCTTTGCACATATGTAAATTACACAAACCTTCTAACTTTTATGTATATGCATTTGTTACATAACTTTTAGTTTTTTGTCAGGGCCGCCGGAAACCCAGATGCTTATACATCTATGCACAGCTTTTACTTTTACAAATGTTTTAAATGACATAAACAAATGGTTTTCTGGGCAGCTGGAAACCCGGAATTTTATGAACTTTCCAAGGTATATGTTGTCTAGTTTAAAGGTGAAATTTAGAAAGTTGATAACACCTGGGCCCCGGCCGACCCAGAAAACCTAAACAATAAACTATGTAAAGCTTATGTCTCTCAGCACAGCAGGAAACTTTATCAACTGTGTATTTCAGTAGTTTATATCTTTAAAAATATTTTCCTAAAATTCATGCATTCCTAACTTTTAGGGCTTTCTGGGCCGCCGGAAACCCAGATGTTTGTAAAGTTGTCAAATGTTGTACATTTGGAAACACTTACTTTAAAGGTAACCTTTACAAGCAAAGTTCTTGCTTTGCAAAATCTGGCCTCGGCCGACGCACAAACCCCCATAAAATCACATATATACATATATATGTACATATGTATATATATATACATATGTATATGTATAAGCTGTACAACCGGGGTATCTTCCACATCAAGTCTTCAGCTGCAAGTGTCCATGGAAACCCCAAAACACCGTGCACGAGATGTTTCTGGAGATGCAAGAAGAACCCTCTTGGACCTGCGGGGGCTGAATACCCTAGCCCAAAAAAGGTTGATGTTGCATATCGAGTAGGAACCGATAGAACCGAAAAAGGTTAGAGGTTACCTACCCAACCCCTAAGGAACTCTGCTGGCGCTTCCAGTTTGTGGTCTGAGGCTCCTGTGTGCGCTCATCCGCCTCGATGTGGAGGTCCCACATGTCTGTTGGCCTGCTTGCTAGGGTTTAGGGTTTAGGGTTTAGGGTTTAGGGTTTAGGGTTTAGGGTTTAGGGTTTAGGGTTTAGGGTTTAGGGTTTAGGGTTTTAGGGTTTAGGGTTTAGGGTTTAGGGTTTAGGGTTTAGGGTTTAGGGTTTAGGTTTAGGGTTTAGGGTTTAGGGTGTGTCAGGGGAGGGCGCGCGCTCGGGTGTGAAACACCCCGGGCCGCGCGCTCGCGTTGCCCGTCAACCCACCCCGGCCATCCAAACTATACTCTATTAGGGTTTAGGGTATATGGAATTTATTTTCTTGTGCCCTGATGCTTGCTTTGATGTTTTTAAAGTTGCGCTGTTCGGGTTTAAGCTGGGGTTGGGGGTAGCCTCGGCCCTTTTCGGGCCTTCGGCGTGTCAGGGCCCGTAGAGGCCCTTATTTATTTGAAGGTCAGGGAAACCCTTTGCGCCTGCTCCTGGATTCCCCTTCTTTAAGGGCCTCAGGCCTTTTGGTGGCTCTTGGGGCCTTTTGTGGGCTTCCTGGGCGCTTTCCTGGCCCTTCCGGGGTAAAATGAAGGGGTGCCCAAAACCATCGATGTCAGTACCAAAAAATCGCATTTTTCATTGCGGGTACGGGCATCCTGGGGTCCCCCTTCTTTTAGGGGGTCTTTTGAAGCCTTTTGGTGGCTCTTGGGTCTCTCGCCCTGTGCGGACCTTCGGCATGTCAGGGCCGTAGAGGCTTTATTCATTTGAAGGTCGGGGAACCTATTAATTTTTTTTCGCCAATGAGTATTTCAATCGCAAGGGTTTAAGCTGGGGTTCGGGGTAGCCTCGGCCCTTTTCGGGCCTTCGGCACGTTAGGGCCCGTAAAGGCCCTTTATTTGCTTGAAGGGTTTTGCGGTGTTAGGGTTTAAGCTGGGGTTCGGGGTAGCCTCGGCCCTTTTCGGGCCTTCGGCACGTCAGGGCCCGTAGAGGCCCTTGCTCAAGGTTTTGTTTGGCGGAGCGGCGCTCTTTTTTGGTCAGAAGAACCCCTCTTGGCAAAGGGCTGAGGTGTTTGTCAGGAGGGGGTTCTTGGCTTGTTGGGCGGTGGTTCCGGGGGCCCTTTGGCCTGCTTTTGGGTTGGGGCGATCTTGGCCCTGGCCCGCCCGGAAGGCCCTTCGTTCTTGGCTCGGGGAACGGCCAAAATTCTGGGACCCCTTGGCGGCCGCAGATTCTTGGTCGGGGCCCTTGGCCCAAAAAGCCGGAGCCCTTGGCCCAAGGGGCCCTTGGCCCAGGCCCTTGGCCCAGGGGGCCCTTGGCCGGGGGGCCTGGGCCTGTCTGGACCCCTCGCCAGCCTCCTGGTCCAGGAATCCAGCCACCAGGGGCCAGGGGGCCCCAGGGGGGGGGGGGAGCCGGCAAACCCTGAACCCAAAACCGTTACGATTTGGTGACGATTTGGTGACACTTTAGCTACGCTAAATGTGGTCTGGGTGTTGGCCATCCCTTAGCCGAGTACTGACGTTGTCGTAAAAAAGGCCGATGTCCGTTGGCCTGTCCAGGACAGACGGTGAGGCTTAACCCTCACCTTTTCCGTTTCTCTTTTCGCTTGGGCGCTCGGGCTGTAAGGCCCTCGGCCGAGCGTTCGGGGTCTGTCGCTCGACGGAAGCGACCCCTCACTTAGTTTCGGGTTTCGGGTTTCGGGTTTAGGGTTTAGGGTTTGGGGAACAGTCTATGCGCAGGGAAGTGGCAAAACCCTAAACCCTAAACCCTAAACCCTAAACCCTAAACCCCAAACCCTAAACCCTAAACCCTAAACCCTAAACCCTAAACCCTAAACCCTAAACCCTAAACCCTAAAATAAAATCGAAACATCAATGATCGTAAGCACAGGCACCGTAACAAAAACATGTTCGCGAATGGAAACGCTGGCGATGACAGGATCCTCAGTAACCTAGGACAAAAAGGGCTCCTTCTTGGAGGGTTTTGGGTTTAGGGTTTAGGGTATAAGGATCCTGAGACGACGAAAATAAAAGGAAAAACAATGCCCACTGAGACCTCGAATTACGAAAACAAATCTATCCCTAAACCCTTCACCCCACACCCTGAACCCTAAAAGAAGACACCCTCAACCCCAAACCTTAAGCCCTAAACCCTAACTGCTACAACAACCTCTCCCTTCAGCACAGGGGCAGCTCTGCGGGGACGAGGTGCTGCGCAGCGTCAGTCCTTGAACGTCCCGGCTGTGGGGATTTGGGGGTTGTTGTCTGGGGTTTTTGAAATTGCGAGTTTAGGATTCTAGGGGTTTTTGGGGGTAATTTTTGTTTTGGGGATTTTGCGGTTATAAGGGGCTTTGTGGTATAAGGTCTCAGAATATTCGGATGCTTCGCATACAGTTTAGGAGCTCTCAGGAACCCTGTAGCGATGGTTCTGTTTCAAGCTTGGAGAAGTTCTTTTTTGTTGGCTTGGGTTTAGGGCTTTCGGGGCCTCAATCAGTAGAAAAGGGTTTTAAGATGTTGTTAGAGTATACTTATAAAGGGAACTATATTCGGGGCATTCGCCCCAAGCCTGCAGTTCGTTGGAGTGGGCTTTTGCTTCAGAGCAGGACCCCTCTCGATTATGTGGAGGTTGAGGGGTTTGGTTTGGGGGGTTTAGGGTTTATATAGGGTTTAGGGTTTAGGGTTCAGGGTTCAGGGATTCGGGCCTTTCACAGCAAAAAGACCCCACACCAACTCCACTAGACCCCCAAGAAACCCCATCAAAAAAACAACCTGCGCCCTCAACGCCCAAATCCTTAACCGCGATGGCCCCGCACCCACAGCCTTGAAACAAATGCAAGCACCCCCATGATGCCTGGTCTTCGACTTGATATGCCTGTTATTGCATGGTACTTGTCGATGGCTTCCCATACTTAAACCAAACGAATAACACTGCCTCTGTAGCCTGTACATTCTAGGCTGGTTGGAGCTTCTTCAACACGAACGCCATGACTCCCTGACAAACATACGTACGTACGTACATACATGGGTACGTGCAAGCACATACACGTATTATGCAGATGTATAGGTTGCTTGATTGATAGGTATGCTTACATAAATACATGTCCTCTGCATTGCTTCTAGTCAGCTGCTGTGAAACTCCTCCATCACGCATGCGAACTATCTGTATAATCCGGCCAGCGATGCCTGAATTCTCAATAACATAAGGGCGAAGATGGGGGGTTCGGAGATAAGGTACCCCTCTGTGCCCCCAAAATTGTAGGATCCCTGTGGCAAAGTCCCCCTCCCAGGAACTCGTAATTCAAGAACCTCGCGTGTGAAATTGGTGGCACTCCTATGCAGGAGCAACGGTAGCCCCGAAGCCCTGACATGACAGCCCGTATAGCTACTTGGAGGTTCAGGGTACTTACTATCCAATTCTAACGGTACTTATAACCCACTTGTACGCCCCTTAGGTGCCCGAATATGGTTATATTGGTTCATAAGTACCATGAACCTCCAAGTACGCCCCCAAAAGAGTCCCCGAAACAATGAAAGGTCCGAGAAACGCATTGCAGTTCACGTGCATGAGTCCCGAGGTACTGCCCTTGGTGCTCAAGCACTGCTCGTCGTCCTTCGGATCGTATTGGAATAATGGTTGTAAATATGTTGAATGTCCCTACAGGCTCCACAGTAGCTTTGACAAAGGTATCTCTGGAGAGAAAGGCTTCCAAGGTTTCCAAACAAGCGTTTGTACAGATCTAGAGAGCACTCTTGAGGCAAGCAGTAGCCCCGAAGGGCTGAGGGTGGATGGCCATGTAGGGCTTGGGGATTTTCAAAACACCTGAAGCTTCTTGGGTAGTTGAGCCTTCGCTAGGTTGACTGTGTAAAACCAGTCAGAAACAGGCCTGCAGCCTGCATAGCCTCCTTAACCCCAAAGAGAGGTGTGCGCCCGGAAGTAAATGGCCTACAGATACCACCCACGTGTCGCGTGCATGTGAGGATCCCCGAGATATCAAATCTCGCGGGGTGGATATACAGTGCGGGGTGGATATGCAGTATCCCAGGTGTCGAATGGGTTTCCCCTTAAGTCATCCTGGCATCTTACTGTCAAACCCCGAAATACATCCAATGCAGTTCTGCTACAATCCCCCTGTTACTTGTGTTGGATGCGCCAAGCAAGTACCATACACTCACCAACCTTGCTAAGGAGCCCGAAAAAACACTCACCAAAACCCTGACATACCTTGCTCCATATGAAGTAGGGGTTTATGTTTCTTGTACCCCGAAAAGGACAGTAACAGTCCTATAAACCCTGCTCCATATGTTGCCAGAAGGGGTTGCGCAAGGAGCCGGCCGAGCCTCTGCGAGAGGCAGCAGCTTGAAGAGTCGCGCCTCCGGCCCTGCCCGGCCGGTCACCTGCTCGGAGAGTTTGGGGCTTTCCTATGCTCCCCTTAGAGCCTTAATCAAAGTAATATTTGTAAATAATATGTTTAAATATCCTCTCGGTTTTTATATAAAAAATAATTCCCAAGGGGGATATAGTTTCTTAGACTCTCACGACTAGGCGGACCGGGCGAGGCTGTGTTGCGATTGGGGTTAGGTTGCTGGGAATTTGGGGTATAGAGTTGAGGGTTGGAAGGCTTCTCGCACGAGTGGTACATTGTTGAGTTGTAGAGTTGATGGAGGGCTGCAAGGCCCCCATGCCACATGCAGAAGCTTCAGGTTGACCTGGCCGATTGACGCGTCGTGTTGTGGGCGAGGGTGCAAGGAACTCAACGAGTGAGTTCAAACTGCACCCGCGCTCATGAGGCTTTGCCTTTGCGTCGCTTGCGTCGTCGAAGATAAAACCAGAAAGCGAGAAAGAGAGAAAGAGAGAGAGAGAGAGAGAGAGAGAGAGGGAGAGAGAGAGGGAGAGGGAGAGGGAGAGGGAGAGGGAGAGGGAGAGGGAGAGGGAGAAGGAGAGGGAGAGAGGGAGAGGGAGAGAGAAAGAGAGAGAGAGAGAGAGAGCTGTCCTAAACCTGTGGGCTCTACGGTGTATGGGCTTGGGGGTTCTTCGTGCACAGGGCTGAACTAAAGCTACTGTAGCTCAGAGTCAGGCCAAAGCTGGGGAAGCAATACCCTCGTGATCAATATCCACGCCTCCGAAGAGTTCTCACTTTTCTTATAAAGTCCAAATATAGAAACCTCAAAAAGGTTTTTGTTGTTCCTCCTTGAGGAACTACGACCATGGGTCATACCAGCAATGCAAGTAGCAGTACTATCCACAACCGTATTGGTATAATCTACTACCAGAATGTGTTGAAGTTATGATGTTCATGAGGTGGGTCTAGACACTATCCATGGGCAAGTGCTTGTGCTGCGTGATGCGAGTGGCCATGAGATCTGTGAGGCTTGTGGGAAATTGTGTAGGGGTTATACAAGGTCTTCGAGCTTGAGATGCACGCTTTCCAGACTGATACGGTTCTTCGCGCCGTTGCACATGGGCTAGGACACTGGGGTGTGTGTTTAGGGTCATGAAGAGTGGGGGGTAAAACAGATCCCGAGGCGGCCGGAGCATCATCGCAACGGTTCGATGAGCAGGGCAGATTGCGCGAACTTCATACTGTGATCCTTCTAGGGTACCACAGCAGACATGAAAACGAAAGAGTAATATAGTGGCGCTCAAACCCTTTGCCCTTCCTTTCCCTTTCCTGAAGTCCTAGGTTCTTGGACCCCCACACAGAATCACTGAACGTGCCTGCGACAGCAAACGCGGAGGGCAAGCGCTGCTTGCTTGGACGGTCATATTCCTGGGTTTCGAATGGTTGACAAACCTTTCAAAGGAACTTTGAGCTTGACGCTTCAGCGGGTTGGGATTGAGGTCTCAGGTGACCTTGAAGGCCTTGAAGCTTTGACTCCTACAAGCGGAACCGTCAACCGTTGAAGGGGTAATGGGTCAGTAAGGGTCCAAGATCCTCACACCTAGCCAAAACCAATCTGGACCCTCAAGGCCTGTCTAAACCCTAAACCCTAAACCTCAAGCCCTCAACCCCTGAACGCCGAGGCCTGCAAAAAACCCTGTAAACGTCAGCCAACGTATTTGGCCATCGGATTCCCGAAGCAAAAGATTGCCCCCAAGGTTTGGAGTTGAGTTGCTCTGTTTGTTTTGGTTGGAGCTTTGTGGTTTCGAGTTTCAGGGCCTGGGGCTTTCAGCCTGAGGCTAAGCGGCTAAGATATGCAGAGGGCTGGACTGGATAAGTGGCCTTGGGCTGAGATCTGTGAAAGGCCTCTTAGGCCTTGCAAGTCCGAGATGTGCAGGTGGTAGGGCCTTAGTCGGGTTTAGGGTTTAGGGTTTATGGTTTAGGGTTTAGGGTTTAGGGTTTAGGGTTTAGGGTTTAGGGATTGCTGCAACGAAAAGTACAAGCCATTGTGCCACTGTCTGCCCTCTTTGGCGCATGTGCTCGATTTGAACCCGGCCTACTCCGTCCGGTCTCCTGTGTTGTCAGATGTTGTAAGCTTCATCTTTAGGAAACGAATTTCGATTGTGCGCCCTAAACCCTAAACCCTAAACCCTAAACCCGAAACCTTAAACCATAAACCCTAAACCAGGCCTGTAAGATCTGAGCTCGAAAGATCTGTCTACCAGTGCATCTACCCGCAACTCTACGCTGTCAAGATCCAATCAGCCCCAAAACGCTTCCTCTGGAACAAAACAGGGTCGTTAGCAGTTAGCAACATTCTTAAGGGCTTCCTTTCATATATAGATGTATACATATATGTAAACATCTTCATAATATGGAAGCCTAGTCCACTCATTTAAGTCAGGCTCTGTCCTATCTAAGCTGTCACAGGACTCGCGACTTTCGCAAGTTCTTTGTCTGCGATGCTTCGGAACCCCGAGAGGCAACTCGAAGGTCAGCTCAAGCGAAAGCTACAGACCCATTAAACAACACCAGTCTAGAAACCTTAAAAACCCCTTTTTTGGAGCACTAGAACCTAAGACTCCTAGAGCCTAGAACCTGCAATGCTGCAACTTCTGGCATACCTTTGTACTACAAAAACAGTGTCATGGAAATGGTAAGCTGATCTGAGGCGCCCGTCGCTGGATGGCTGCAGGCAGTACTTGTGCATGGCATGCACGTCCAGCTCCTAACCACGACTCTCCAAACAAAACTCCGCCCCTACTTTGGAGAAAACCCTGGAAAAAAAGCATATACTGTTTAGGTCTAAGTAGCGATCATAGGAACCCAGAACCAAGAAAGTATTGAAGTATAGTACTCCAAAAGCCAGTACTCCTCGGACTGAGACCCGAAACGATCTTCGACCAAGAAGAGCAGGCTCAACTTTGCAGAAACGGGGTTTACAAAGCCAAAGGTGGTACGAGCTTTGGACAGGAGGAAATGAGATACCGTAGCTAAGCTGAGGCTAGAGGCGAGACTTGTGCACTGTAAGGCTCCGAACAGCAGGACTCCCTTTCAACAAGGACCCCCGTAAGCTACCCCTAGTTTCGGAAAGCCCCCCCCCCCCCCCCAGATCAACAGTGGCCCTCCCTTCCTTGATCATGCCAAGCTCGGTATAGATGCTCAGGGCCATTCTGTTGAAGAAGTAGAGCTCCTTCAAATGGGCGGTTCTTAACATCCAGGTGGCAAGTTTTGGTAAAAGCCAGGTTCCTTGTAAAAAGGGTCCTACTACTCAGACTCTACATCAGGGCAAGTCCCGCATGTTTTCAAAAGGCATGCCTTCGGGCAAACGGGCTCGGCGGCTGGAGTTCGGGGATTCAGTGCCCGGGGTGTGTGATGTGGCTCTTGATGTACACTTCTCCGGTTCAGGGTAGGGCCCAGTGGCGCAGGAATCTAGGGCTTCTATGGCCCGGAGTTCAAGACAAGATAGAAACACCATGATCAGAGGACCGCCTGCATCAAAAGTCTTCCGAAAGCCGATTCATCTCCCCCGAGGCTACCGGCTTGGGCCTGTGTTAGAGAACGCACGCGAAACGCCCAACTATTGACAGGGCAGAACGCTAAAGTGTATTGCCCGGCATGTGAGAACATGTGAGAACTAAGCTCCAAACCTCCGGCAAAACATTGCAAAACCTACCCTGAATCACTGAAACGGCAACACCTGCTCGTTTCGCTCGTCGTAGGCCGCATAGCCCCGTGCTCCGACCTGTCTTATAAAGGCAGCTAGATTACGACTGGCTTTTGCCACCTGCCTCGCTGACCTCTCGAACACACTGCAGGGCAGGATCTGGGAGAGAAACCATCGCATAAGGGCTTAGGGCTGTGTAGCAAGGAGCTTCATAAGGGTTTGGTAAGGGGTAGACAAGGCTTGTTTAGGGACATGAGGAGGGAGTGTTCTCAGAAATTCACGTATCAAAAGCTCAAGGCCCTTCATTTCTATCCGATGGTTTGCGGATGAGACAATGACTGATGAAGTTTCAGGAAGTGAGGAGATTGGAGAGTAGAAGGGCAGTAATCAGGAGATCTCGAGGTCCCAGAGGTCAAGAGCGACGAGTTCGGGACCTCCCAGAGGAGATCCAATCCTTGGCGTCTTATAAGATCCTTAAGAAGTTTTGCCAGGGAGACGCCAAGGATGACAAGAAGGATGCCGATCAGAGGACTCCCGACTCGGAAGAACAAAGCGGCCATGGTGGGATGCCAGTTTATGGGGGTCGGGTAGGGCGGCCCACCCCATGAATTGGCACTCGACATGGCGTTTTTCAGGACTTCGGCGTGAACGCGTCGCGGAGATGGATGCGCGAGACAGCCGGATGTCCAGGAGGCTCGCATGGTGCCCTCGAACAGCGGTCCCTCCCTTTCTTGTTGTGGGCTGTGTACTCTGCACAAAACTCTCGAAGGACGCGGAGACGGTCCACAAGTTCCGCTGCAAACTCCGAGGCTTCGCGCCCCCTTAGAGGAGTTTTTTTGACTCGGTACCCGCGAGGACCGTGGGACCGAGGGTCAATGACTACGAGGCGTCTTGAGGCCAACTGAAGGGTCCAGGACCTGGAAGATGAGGCCAAACGAAGGCGGATATCGTTCAGGAGATCTGCCGGTGATATCGAAGGACCTAGATACTCCTGAGCTGGTCGCCACCTGAGTGTTTTTTAACTTGTGCTGCTGCGGCCCTGCAGTTTGTGATGTTTGAGGCGCTGTGGAACTCCAGTTGCTGCTTTGTGCGCTTTGTCGCCCGTCAGCCTGTTGACTTGACTCCTTACGGCATGACCTATGCATATCTTCTGTGCCTGAGTGTTCTTGTTGGATAGTTGTTTCAAATTCGCATGGCCCAAAGGGTGCATGCGCAGTCGCTGTGCCTTTAGTGTGGTCATGACGGTCCCTGCGGTATAATGGATGGCCTGCAGAGACATGAAATTGTGAGGAATACCCGCCGCTTTATGGTATGCATCATGCCTGCTTGGCGTTTTTGAGCCCCGAGGGCACACTACTTTCTCGTGTAGATCTCTGCTCCCCTCAGATGTCGTGTGCTTCTCTCGAGCCTATAAAGGTTGCGAGGCGGGGGCATGTGAGCCACCGCCTCTTTCAGTTGTAGTTCTTTGGTATTAGGTGCATCCCAAAATGGGCCACGTCCGACTTGGACCCTACAAAGCGAGAAGAACATCCCTACAAGCGAAATGCAGGACCCGCAACAAAACTCTTATAACAGCTCGGATAGGATAGGTTTAAGGCTTAAGGCTTGTCTTTGGTAGCCTTGCGACTCCCTCAGAGTAGCAAGCAAATCATGGCAGGCTTTCCTCCCTGAGGGTTCTTATCCTCAGAATCCCCTATGTAGTTGAAGGTGTATGAAAACTTGCTTCAGGGCATTGCGCTGTTCATGCACGTAAAACTAAATTCTAGACGTATCGTAGCGGCATTGGATAACAAAAAAAGTCCACACAAAGACATGCAAGTGCCTGCACAGACGAGAACGACGATCCCAGACTAAGCCGAAGCCCTACGAGAACTACTCCAACCGCAACCGTCGAGACCAACTCATCCACACCCTAAACCCTAAACCCTAAACCCTAAGAACTGTACCCTAAACCCTAAACCCTACACCCTAAACCCTAAACCTTACCCTAATATAGACCCCCCTATATGGACCCCAAGAAGGTACCCCTAATTTCGGAGATCCCCCATAGGCCCTTGCGGCACCTGCACGCATCCTTCACAAGTGAGACCGTTGAGGCCGGGCTTCCCAAGACCTTGATGCTCTATTGCAGACTGAGTCTCTGGGTTTTCCTTAAGGGGAAGCGTTTAGGGTTTTTAGGGTTTTTGGGGTTTTTAAGGGTGTTCAGGGTTTTTTGGGTTTAGGGTTTAGGGTTGAGGGTTTAGGGTTTATTTACACTCGCAAGGCTTCTGGAGGCTAATTGTTGGGGCTTTTGGAGTAAACTAAACTGAAGGGTTCCATGTTTTTGGTGTCTTGCGGGGTGGTTGAGGGTTGCTTATTTCGTCCGAACTCCTCGTGGGGTTGAGGTCTCAAGCGATCTCAACCTCTCGAAGCTTGGGACTTTTTACTCCGGCTCTGTGGCTTCAGGCAAGTTTTTGCGGAGTTTGCGGCTTCTGATATCGGGTTTGGGCTTGTGGTCCATGCTGCTAATCGGTGCCAGGTCCTTCATTGCAAGCGCGGCGCTTTTTGGGGATCTAAGCTGGGCCTGAACTTAGAGAACTACCCTGAGTCAGGTGTTAGATGTTCAGAAGCAGGCTCTGCAATAGATTCTGCCCTGCTTGCAAAGTTACCTCATGAAAACCTCAACCTGCTGAATTGTCAGCAGCAGAGAAAAAAGGCAGGATTTAGGGTCGCCGTTTTCCCTTTTCGGGTTGAAGGCCCCTTCGCAAGCATGCAGCAACAGGCACTCTGCAATATTTCTACTGGGCTGCGTAGCTTCTATGTTTGGGTTTAAAAATCGATGCTCCAAAATCTGAAGCCCACCACACAAATCACCCAAACCCCAAGAACATCCCCACCGACAACCCTACACCTTCAGGGTTGGCCTCTGAAGCTTAGAGTGTTTGGGGGTTCACAGGTTCGCAGGCTTTTGGAATTATAGGGTCTAGGGCCTTTTGGGATGGAGTCGGGCTTGGGCTTGGAGTGAGTGAGCGGTTTACATGTCAGCAGGCCACTCGTCAATACTTTTGGGTTTTGAGTTGCATGGGAAAAGGTATAGGATTTGGGTTTAGGGTTTAGGGTTAGATAGTATAGAAGCTCAGCAGCTGTTGTACCAGTCGCCATTGACACATTGCAATCGTTCCTTGGCTCTGCTTAGCCCATGGTTCGCCCGTGCCTCACAATCCTTGCTGCTCAGGCGTCATGACTAATCATCCTACACATACACCCTACGACCAAGAGCTTCCAATAGTCCTTGAAGCTTTACAGCTTGTATAGACACACTGAAGCAACCATGTCAATCGCCAACAGCTAGTCTCCGAGTCAGACAAGCGGTTCTGGCGCAACAGCCGGTACCGCTCGCTCCAGCAGGAAGCCATCAAGAGACTTCCGTGCCTCGGCAGCTCACTATACTCCCCTTAGAACCTAATTAGAACCTAATAAAAATAGTGTTTTTAACATATCCTCTTGGTTTATATATAAACAGAAAAATAATTCCCAAGGGGGATATAGATCATGGCTTGAAGAGAGCTGTTTCGGCCATGCGAATGCTTCACAAACCTCCGCAAAGTCATGTGGCTTCGGCACCACGCTGTAGTAGCATCTAGACGTGGCTCCACGCGTGTTTTACAGGCTGTGCTGTGGTCTAAAAGGTTTAGCAGGAATTGGGCCAGCCCACGCACGCAAAAAGAGGAAGAACACCCAAGCAGCAGGGGATATCCGGACTCACCTAGCGAGAGTCCTGCGGTGGCATCCTGTTTACACCGGAATCAAAGCAAAATGCGCCTATTGTGGCTTGAAAAGAAAAGAGCCTCGGATGTCTCCGGGGGGTCCCTAATGGCCCTAACCTTGAACTTCAGCCCCATGAAGCCGATGTGGACCAGGTGCTGGAAAGTTGGCGGCAGCGGCCTCGGGGTGTGTTTTTAGGCTTCAGATCATTGTTTCTCATCCTTTGAAGACCTGAACTGCATGTCTGATATGCCTTGCGCGCATCTTCAGCAGGCCGCTACCGGCACCTACTTCAGAACCTCAAGCAGTTGATTGAAGCTTCCGACCAAAAAGACCCGATAAGCTCGAACTGGGAGCCGGGGCCTCTTGTGCTGCCAGTCGTGCGAGTCGATCTCTCTGTGGCTAGGCCTTCCGCACTGCTGCACGCCCATCCCTGCAGAAGCTGAAGGTTCAGTTTGGGGGTTATTAGGCTTATTAGGGTTAAGTTAGGATAACTAGGGTTTATTGGGGTTTAATTCGATTTAGTAGGTGTCAGGCTTTGCCGTGTAGATTGCGACAGTGTGGCTTCAATTGCATCGTGTTGTGGCGCCTGCGAGGCCTATAGGTGTTGAAGCCCGATTGTGGAGGGCTTCTCTTGTTCCCTGCCACTCCATTTGCCGTCGGAGCCAAGCCACCCAAGGGTTTGGGGTTTAGGGTTTAGGGTTTAGGCCTGCTAAACTCATCGGATCGCGAACATCCTCTCTAAACGTTCTTCTTCTCAGCGCGGGCCCCAGACACCCGAGGCCTTCAGGATTTCCGGGCCGCTTGAGAGGCCCACCCCGAGGGGATCTGTCAGAGGGTTCGTCAGAGGCCCGAGCTCCCCCAAGACTTGTCAGAGGCCTCCCACCCCAATTCCGATGAAGCAGTAAGTCCACTACGCCCCCTGCGTGTCAGCTCTATACAGCCTGGAGAGCTCTCAAGTCCTTTTTATCCTCTTAGAACCCAAAAAACCTAAGATTTTGATAGTCTCGTTTATTCAAAGGTGGAGATTTGCAGGAGCCATGAGAAGCCATAATGTGTGGTACTCCAGCAGCCCCCCCAACGTCACCCCAAAAGATCCATGGCATCCATGGTCTGCAGCGTGGAATGGGCATCCCAAGTCTGGAATGCCTAGAAAAACAATGGGGGGACATGGTTTAGGGTTTAGGGTTTAGGGTTTATGGGGGGACATGCAATGCCTCCAAGGAGAAGTATAGTGTCGCACTGCTGGTACAGGTGCATGTGCATGAAGCCAGCAGAAACTGCTCCTCAGGAGAAGAGTTGCAAGGCGCAAGTCTGCGGGGGTTTTGGAGGCTCTCACGTACCTCACAGCGAAACTTTTCAATAATCAGAATGTCACAAGAATTACCAGGTACCCTATTTACTCCTGAGGGCTTATGACCGGAAGGTGTCCAGCCCCTTTGTCAAAGCATGGTTGGCCAGCGGAGCATGAGGCAATGCTACACGTTTCGTTTCGGCTACTCGTGTACCCCAGCGGACAAAGAATAGACGAACAAACTCAACCCCGCGAAAGAAAACAAGACTGAACAAAACAAAAAAAAGAAGGACTCCTAAACTTTAAAATGTGGCCAAGTCTCCCTGCGACTGTACTCTGGCAGCGGAAGTCTGCACACAGCCGTTATGATCGAGGATCAGGTTGCGGGTTTAGGGATCACACGTTTTGGGTTGGGGTTGCGTTGTCTTTGTTTTTGTTGGCGTGTAGGGTTCAGTCACAGCGATGAGCCCATTGTTGCATCAAGCGTGTTCAGGAACAGACACCAGCAATCACAAACATAAGGTCGAAGGATCGAAGTGCTCTGGGCTAATAGGATTCGGGCGGCTCTGCGTGCTTTGAGATGCCGCCCCGTTCTATGGGACCCTCTTGCACGTCGCCAGAGTTTCTCCACAGATTCATGATAGCAGCATGCCCCTTGAAGAGGGAGCTGTCGATAACCCCTGCGCCCATGTTTCAAGCTGTTCTTGGGGTTCAGGTTTGTAGCTTGGGATACAGGAGCCCTTCCCGCCTCCTGCAGCAAGCCCACTGGTGTGCTTATGACTTTCGCAATGGCGATGCTGGTGAGGTGGCAGTGCTTGGCGATGCGGGCGAACTCGAAGTTGATCTCGCCCCTGGGCGACGCCACGGCCACCCCGGAGAACTTGGCTTCGCTGAGGGAATTGCCGTAGCCTCGGCCCTGCACACCGTGGTTCACGGATATGTAGGCTTCACCCTGCCAGTCGGACCTCTCATGCACCATGTAGATCTGGTACAAGTATTGCGCTGCTGGCGCCAAGCCCTTCACGACTGCTGTGGACACGCCTTTGTTTATGATAAATCCTCGTGCGTACTGCCGAGTGTTGGTCCAGCCAGTCAAGTCTGCTTTGTAGCCGTTGGCGAAGGTGACTTCGGTAGTCTTGGATGCCATGTCGTTTAAGTCCTGGACGCCCCAAGAATCCAAATTGTGCTGAGATTCGGTGGCGAGGTGCTCCGACGCCTCAAGCACGGCGCCTGCCCTCAGCTTCCACTTCAGGTAGTCGACGGTGGCCAACATCTCCGCCTCCGACAACACCCTGTCCCAGGTAATCACCTCCATGACCGCAAAATCAGACTTTTGATCGGCGCCATGATTCACGTAGAGAGGTACGGTGTCGGAGAACTTTTTCGCGCTTCCAGTCGCAATGTTGGTTGGGGTGCCCGAAGACATGCCATCGAAGGCACGTGACGCACCATTGGTGCCACACAGCACAAGCCAATCAAGCGCGTTCTTGTACGCGGTCTTCGGCGTGACCCAAGCATTGTAAAACATGACACCCGCATGTCCGGACCAGTGGCCGTGCAACCAATTCCTGCCACTTTTGGACTGCAAGATGCGTTTTCTATGGTCGCCGGTATAGCGAGTGATGGAGCACACACTGTGTGTCGGGGGAAGCACATCTCCGAAGGTGTAGCCGGAATTTTCGTATCCCTCGATGTAGGTGACAGGGCGGTCTGCACCATAACCAGCAGCGACTCGCCGGAACACGCTGTTCTTGCTGCAATACCCTTCGAAATCACCCACGGAGCTGCGCCAGACGGATCCGGCGTCCTCGCTCCTTTGGTTCCGCAGGTGCTTTGCAAGGGGCAGGGGCAGAATTAGACTTGCACAGCTGCAGTGCAAAACATTTCACCCCCTCCCCCGCCCTCCCCACCCTCCCCCCATTTCGATTTCTAGTAGAAATCCCCAAAACCCATTCCTGGGAACCCAAACTCAGGAAACCGACGCGGGATTGTGCAGTCCACCGCTGGTGCGCACTTTGTGGCGATCAAGTTTGATGGCTTGTGAGAGACTTCTTTGACTGCGATTTCCTAGGTAAGTTTCTACTACCTGTTTTCCAGTCCGGGAGGCACCGACTGGGCGTTAGATCCGCCGACCCCAGCCGGGGCGGCGTCAGTGAAGACCCATCCTTGTCCGCCCGATTTGAAGGGAGTTTAGGGGCCTGAAAATGCTTAGAAACTTTAAGGGAGGAGCCTCAAACGCTTAGAGATTTTAAGGGAGTTTAGGGGCCTCAAAATGCTTAGAAACTTCAAGGGAGTTTAGGGGCCTCAAACGCTTAGAGAAACCCCACCCAACCCTGTGACGGATCTGCTCGCCCCGCGCTTCTGCCTGCGCTGCCCGCCCATGGGCGCAGCCCCTTTAAATAAGTTTCTACCAGAAATCCACCTTTTCTCCATTCCGGGAGGCACCGAAGGGGTTTGGAGCCTCGCGTTATGGTTCTGAAGTAAGTTTCGACCAGAACTGCACCGCCGAATGGGCTTGAAATTTCCTAAGTAGGCCGCTTACAGTGTGAGATTTTTCGGAGATCATGCGCCTCCCCCCCATCAATTCAACACATTGCACAAAACCTGAAAATGCAGAAAAACCCTTTTCGCATTTAGGTGCGCCCCCTCCCCCGATTCTACATTTCTTAAGGGCGGATATCGAAAGTTTCTCGGAACACCGTTCACACTTAAACTGCTTCTGAGCAAGTTGAGGCGAGGCGCTTGAACCAGGCATACATGCCCTGTGATGGAGGGTCCGCAGGCTTGGCAAGAGTTGCTTTTGGCCCCACTTTCGCAATGGCGATGCTGGTGAGGTGGCAGTGCTTGGCGATGCGGGCGAACTCGAAGTTGATCTCGCCCCTGGGCGACGCCACGGCCACCCCGGAGAACTTGGCTTCGCTGAGGGAATTGCCGTAGCCTCGGCCCTGCACACCGTGGTTCACGGATATGTAGGCTTCACCCTGCCAGTCGGACCTCTCATGCACCATGTAGATCTGGTACAAGTATTGCGCTGCTGGCGCCAAGCCCTTCACGACTGCAGTGGACACGCCTTTGTTTATGATAAATCCTCGTGCGTACTGCCGAGTGTTGGTCCAGCCAGTCAAGTCTGCTTTGTAGCCGTTGGCGAAGGTGACTTCGGTAGTCTTGGATGCCATGTCGTTTAAGTCCTGGACGCCCCAAGAATCCAAATTGTGTTGAGATTCGGTGGCGAGGTGCTCCGACGCCTCAAGCACGGCGCCTGCCCTCAGCTTCCACTTCAGGTAGTCGACGGTGGCCAACATCTCCGCCTCCGACAACACCCTGTCCCAGGTAATCACCTCCATGACCGCAAAATCAGACTTTTGATCGGTGCCATGATTCACGTAGAGAGGTACGGTGTCGGAGAACTTTTTCGCGCTTCCAGTCGCAATGTTGGTTGGGGTGCCCGAAGACATGCCATCGAAGGCACGTGACGCACCATTGGTGCCACACAGCACAAGCCAATCAAGTGCATCCTTGTACGCGGTCTTCGGCGTGACCCAAGCATTGTAATAGATGACACCCGCATGTCCTGACCAGTGGCCGTGCAACCAATTCCTGCTACTTTTGGACTGCAAGATGCGTTTTCTATGGGTCCCTCCATCTCGACCCCTGGCGTAGCGAGTGATAGAGCACACACTGTTGGTCGGGGCAAGCACGTCTCCGAAGGTGAAACCGGACCTCACGCATCAGATCAAGCCCCTCCCTAACTATATACTATGAGCAGAGCGGTAAGGGGCAAAAGCAACTACTGTGAGAACAACTCAGCTCAGTGACGATTCGTAGCCTTCGATGAAGGTGACGGGGCGGTCGGCACCATGACCAGCTTCGACTCGCCGGTACACGCTATTCTTGCTGCAATAGCCCTCGAAATCGCCCACGGAGCTGCGCCAGACGGATCCGGCGTTCTCGCTCCTGGGTTGAAAAGCAGCCTCAAGCCGACTCAAGCCCCCGAAGTCACAACTCACTGAGCCCTGGACACTGCGCCTGCTGAATTCGACAGTACAAGGGCCATACAAAACACTTCCTGTGCCTTACGTGCAAGCTTTGAGGCCTTGAGGGCTCCGTCTGCTCCAACCAATGATCCAAGATGCAAGCCCTCGGCCCTACTACCCTACAGTATTTACGCCAAAGGCGGAATGTTCCGTCTGGGGCGACCTCGACTCTCATTACACCCCAGTGTTGAATTCTGGAACCACCCTGCACTACAACATGAGAGTTTGGCATTCCTCAAGGTCCCTTTCGGCCCTATTCCCCGAACCCGAGCAGCCCACGTAAACCCAGCTTGGCCTCCACTAGCCCAGCTATGAAACCTGGGGTGTATTCCAAGTTTGGGCTCCCCACAAGGTATCTCTCATGCTGTGTCTTGAGAATGAAGATCGGGCCCTGGTGCTCTATTGCTCCGACGAGGCTCTCAAACCATGCAACCATTCCCTCTGACGGTGGTGCTGCCGGCCTGGGCAATTTAGAGCAATGGTCTAGAGTCTAGCTTCAGAAACCATTGCCATAAGACTAGCGTATCGTTATCATCAATGTCCGTCATCATGATGACCTTCATCGATGGTCATCATCCAGCGCCCTGGTATCATCATCAACGTCGTTCTCGTTCTCGGCATCTGTTGCATGCACGTTCCCATGACTGCCGGGTCTTCACCCTACTTCAGTATGATCAAAGTTGCTGCTATGCTACCAGAAGGTTTACGACTGACTTCGGCCAGGAGGCTTCGGTGGCAGATTGAGAGCGACACCCCCGCCACCGGCCACGGAGCTTGCGCCGTTTGGATTGAAGTCCATGGACAGGAAACTCCTGTTGCACAGATCCACAGGTATCTAAATGCATGCATAATAAATTCGTGCACGTACGTACACCACACACCACACACAGAAAGGATGAGAGTCACATGCTACATCAACAGGCCCAGACATCGCCCATGCTTGCGCGCCCTTTGAGTGGGAGCTGTGTCATCACAAAAGGTTTTGCAGGCTTCCCTGTCGGTCTGTCTTCGTACATACTTTCTTGATCGAGACTTGCTGTTAATTTGATTGAGGAGACGACAGGTCCAGATTGCAGTTAGGTTCTTTGGACCAAGAAATCAGGGATTTCTTGTCAAAGGCAGAGGCATGTGTTTTTTGGGGCCTGGCTTTTGCTGAGAACGTGGAGCGCGAGTCATGTGTACAAGGCTAACAGCCCAGTCTCCTACTTAAGAAGATTATACGCAGGTATAAGAAGCCCCCACATCCCTAAACTGAACCTAGATACGCAGAGCACATTTTCACAATCCCTAAAACCTGCCCTGAAGCTCAAACCCCTACGATGCCCGGAAGCCCCAAACCATATAGGCACCCACAAGACCCTCATCCTAAACCCTAAACCCTAGACCCTAAGCCCGAAACCCTAAACCAACAACCCCCCCCAAAAAAGAGCAGCTCAACTTCCGTCCTGCGAAGTGAGGCGGCCCAACATTTCGCCTCAGCTCAAAGGACTGGTTCTTAGTTGCTGAGTTCATAAGCCCCAAAAAAGTGTCAAGTGTGCTCACTCAGCTACTAAGGGTTTCTTAACGCCGGAGATTCCGACTAGCGGCCGTGCGTTGTTTCTTGTGGTTACTATCGCGCGGGTCTTTTTGGCCACCCGCCCAGTTGGGATTTGATTCCTGCGCAGGATTCAAACGAATCGAATCTACTGTCAAGCTCTGACGGGGTGCAACAGCGGTCATGGTTCAAGGCTCATAAATGTGCAAATGTGCTGCAGGCGAAGTTCCCCCCGCCTAACATAAACCCTAACCCCAAAATATGCTAACTCCTTGAGCTATATCGTAGCCAAGGGAAAGGGTAGCTGAAAGGAGTATGATTGTGGATAACGTATACCCTTTCCCTACTTGCTGAGCTCCCTGGCCTCCCCAAAAAGGCTAGCCTTTTGATGATTCGGTGGGGGTATGCAAACCACGCATCCCCCATGATTCAAGCAACATCTTTTTCGCTTAGTTTCTGTGAAGAGTTGCAAGGTTTCCGAAAACGTGTTTCACCTTCGTCGGGGGTCTTTGGGTTGCTTGGTGCATGCATCTCTGCTCTTGCTCAAGACTTGCGGTAGGCTCTGCTCGCACCAGCAAAAAACTCGAACAACGTGGGAGGACAAAACATTGCACCCGAAACAAACAGCAATAAACAATATTCTTCCTTATAAAGGGTAATCCGCCGAGGCCTCGGGCCGAAGATGTTTAGGTTGTCAGAACAAGCACCCCCCAGCCCGGACCCCTTTTTTGACCTGAAATGGGTACCCCCCCTAGGCAATGGACGGTTCGCCAGGACCAGAGGCAGTTGAAGGCCGGTCCAGCAGGAACACCCCCCACCAACCCCCCCCCCCCTCCCCCCCCCGCCACCCCCCCCACCCCCCCACCCCCCCCCCCCCCCCCCCCCCCCCCCCCCCCCCCCCCCCCCCCCCCCAAACCCCCCCCCAAACCCCCCCCACCCGCCCTTCCAATACGCCCCTGATGCCAGGACCCTCCCAGCCAACCCCCCACCCCGCCCCCTTACACAGACAAGATGCTTGTGTAATGACAACAAGAATGAAAGCAAGTAACCAATCCGTAAGAGCTTGGAGGCATGAATGAATGAAGTCACAGAACCTTGTATGCCTGTATTGGGGTCTATGAAAGAGCCTGTTAACGGGCCTGTTTCCCCGCCCTGTTCGGGCCCCGTTACCCCCCCCCATCCACGGCCCGGAAGCCTGCTTTGGCCACGCCCAAAGCCCCCCACCCCCTTCCCCCCTGCCCGCCCCCCGCCCTGCCCCTGCCCCCTCCTATTGAACCCCAAACCCTAAACCCCAAACTTTCCAAACCGTGAACCTTGAGCCCCAAGCCCTCAACCCTTCACTAACCCTCAACCCTAAACCCCAAACCATAAACCATAAACCCGGAACCCTAAACCCTAAACCCAACCCTTATTGCTTGGGGTCCAGCGACTTGGGCGCCGCGGAATCACCATGCTCACGCAGATGCGCTGGGCCGGGCCGAGGCGGGTCGCGTAGCGTTAAAATTACAAGGGCAATTATAAGGGTAATTATAAGGGTAGTATAGGGATGATTCCATTTTCTATTCTTTGGTGGTTCGTATAAGCAAATAGTAGGAGAGTCGACAGCAGCAGGTTCGGCTTTCGGAGCTACGACCCAAAACCCACTCCCAAACCTTAAAACTCGGGTTTAGGGTTTTGGGTTTAGGGTTTATAAGGTTTAGGTTTTGTAAACTCAATCTGCGGGAAGTGGCTGCGTCTGCCACTGTGCAGCTGGAGCTGCGCGGCATGGCCTCCAAGTAGAGTAAGCTCCGCTGCTCAGCGGGTTCGGGTGTCATTTTTTCTGAGGGTTTAGGGTTTAGGGTAGTTTAGGGTTTAGGGTTTAGGGTTTAGGGTTTAGGGTTTCAACTCCAACCTTTATGCTTCAAAGCTTCCCCGAAGACAGTGGCGATGTGTGGAGACCCTTAAGAAATCGAGTGTGGGGCTGAATCCGGGGCCGAAAATCCCAAACCCAAGAGAGCCGGAACCTAAGGATCATAGGGGGGGTTTCCGAAATTCGGGGTACCTTATTGGGGGGGGCTTATGATAGAGCAAGGTATCCAATCGAGATGATTAGGATTTAGGATTTTCAGGGGTTCACTGAGCTGTGGGGCTGGCCCAGTCAGTTTTATAGCTGCACCTACTGGCCAGTGGTGCGTCTTCGTCTACAGTGGATACGTCTACAGTAGCAAGCGCATAACATCAGAATCATTGACTCAACAAGCTAAAGGCTAACGTGGCACGGCCCTAACCACTAAGACTCAAGACTAGAATGACCTACGGCCCTGAGCCCTGAAACCCCCAACCATATCCTGGGAGCTTCCAAAAACATAGGGGATCTTAACACAGAGCCTCAAAAATACTTTGAAGACCTTAAACCTTATCACAAGGACCCCCCCCCCCACCTCTCCAAGCAAAGGACCCATCGTTTCTGAAATGGCCCAGCAAACTTCTGAAAACCTATGTAGGTGAAAATGCATACACATATATATATATATGTACACAGAATTAGATAAGAATATAAATATAAATATCAACATATATATATATACACACATATACATGTACATACACATGTGCATGTACATATACATATACACATACATATACATATACGGTTACTTATACACATGTATATAGACAAACACAACTCTCTCTCTCTCTCTATATATATATATTCACACATATATATATATATCTATACATATACATATACATATATATATATATACATACATATATCCGTATATACGGTTCAGCCGACCTTGAGGTCTCCTTCCAAGCTGAACTCGCGGACAAGATTGTCGCAGCCGGTGAACAAACCTGCCAGGGCCCCCCCCCCCCCCCCCCCCCCCCCCCCCCCCCCTGTTTTTTTGGGGGTTCCGGGGCCGAGGAGTCCCTGAAGGTCTCCTGGAAGTCCACCCCCCCAAAGTCCCGATCCGAAACCCTAAACCCTAAACCCTAAACCCTAAACCCTTAACCCTAAACCCTTAACCCTAAACCCTTAACCCTATAATATAGTAATATGGACCATCTTGATGTGCAGTGTGCCTTTTGCTCTGGGGCTTGAGTGTTACGAGGGCGTTGAGGGGTTGAACGTTGGGGAGAAGCTGCGGAACAATCAATATACATACATACGTACATAGACAGATGGATATGTATATATGCATATATATATATATGTGTATAAGACACAAGGGGAATGATGACTAAGGCTCCCGAAGCCGAACCTCTAACAGCCAAACCCTAGTTATTTACAAAATCTGGAGCTGAAATATTAGAGGACAACACTTATCCAAAGTCTAGACCCGATGTCCCAAGTCCAAGAGACCGTAGCCTTTCAGTCTCTCAACGACAGACCTCAAGTCTCAAGCCTAAATCCAAGAAGCACGAAGCAACACCGAAAGACTGAACCATAAACCCAAAACCCTACACCGAAATCCTCTATGCTCCCTAAGCCCTATATAAACCCTAGTGTACTAAACCCTACTCTCTAAACCCTAAACCCGAAACCCTAACCCCTGAACCCTAAACCCTAAGCCCTAAAGCCTAAACCCTAAACCCTAAACCCTAAAGCCCTAAAGCCCTAAGCCCCATACCCTAAACTCCGGGACCCGAAGAGCTCCAAGGGACGGCAGGTCGATGCGCCGTGTTGCGAGCCATGCCTTACGACATGAACCTTGAACCTTCCCCCCCCCCCCCCAAAAAAAAAAAAAAACAAGAACCTTTTACGAGAAGATAGAGGGAAATCATGCTCATGAGAAGGTAGGATTTTGGGGGTCTTCAGGAAGCAGCTGAGAGAAGTAGGCTGCGTTCGGGCCGTCGGGACACGGAACTTGAGGGTTCAAGATAGCATGGGGAAAAATCGGATGTTGAAGGTTTAGGTCCAGAAAGGGTTTGGGGGTCAGGTTTAGGTTGACAGTGCGCCTGCCTTCTTATATATATATATATGACCAATCTGCTGACCCCCTCTCCTCAGGCGGGGTCTCAGCCAGGTTTCGAAAGCATTTTCTCAGGCGCAAGATGCTCAAAAGGCTCCAAAGGCTCCCAAAGGCTCAAAAGCCTGAGAAGTCTCGGCGGGCTCAAACTTTCAAATGGCAACATGGTATTGTGCATTTTGGCCTGGCGGCATTTGGGAGAAACCTTGACGTTTTCGATCCCAAATCTGGAAACCCATTGCCCCATAGATGCCACAGGATTTTTGTCTTTTTTTGGGTCTTCTTTAGCCTGCCAGGGATTTCGCCCTTTTGGCTTTGGAAGTTTGGGTGTTTTTGAGCCTGCCAATACTTTCGTAACCTGGCCGAACACATTCTACTCAGCTAAACTGCGTACATCCTGGGTCTCTATGATTTATGCCGCATTAGCAGTGCGTGGGTCTCCCCAGACCTTATCAGTCAGAGACACGAGACTTCTTCTGTTTCTTCATCAGAGTCTTCTTAATTTCTTACGAAGAAATATGAAGTCAAGAGCTCAGCATACTATGGGTTATGAGTTATGATCAAATGAGTTCGAGATTTCTTAATGGAAATGTATCACGCAGAGGCACGAGACTTCTTGTACTTCTTCTCATACGGGTTCGCATAATTTCTTCCAAAGGAAAAACAGGGCTCGGCATACTGCTGGTTGATCAAAAGAAATCGAGATATACTTAATGGAAGTCTATCACGCAAAGACACGAGACTTCTTGTGTTTTTTCTCATGAGGGTTCTTATTTTCACGCAGAGAGATAGGGTAAAGAGCTCGGCATACTGTCGGTTAGAGAGAATACGAGTACAGAGCTCGGCATACTCTTGGTCATGTGCTATCTTGCGACGCTTACCGTTCATAGCTCTCTCTGGAGCCACCAAACAACACGAACCTACTTCTTAGGGCAGCACAAAATTACAAGAAGACAGAAACACGAACGAGGCTTCAGGCCAGGCAAGCAGGGAAATGTGGGGCATGTTAGCGGGTTGGTTCTGTTCGGGAAGAATTCGATGTATAATGAATGGAATTGAGCAGAAAGGAATCGACATTGCGTAACAGTGCTGGTGTTTTCGATATAAAGTGAGGAAAAAGAGGACCCATCTGATTTCATATTGGAAGGTTGTAATTACGAGCTCGGTGTTGCTGTTGTTTCCTGCGAATCATTAAAGCACGATGAGCCTGCTGATGCTTTTTTCTTGAAAATTAACAAAAGGAGTTCTCCCATTTCTTCTGAAGGAAAGAACAGTTACTAGACTTGGGGATGAGAAATGATACATGAGCACCCTAAACCCTAAACCCTAAACCCTAAACCCTAAACCCTTTGTGTTTTCATTATGGAAAGGAACTCTGTGATTCTGCTCATTATTGAGAAGCACATGTAGAGCGCAAGAACAGCACGATGATGAGCATAACTATCTTGCTTCTTATTGGAAGGTTGGAGTAACTCTCTGTTACTTTTGCTATCACTAACGGACGATGAGCCTTCTTGTGCCCCTTTCTGTGAAACAGGAGTTTGCACTTAAAGACTTAAAGAGGAGTTCTCGTATTTCTTATGAGGGAAAGATCGCATAGAACTGCATAAAACTGGTGTCTCCGCGCATTAGGGATGAGAAAACACCACAAATACCCGTGTTTCCATGCGAAACACAAAGTTAAAGGACCGGATTACCCCACATGTCATGCTTTAATCTGTGACGACAGAAGTGTGCGCGCACACGTGTTCATCAGTGTAATTTGCGGCGGACAGGCGAAGCGGTCGGGCGAACGCGGGTGAACGCGGCGAACGGGGCGGACGGGCAGACGAGCGGACGATAGTAGATAGGAGTGCACTCAAGGTGTGGGAATAGGGATTGTTTTTGCAGGATTAACGGGCTTTCCTAGAGGCTCTCTTCTGTAGGTTTCATGGCCACCTTAAGAAATAGGACCTAATATAGGGGCCTGAATAACTAGAAGAGGTTTTGGGGGTTCTTCTAGTATACTTACAAAGTGACCATAAGGGTCTACTATTAGCAATTATTCCGACCCCTATATTTGGGAGCAAAATTACGGGAACATGATTTAGGGAACAAGATCCAGGGAACCAGACTTCGGGATCCCGGTTTCTAGGACTTAGCGACAAGGACCTAGGGGTAAACTTTCAGGAATATCCGATTTAGGGATCCCGCTCTTTTGAATGTAGCGAAAAGGACATCGGGAATAGAGATAATTCTCTTCAGCTTTACGGGCTGCCCCAGGAGAAGTTTCCTGAGCATCTCCTAGTTGTCCAGTACCCAGGGGGGAACTAAGGGTTAACCTTTGGGATTATAAGGGGATTCTATTCCCCCAAAAAGGTGAAAGCGCGACGTGTGCGCAAACGAGTCCCCAGCGTCAGGCGTGAGACTGGCTAACATGAAGATCTCAGAAATCAGGTGGGAAACCCGGTGGGAGGTTGAAGGTTACCGACTCTACAACTAAGATCTTCAACGCGGCCCGACTAAGCACCTCAAAGCGCTGAATTTGCCCCCGGGATTGAAGCTTGAAGGCTGAACATGCCCAGGGAAAGTTTCCAGAGCATCCTGAACCCTAAGCCCTAAACCCTAAACCCTAAACCCTAAACCCTAAACCCGAAACCTTCAATCTTCGATCCGGGGGCCGGCCGCTTAGGCACTTTGAGGTGCGTAATCGGCCTGCGTGTCGGATTGAAGATGCTCTGGAAACTTCCCCCTGAGCATCTTCAGCCTTCAAGCTTCAATCCTGGGGGCGCCCGATTAAGTACCTCGAGGTGCTTCATCGGTCTGGTCAGACTCGCAGCCTGGATCCCCACCTATGTATATAAGGACACCTTGCCCTCCTCTATGCTCCCCATAAACACCGTAAGCTCAATATTAATGTGGTCTAAACTCTTAACCACGGTACCATGTGTGTGTATATATATATACACATACTATACATGCTATATATATATATATGCACACATACTATACACTTTATATATATAGATATATACATGTGCACGTGTGTGTGAGAGAGAGAGAGAGATGTTTAAAAGGCGTGGCCGGGTGGCCAGAAGAAGAGGCAGGTCGACTGCTCCCGGCACCGGGCCTCGCAGTCCGTCGTCTCCACGGACTGCGCGGGCCGTCTTTGGGGGGTGGGGAAAGGGTGTATCGGGGGGGGGTATAGGGGAGTAGGCGTATAGGGGGGGTATGGGGGGGGGGGGGTAAGAGGTTCTTTGGGGCTTTTTGGAAGGGTTTTTGGTCTGATTGGGGGGCTTTAAGGGGCTTCTTGGGGTTTTTGGGCTTTTTGGGGCTTTAAGGGGGTTTTTTGGGTTTTCAGGGTTTGGGGTGTAAATGCGGTTTTTGATAGGGTTTGTTGCAGGGTGCATGTCAGGTGTGATAGAAAGGTGTGCTTTGTCCTTGTTGAACGCAGTCTTCTCGGCTTCTTGAGTTTATGGGCTTGTATGCAGTGTTCCCAGAGGGTTATTAGGGTGCTTATCAAGGCTACAGGGTTCTTGTTGGCTTGACAAGGTCTCTTGCAGGATGTTACAGGGTTCGTAAAAGAGGCTCTTACAGGGGGTGATAGGATTCTTGTTCTACCTTTAACACTAAGGATTACAAGGCTCTGGAGCTTCAGGAAAGGTTCAGGGCAAAGAAGTCAGGGCATAGAAACGGTAGAATTGAAGGCCTAAGGGCTTTCAGGCGTCCTCCAAAGGATTCTTCTCCGTGAGGCGCCGGAACCGACTTTGTAGTCCGGCTTCGGGAAGGAATAGATGGCCCTTATCGACCCTGACAAACCCGAAAAGTATAAGACCTCCAAGTTCTTGGAACAGCTCCGAAGACGGATCATAAAAGCATCGTTCTCCAAAACCCTTCGGGTTACATCAGCAAAATACACAAATACCCCCCCCCCATGGAAGCCCAGTTTGATGTTGGAGGCTCAATTCCAAAGTCGGGGCATCTCAGGGCAGAGAACGAGGGCTGAAAGCTGCAGGGCTGTAATTTAAAGGCTCCCCAAAGAAGTATTTTATGAATAGGTACCTCGATAGAACCATAAGGAGAAAAACAAGTTTCCCAAAGTGCCACCTAGTGTTTTAATGTGGAGAGGAGGTCTGAGTCTCAGTTTCTGGGGGTTTTGAGTGGGGGGCTCATGGAGGATCTGCAGGCTCGGAGATCATCGCCGTGAAGCGTGCATGAGTGCTGAGATCAGAAACTCAACCGCAGATCAGAACGCCTAAACAGCCTGCACCCTGCCTCCTCCTCTGACTGGAAGTGCACGCCGTTGCTGCCTGTCGGGTCGATATGGGGGGCACTGCCAAACCTTGGGGCCACTTTTGTCAGGCACTGCGTTGGTTTACAATGTCTATACGGAGCCTTGCGGATGCATGGGCCGTTGTTGGGGTCATTCAGCAGGAGGAACGTGCCATGTAGTGTCCACATATAGAGGACCCTTTTGTGAGAGAGTAGCCCGGGCTCCGAATCCCAATAGACTGATCCAGCTTTCGGAATGTGGACAAAAGGACCTCCCAAGGTGGGCCCTTCGATAGGCACTGAAGCCAATTAACATAGTGCCACGGGGCGCCGCGCGAACTTAGTAAGCCCTATACAACGACTTCGTGTCTACAACTTCGTGTCTCAACTCACTTATGCCCCCCCGGAGCCCCCCCCCCCCCCCATATGCCTCCCAGCAGTTGCCGCGAGGGGCAAACAAGCTGCCCCGTGACGATGACGTAAGGGGTCGGGATGAATTGGTTGCTGCTGTTGGCCTCAGGCAATGGTTAACTAGGCTGCCCAGTAACCTAGGCTCAAAAAGGGTGCCCGTTTTTTGCTTTAAAGGGGTTTATAAGGGAACCTAAACCGCCCAAAAAGGGAATAAGGGAACTACTGGGCATCCTAGTTAAAAGGCCTTGCAGGCCGGAGAGTGTTCACACGCCTCGGGGAAAACGACAACGACAAAGAACCACAAGATGGCGCGTAACATCACATGAAGTGGGGTTTATAGTTCTTGTACCCCGAAAAGGACACCCAGCATATACACTCACCAATACTAAAAAGGAACCTTATATACACTCACCAAAAACAGAAATATATACCCTGCTTCACATGAAATGGCCATGAGCCTTCTCGAACTACCAAGCCTGCTTGAAGGTTCATGGTGCTCGTTAACCAACTATAACTGTACTTAGAACTGTACTTATCACCATACTGGGGCACTGAACGGGCTTATAAGTACAGTTATAAGTACACCCATGGTTGGTTCATAAGCACCATGAACCCCCAAGTGGGCATAGCATGGCGAAGGACGCCGGTGCCTTGAACCACAATTCCGCACAACGAAGAAGAACCTTCTGCTCTCAAATCGAGATCCCGAAAGCCCAAAATTCCCCAAACCCCCTAAACCTACACAACACCCCGAAGCCCTAAACTCCCCTAAACCCCCGGTGAGGAACTCGCAAGGTCACAAAGACTAAGGGAGGGGGTAGGCAAGCCAAGGTTCCTGAATTTCTCCCCACTACTTCCTAAGGCTCCCTAATCTTCCAGAAGGTTTCCCTAGGTACCCTACCCCCCATGAAACCCCCCTCCCTTAAGAACCCCTAACCCTAAACCCTAAACCCTAAACCCTAAACCCTAAACCCTACACCCTAACACCCTAACACCCTAAAACCCTAAACCCTAAACCCTACAAACACTCCATGCCAGGCTACCGGGAGATGTTCGTACATCTGAGGATCCACTGGCAGTTGAGGTCCCCAGGCCTCGGGTGCACCTCGGATGGGGGTGTAACTAGCTGCTCTACAACCTAAACCCTAAACCCGAAACCCTAAAATGCTTCGTAGGGTCTCCTAAGTTCTTAAGGACTTTAGAGCGTCTCTCGCAGCCTTCCTTGTGGGTTTTCGAGCTTTCGGCTGCTTAACCACCAAACCTGCCCCACACATCTAGAAACGCAAACGCAGACTCAGCCAACAAGCCCTAAACACTGACCCTGTAGTCCCAGGCCTTACCAACGCCTCGGTTTTCAGATTTGCTCTTGTTGGCACATTTTTGGTTTCGACAACCGAAATTCATCAACCGCAACGAACATTGAAGCTAAACTGCTGACAGTGTGAAACCTAGTATGGACGGCTAAAGCCGGACACCCGTGGCATAGAAGCCCTATAGAGTACCCCCAGCCCATTGTCGGAACCCCTCCATATTACTAATAGATTCCCTGATGGTCCCTAAATGTTCTTCTTATAATGACGCCCTAAAACCCTACTCGAATTATCAAGGCCCCCAATAAGTATACATAGGGGCATACAAAGCCCGAAAACCGCAACCCTAAAACCCTAAACCCAAAAACCCTAAACCGTAAACCCTAAGACACCAACCCAAACCCTAAATCCTAAAACCGTAAAACCCTAAAACCCTACACCATACACCCTAAACCCTGACCCTAAAACCCCAAACCCTGCAACCCTAAAACCCTGAACCCCTAATCCCTAAACCCTAAAACCCTAAACCGTAAACTCCAAACCCCTAATCCCTAACCCCTAAACCCCAAAACCCTAAAACCCCAAACCCTGCAACCCTAAAACCCTAAACCCTAACCCCTAAACCCTAAACCCTAAAACCCTAAACCCTAAACCCTAAACGGGCTTCCGCCCCCCCCCTTCCCCCAAGGCGCAGTCGCAGGGATGGAGCCAGAAGTCGGCGAGCTGAGCGGTCGCCGGGTCATCCAGCACCAGAGAGGGCTGGCCCTCCTCATCCTCTTCCTGCTCTCGGGCCCTAAACCCTAAACCCTAAACCCTAAACCCTAAACCCTAAACCCTAAACCCTAAACCCTAAACCCTAAACCCGAAACCCTAAACCCTAAACCCTAAACCCTAAACCCTAAACCCTAAACCCTAAACCCTAAACCCTAAACCCTAAACCCTAAACCCTAAACCCTAAACCCTAAACCCTAAACCCTAGCCCTAAACCCTAAAACCTCCTGTTGAAGTTTAGGGGCGGCTTAGGGTTTCTTCGGAGCTGCGTATATATCTTCAACTTTGTCTTCTTTTAGGGTTTTGAATCTTGGGGGGAGGGGCGTGAGAGAAAGTTTCGGAGGGTTGATGCGGGCTTGTGCTTTAGGATCTCCTCCTCTCCGATATGGCTTTCAAAGGGTTTCGGGTTTCGGGTGCTTTGGGCATCTGTGTGCTGTTGTTGCTTTAGCGGTCGAGGACTTTGGTGTGTCGGAATAGGAACCTCTTATCCAAGCTCGAAAAATTGGGACAGGGCTCCAAGTTTGGGGCTTTTGTAAAGACGATCACAAACCCGGTAATTACACACGAGACCCTGGCTGTCGTAAGAACGGCCGCCTCAACACAAAGGAAGCTTTCTTCACTGTCGTACCGAATGAAGATACCGTAGTCGCAGCCTCTAAACATATGTCCTGCTCGCCTAGCCCCTACATTCCTGATCCTGCCTGCTCTTCGATCCAGGCCAACTGCTTCGTGGGACACCTGTTGCTGGGGAACAGGTTTCGGATTGTCGGTGCGGTGCTTTTGGTGTTTGCAGCTGTAGGTTTCTAAAGGTTCTATCGGTGCTGCCTGAGGACTCTGTGAAGCGATTGAAACCTTGCACAGCATGAACAGCTGCACAAGAAGAACAGCGCTATGTAAACTCCTGACAGCAATACCACTCACAGACACATGGAATCTAATAAGCAAGAAAAAAAGAATTCTGCAAAAACACAAAGTGCGAATCTCCTTGCGACTGAGCTTGGCACCCCTGGAGGGCATGCTCCACTGAGGAACTGCGGATGCATGCCTGCCGCGTGCCGCGGAGCTCGAAGAGGCCAAGACCCTGCGGCATTCGCTTCTTTTACAGCTATCGTGGTGTTCGGGTTCGTTTGAGTTCAATGCATTACTGCTGCAGTAATTATCGCGATTGGCACAAGTGGCCATGAAATGTTGCGAGTTAGCCATGCAAATCTACACACACATACACTCTGCTTTGTTGGTAGAAGTACCTGCGTAAGATGCTTATCGATGACCCTTCCTTGCTGCTGCGACTCTTCTGACCGTGCAGAAAAATCTAATCAACATTGCAGGGGGCCAAAGAAGGTTTTGAGGTCTACGGGCGCCAATCAGAGTTACGCAGGGTTCTTTGCAAATCAGCCCCACCACCGCAACACGGCACCCTTGAAACCCTAAGCAGAGAGAGGACCATGACTTCCGCGGCTTGTACTGTAAGACAGTTCAATAGATGACTATCATGGCCGCAGTGTTTGCATGGGCCACAATGGATGCCCTGGCAGCGCGGGATGCAACTCCACCAAAGGACCGAGCTGGACATGCGGAAGGAGGTCCCGAGTATAAGACGAAAAGTTCCTAGGTCAGTCCCTTAGGTCTTACACGGTCCGTGGAGCTCAGCCTTGTCAACGAAGTCTTCACTTGATGGAGCCAGCAACGCCCACTCGCCGGCACTGCAGCCGCCCGTGGATCCCTCGCGCAGGTACCTTAAGGGCTTACAGGTGTCAGGTCTCCACTGTAGCCCTTTTGGGAATCTGTTTGCAAAGTGCGGGGCAGGTTCAGTTGTTCAGGGTCCCGATGGGCCACTGCTTTCCCGGCACATTGAAGTTTGCGTATGCAAAGGACAGGCCTGTGCGGTGCTAGAAGATAGGAAGGTCATCCATTCTTGGTACTTAAACTCGCAGAACGCTCCGTAAAGCATCCTTTGGAGGTTTCTAGGGCTTGCCAGAAAGTGCTCCTTCTCCAGATCGACCACCTGAAAAGTGGGGAGAATCTGCGGTTTGGGTGGTGTCCTCGCGGAATCTGGTGGCGTCTGAGCCCTGCTTCCGGCCCCAGGTCGCATAGCCCTTGGGGGTTCCTTGCAAGGGCCATGCTCCGAACGAACGAAGAGAAACCTACATGAAGGCTTCATCTTAAACAGGGTTTATATTTCTGTTATGGGTGAGTGTATTTTGGGTCCCTCTTGAATATTTGTGAGTCTGTATGATGGGTGTCCTTTTGGAGTTGCAAGGAATATAAAAGCTCTGCTTCAATCTGAATTTCTGTCCACATCCGAGCTGCACCATGTCTTCCTGCGTCACATGCTCCCGGAGGTAGACGATGCCGCCCAACACTGCATCTCGACCGAGAGGGCAGTAGGTACCGGCCAGGTACCAATCGGAATGTGCCACCTTCATACCTCCAATGTTTGAGAGCATTGTCATCTCTCGGTGTGATATGAGAATAGGCTCTTTCTTCCTGTCCTGTTCTTGGGACCATGTGAGGTCATGCTCAGCGCTCTCGTTGTTATGCGCTATCATCTTTTTTCTTTTTTGCAACACGAACTCGCATCATTCTCACGAATTTACCATGACCAAGACGGTGGTGAGTGAGCTTCGGACTTCCTCATATCATGAGCTGCGCAGCTATCGATGCCTTCCAGGTTTTGGGGCCTGGTGCCTTTAGGATTTTTGTATGACACCTCAAACCGTGAACCGTAGACGGAGGCAACCTGCATAGATTGCTTCCGATAGATTCGATACTCGCTGTACGAACTCCAGATCGTCCCACAGCAAGGACTCCACATCGGAGCCCAGAGACAAGCCCGACATGAAGTATATACACTCGCCAATATGAAAAAGGAACCTTATTCACACTCACCAGCAACAGTAATGCAAACCCTGCTTCATTTTGATTGCAGACGCGGAGCATGTGCCCTCGTTGGTGCAATTTGTGACCTTGGCGATGACTGTGACCGGATTCCCGTCCGAGCGAACATCGTACCTGCAGACTGATGGTTGGTTGACAGCATCGGGGGCTTGCGACAAAAAGCCCCACGTTTCTTCGCTGTGCAAAGGCTTAGCTGGTCTTCCCTGCAGAAGCAGAAACCGCTTCGGGCCTTAACTGATGCTAAATTGAATACCAACATGTTCCACACCCGAAGTAAGGGGGTCATAAATTAGCTTCACCACTTCGGAACCGAAGCATGTGTAAGGCTGCGTAAGGGCACTCCGACGTTCTGGGCCTACTGTGGAAGATTGCCGGTTCGCATTTTTCGTGCATCGGTCCGGTCAGATAGCACAAGCTAGTCCAGTAAGGACGTCTCTGCACAGCATAAACATATAGGCATGACTGCGCAAACGTGTTTGCATGATGATGTACGATTGCATGAATGCATGAAGGCATTCGCCTACTTACTTTTTCTTGCGTCGAAACCGACTTGGCGGGTTTGGAGCCTTTGAACTCGTCGGGTTCGTGTTTGGGCGCATCGGCTAGTTGCTTCGGTCTCCGTTCCTCTATAGTCCCTTGCCAAAAAAGCCTAGTTTACGTTTTAGATCAGGGGGGTCGAGCTCGCATGCTCGTGAAACCCTTCGCCGTGCTGCTTTCATTGCAGCACGCTAGAACTCCAAGCTCCCACTAAAAAACAACCCGAAGTTCCATTTCAGCGGCCCCCGACACCTGCAAGACTTGAAAAAGGTGCAAGGGAGCAATCAAGAGATCACTAAACTCACTAAACCATAACTTCAGCATGAAAATACCTATACTCCCCTTAGAACCTTCATAAAAAAAAAAACCTATTTTCAATATCCTCTTGGGTTTTACATAAACATAAAATAAATCCCAAGGGGAATATAGACACAGGAGCCCACAATTACAAGAGCCCGCCTCCCTGCGCTGCCCTTCACAGGCCCACAGAAGAGTCCCCCCCGCCTGACGCACTGGCTGTCAAACTGGTAGTTTGCACAGGTCTCGTCTGCACGGCATTGGGATCGACACTGCGCCTCCCAAGATGCTTTAAGCGATGACTACTGTTGAGGTCGCTAGACGGATCGGCAGGTCGGAAGATATGGACGGACAGATATGGGAGTTTTACGAACCTAAGGGACCCCAATATAATCCCCCCCAAATACTAGGATTCCCTGATAAAGGACCCACTAAAGTACACCTAATTTCGGAAACCCCCCCATATGGACTGAAGCGTCCGTAGAAGTTTCGCGCAAGGGTTTGGGCTTGGAGTGCAGGTGAGGCTGCGGATGGCTCCGGCCTAAAGGGCTTCGCCTCATTTCAAACAGGGTTTATATTGCTGTCATTAGGAGAGTGTGTATAAGGCTCCTCTTTAATATTGGTGAGTGGCCGTGAGTGAGTGTACATGTTGGGTGTCCTGTTGAGCATACAAGGAATATAAACCCTACTTGAATTCAATGTGGGAATTTGAACTGCTTGGTTTGGGCTCAGGGCTGAGGGTCCGGCATGTTTGTGATGGTTGCTCACTGTTTTCGTCTTGAATTTCGGGATTTCATTTTGTTGTTGACCTACCTCGGCTCTACGACGTGGCATCCGTCACTCCTCGTAAAGAGCTGAGGGAATGCACTTCAGGGCCGATTTTGGCTTCGCAAACCATGCAAGCACTCGGGGCTGCGCAGGGATCTCGCGCTCCGTGCTCTAATCGTCTCTGCTGTTCGCAACAAAGAATATCCAGGGCTTGCAGCCTCAAGTCTCTAAGCCCTCCTTACAGGATGCCAACCTGCCCAAAAAAGCCCTGAGTACTGCAAGCAACGCCAACTTCTCAAGGGATGCCCTGAACATTGAATTCATGGAACACCAAGCCTTGACCCCGAAAACTCTCAAGTACCTGAAGCTGTCGCACATGTCGCACCGCGACCCCAGCCCTTTCTCCCCCCAACAGCTCATATGCAAGCACCTCGGTGTTGGCGTCGGGGTCAGGCCGACCGATACCCTGGCCGCGCAAAGTTTTTGGGCTCAGTGGTTCGCGGGCTGATGGTTACAGTCCAAGGTCAAAGGTCTTATGTTATCTGAACACATAGTAACATTCCTCCTTGACAGTCCGCACATAGGCAAAACACAGCTTGTCACAAAGCTCTGTTGGAAGCTACTTTAGGACTTCCCCCCCCCCCCCCCCCCCCCGAAAGCTTGTCGGGGACCCGGCCCGAAACTTCAAAAGAATCTGCCTTAGGACGTCTAGTTGAGGACGTCAATCACTGCTGAGTCATGTCAACCGTTCAAAGGCCGCGTGGGGAGAAATTAAGATCAAAGTCCCACAGTCCTGCAGGGCTAGTCGGTCGGTTTGGGATTGCGTGTTCAGCAAATCATAATTCTTCGCCCATGAGTTCGGGCGTAGGGCTTCAGGGCTTAACGGACAATGGCATGCTGCTGACACCGCCTCGCCGACCCTGCACCCTCAACCTGAGGAGGCAGCCCTATGAAGCAGGGGGCACATGCCCCGGAATCCAAGAAAGTTCTGGGGCATACCTCCCCACCTACCCATGATTCTACTGCACAAGCATGGGGCGTTTTGAACAGCTCAAATACTAGGATGGCCCTTAAAACCATCTGAAAAATATTCCTGAATATGATCCTCTAAAGTCCAATAATGGAAAATACCAAATGTCCCAAACGCCTACCTAGAATATGGCTGACAGCTTTGCCTTGATCTGCTGCGGCACCCAACACACGGTGTCCTGCACCACAATCGTCAGCGTCGCTTCTACCTCAGAAGCATGTCTGGCTCTAGGGTCTGCGGCTGGGTTGACATATGGTGTCAATGTTTTTTTCAGGAGAAGGGTTAGGAGGGGTTTGGGGCTATCCATCATTACCGGGCTCAGAATTTGCTGAGTTTGGGGGGGGGGGGGGGGGGGGGCTGCCATCTGGGTGCTAGTCCTGCATGTACAATATCCTTATTTTTGACAACGCAACTTTTCTCAGCGATCCAACAGAGAATTGAAAACCGCGGTCCTGCAACCGTAAGACGCTAAGTCAGGACGAGGAGTGCAAGGGTTTCTTTCCCATGGATGGGCCTCTGACCTTCCCTTGCCACAGCTGACGTAGGGGTTTGGGGTTTAGGGTTTAGGGTTTAGGCGAGGGGTTCTTCATCCCGGCCGTTCCCAGCCCCCGGGCAGCAACAGTTTTCCTGCTTGGGCCATGCCTTCCTTCCGATACTAAAGGGATGCAGCGCCACTGGCTTCTTGTCCCATGCGAGTGCGACATGTGAAGGATGGCACGTGCGCGTGATTCCGTCTGCCAGGTGGCCAAACCCTAAAACCTTAAAACCCTTGAAACCCTTAAAACCCTTAAAACCCTTAAAACCCTTAAAACCCCCAAACCCTCAACCCATGACTGGGATAGTGCACCCCATGGTACAAGGAACCTAGGGGGGATTTGGGGGCACGATAAAACTCATTCTGGGCTATAAAGGGTATATAGGGATTATAGGACCCATAGAAACTTCAAAAGTATTCTAAATCCACCCCAGCTACGAGGAACCACAGGTCTGTCTTGCTGAACATACCCACCTATTCTCCCCTTAGAACCTTAATGAAAATACTTTTTTTAAATATCCTCTTGGGTTTTGTATAACCAACCCTAAACCCTAAACCCTAAACCCTAACCCTAAACCCTAAACCTTGAACCCTAAAACCCTAAGAATAACACACCATTCCCAAGAATATAGCCCCTGCCCTGGGCCGCTGCCTTTCTCTGGGGCGCTGGGAGCCTGAACCCCTGTGAGGATTTGGGAAGGTGAGGGCAGGAGGGATGACCCCCGCTATCCATCCGAAGAGCCCTAAACTCTAAACCCTAAACCCTAAACCCTAAACCCTAAACCCTAAACCCTAAACCCTAAACCCTAAACCCTAAACCCTAAACCCTAACCCTAAACCCTAAACCCTCTACCCTAAACCCTACACCCTAAACCCTAAACCCTAAACCCTTGCTTCGCTTCTTGTGGGCCAAGGCGCCGGGGCAAGTTCCGGATCCGGGAAGATCCCGTAGACTCGACAGCCCAAAGTGAAGGCCTGTGGCAATTTGCGGCTTAAGGAGCTGCGGGGTTTAGGGTTTAGGGTTTAGGGTTTAGGGTTTAGGGTTTAGGGTTTAGGGTTTAGGGTTTCATTAGGGCTTACTTGGAGGTTCATGGTACTTATTGACCAATTCGCCTCGGCTTCCTGCCAAGAAGCGTTTGGAACAAGCAGACACGGATCCGGTCTCCTCCCCCCTAACCCAAACCCCCATACCAAAATTTTGTGACGCACACAGAGGGGGCCGTTTGGTCGGGTCTCAGGCTCTTGGAGCTGGCAATTGGATCGAACCAGTAGCCTAAATAGCAGAAAGTGCACAAGTCTCCCAGGACGGCGAACCCAAGACCAAAGAACAGCGGGGTCCAAGGGTTCTGGGGCTTTGGCGTTGGCGTAGCCTGGGTCGGAAAACAGATCCTGCCTTGCGTTGCTCTCCCGACACGCTAAGTGCATCGAAGACCTCGCCTGAGCGGTCGCTCCATAGAAATATGGGGAAAGTTGACAGCTTGATCGTGCCGTGTTACGAACCAAACAGCTTTCCAACTTTTTGGGGCGCACCCCTTTGCCAAAAAAGAACTGAACTCGAAGCTTTACTTGCGCCTTGCCAAAACCCCAAAGACGGCTTGGCTCCGGTAATATAGGGGCTTTGATGTTAGAACAGGGTTTCATTATTCCGACCCCTCCGACCCCTCTAGTATTTTATCTTCAGGTTCAGTCAGGTCATTCCTATGCTCCCCTTAGAGCCTTAACAAAAATATATGTTTAATATCCTCTTGGGTTTTATATAGACAAAAATAGAAAAGAATTCCCAAAGGGGATATAGATTCAACATGGCCCCTCGATTCAAGAGGGAGATGCTCGATGAACACAGCCCTGAACACAGCCCCCCCTCCCCCAACGACACAGAAGCCCCCAAAAATCCATAACTAAACCCAAAACCCAAAACCCTAAACCCTAAACCCTAAGCCTAAACCCTAAACCCCCAACATTCACAACTCTGCCTCAACCTCACACCCGAAACGGAAGGAAAGTTGCGCCTCTAAGACCCTGCCATGGCCCCAAGGCTACCGGAACTTTGGCCGGGCTCTGGTGGGGCATGAAATCATGGGTTCCCCTACCACCCCCCTCTTTGCTACCCCTTTCCTCGGTTTCCCCCCTTAATATAACCTTAATGAGGTTTAATGATCCCGACATAGCCTTGATTATGGGGGAACCTAGGGGGGGTAGCATCGCGGGGGGTAGTAGGGGAACTCGTGTCAGTTGGGGGCTACAAAAAAAACTACACTGCTACAATGCTACAAGCCGCGGGCGTCCCAAACTAAACACCCGAATATCCCGAAAACACGCAGTTCGACGTTCTCTGGCGTTGTAATTACAGTGGTCGTGGGGCGGTGTAGGTGCCGAGAACTAGGCAGGGTGTAGGGTTTCCGCGGAGCTCAGCCAGAAACAACATCTGGCGCGGTCCCCGCCGACCGCGGTGCTTTCGGGAAAAAGGGAAGCATCTGACGAAAAAACATGAGAACGCAGGCTAAACCAGTTCCGGAGGATGTACCATCACTTCTTCCTTCACGACCGAAACCCGAGCTAAATATACGCTTGAACTTTCCTCTGCTTGCACTCCAGGCTGCTCAGTGTGCTTGCCGGAGCCACGGTTATGGTTCCATCCGAGCTGATGTCGAGAATCGGGTGGCCAGCAAGGAGTCCTAAGAAACTTCGAAGATACTGGGTTTAGGGTTTAGGGTTTAGGGTTTAGGGCTTAGGGTCTGGGGTTTGGGGTTTAGGGTTTAGGGTTTAGGGTTTAGGCACATCAGCCCAAGTTTTCAGGCGCGAGGTGAACCCGAGAACGACCCCACCTTCAAATTATCCCTCGACTCTAGGTCGGTGGTGGTCCACGAAGCCACGAAGTGATGCTACTTGTTCTCTCATTTTTCTTCTCTCTTCTTTCTCTTTATGTTTATCTGATGCTCATTTTGCATTTTTACTTCTTCTTCTTCTTCTTAATGGACACACAAAGCTCTGCTCTTTCAACGCCTATGTGCCTCGAGGAGGACCTTTGCATCAACACATTGACCATATTATGACGAAGGTTCTACTTGCCATGCGCAATAGCAGAGCAACACGCTGCACAGGAAAGACCCTTCCCAAAGCCACGCCAACAGGGCCCAAAAGCAAGAACGTATGCTTCGAAGAGTGCATACACACCGTGAAGCCTCGGGTAGCTTCGGCACTGGGGGGGGGGGGGGGGGGGGGGGGGGGGGGTCTATACGGGCTTCCTTTCTGAGGGGGACCCGCAGACTCTTGGAAGTTGCAATAGGCTTCGCCAAGCCCTCTCCAGCTAAAGATGTAAGGATTCTTGCTGAGAGGGCTTAACCAGGCTTTTACATGGAACCCTAAAGCCCCAAATGTTGATCGCCTTCTTTATGTGCCCACTAAGTGTCACATTAATCATTTGCTGGAATCCTCCTTCTTATAGGTGCCCCCCAAATTATAGGGATCCTAACAGGCACGTAGACGTTTGTTGGCGCCCTAAAGAGCTAATAAACTTTTTAAACCCTAAACCCTAAACCCTGAACCCTAAACCCTGAACCCTGAACCCTGAACCCTGAACCCTAAAGCGCTAAGCTGAGGAGCCCATATTCAAGATGCGGTCGTAGCTGAACTTCGTCGAGCCTGTGGGCCAGACACCGCAGGCCATGCCGAAAGTCCTCAGCATCAAGCCCTGCAACTCCACATTTGGGGGTTTTGGGCTTAGGGTTCTAGGGGTTCTAGGGGGCCCTAAAAAATCGAACCCCCCAAAATAGTAGGATTCCCTTATAATGAGGACCTCAACAAGGGTACGCCCCCCCCCCCCCCCCCCCCCCAATTTCGGAAGCCCCCCCCCAAAAATGCCCAAAGAGTAGGGCCCCCCAAAATGCACGTCCTATGTATAGACTTTAGACTCTTCAGTGACCCTAGCGAAGTTTCCGTAGCATTCCAGGGAGGAGGGATGGCAGTGATGCTACCTTTTCGAGATCCATCTCATGCAGATTATGTCTTTCTTGAATCTCTTTTGTGGAACGCCAACTGTAGGATCCATGGATACACCGCAGGCATTGAGCAACGCTTCAGGCTTCGGGTTCCAACGATTCCTGAGAGTTTAGGGTTTAGGGTTTAGGGCCTTAGGCCTTAGGCCTTAGGCCTTAGGCCTTAGGCCTTAGGCCTTAGGCCTTAGGCCTTAGGCCTTAGGCCTTAGGCCTTAGGGTTTAGGGTTTAGGGTTTAGGGTTTAGGGTTTAGGGTTTACGGTTTAGGGTTTAGAGTTATTTGCAGGGCTTTGCGGGGGAAGGCCAACCGCAGAGGATCATAAAACCGACTCCCCGAAGAGCGCAGCACTAGCTCGGTGAATCCCTGCATGTAGTGAGGCACGAGGTATAGACACCTTTCCAGTTTTCCATGTAACATCAGAAACACTACGAGGCAACTCTCGCGTCTAGGAACAGCCTACAGTAGGCGCAGGGTTTGAGGGTTCGCCGGATGCCAGTTGGCCAATGTCAAGTCAACCTTGTGCTTGGTGTTTTCTGGATTGCCTAAACCCTAAACCCTAAACCCTAAACCCTAAACCCTAAACGGTGTTTCGGTCTTTTGCTGGATTCGGTGTTTCGGTCTTTTGGCTCCGAGGATCAAGCCCTCGCAGCAGCCCGACATCGACAAGCACAGGCGGCTTAGGGTTTCGGACGCCTGCTTGTCAAAAGGAGCCCTAAAAGCCCTTAAAGCCCGAAAGCTCCTAAACCCTAAACCCGAAACCCTGAACCCTGAACCCTAAACCCTAAACCCTAAACTCTAAAGCTCCAGGGCAAACTTGGGTGCCAGGGCGCCAGGGCTTCATGAGTCCCTGCTCCGTATGCGGCTTGGGGCTCAGGGGGTGCAGCTCCTCGCCAACACTCACCGACACGGCCTCCAAGTCGTACCTCTGAGGGTTCCCTAAACCCTAAACCCTAAACCCTAAACCCTAAACCCTAAACCCCAAATAAACCCCAAACCCTAAAACCCTACACCCTAAACCCCAAGTCGTGCCTATAAGGGTCGGTTTCAGAGGGTCTGCGAGCTGAGGGTTTCCAGGTTTAGGGATATTTTGCGGGTTTACGGATGTCACGTTTGGGGGACTGTGAGTTTCGGGATGTTTGGTGTTTCCACAGATTCACAGACCATGACAGTCAGACGCCCCTCAATAGTCGGTTTCGGAGAACGAAGGAACCCAACGCGTTGCTAGGCCAGAAACTCCGGGTTGAAAAAGTTCCCGGAACTCTGCGCACACAAAGGGTTTGGGGTCCTTCGGGTTCAGGCTAGCAGAAGCCAAGTACCTGGAGCAAGTGAGGTGCAAAAAAACACTTCAAGTCAGACCGCGAGCGAAAGAGCTACATCACGAACAAGTTGGGCTTGCAAGCTCCATGGTTGCAATGCAAGCAGACATTGTCTTGTGAATTTCAGCTTGGCTTGACTTGTGAATTGTCCCTACGAGGTCAAGCCTGACCTCCAAGGGCGCTTGTGCGCTCCCGTCGCAGACAAGACTGTCATGCTAGCGGAACACGGATGTCGGCGTCGCGTGTCAAGGAGCAGCCATTCGAGTCCAAGGACGAGGCAAAGCAAGTGCAATCTCGAGCTCGGAGATTTCGAGGACCCCGCAGGCAGCAAAGGGTTGGCCCAGCTCATTCATCTGCAGCCAACAGAGACACAGAGAGAGAGAGAGAGAGGCCTCTCAAATACTAATGTAGACAGCCGACGCACTCTTCCATGCCATGTCCGAAAAGCTATGGTGCCTAAACCCTAAACCCCGACCCGTCGCTCTCGCTTTCTTTTCCTCTCCCTGTCCCGCTCTACCTCCAGCTTATTTTACCCTCCCCCTCCCCCCCCCCCCCCGCTCCAGCTCCCACTCCCGCTCCCGCTCTATCTCTCTATCTCTCTCTCTCTCTCTCTCTCTCTCTGTCTCTATCTCGTTCTCTCAGTTACGTAGACCCGCTAAACCTACCCTATACCCCGCAACCCTCAAATTGCGTCGGGAGTTGCTCCAGCTTAGGCCACGGTCGTGGGCGGATGGCCACAATCGTGGTTTGGTGCCTTTGCTCTAACGTTCTGGGCTTAGGTTTCATGTCGCTCTTGAATGGCTTGTGATGTCTCACATGTCTCAACACCAGGTATGCGGGGGGGTATATAGGCTTTCTGCTTTACGCTTTTGGCTTCACGGCTGGGGGCTTTGCGTTGAATCGAACTGAACAAGTTGAAGCAACGACTACGACCCGAATGCCCTGAAAATGCCGGACCCTGGAGACGCAAAGCAGTGTCCCAAACCTTACGAAATCCTCAGGGTTTAGGGTTTAGGGTTTAGGGTTTAGGGTTTAGGGTTTAGGGTTTAGGGTTTAGGGTTTAGGATTAGGGTTTAGGGTTGGAATAAGCACAGATTTCATCACGGCGCTTCTTGTGCGCTTGCCAGGCCGTGACGACGCAGACGGCCCCATCCTGACATGCCACGCATCTACTATCGCTCTGCGGTTTAGGGTTTAGGGTTTAGGGTTTAGGGTTTAGGGTTTAGGGTTTAGGGATATCGGACCCGACCGGAACGCTGTCTCGTAGGTTTTCAGGAAGACAGTGGAGGGGTTTGCCCTAGACTCGGAACCCTTGACTCTGAACCGCCTGCACCTGAACAGTGAATCCTCAATCCTTCGACCATCGGCTTCTTGAACCTGAGTGTTCGAGGGTTTAGGGCTTGGGGTTTGGGGTTTAGGGTATAGGGTTAGGGGTTTAGAATTTAGGGTCCTGCCCGAAGAACTTGTCATCGGCAATGGAGACCCCTCCAGACGCCCCACTCGGAGCTGTGTAGCCTCGAGAAATGATGGGGTGCGCGGCTTCGAGATGCAGAATGTAGGGGTAGGGTTTGTAGGGTTTAGGGTTTAGGGAAGTTGCTAATTGTATTTACTTATGGTTCCTTTATAAATGTAGTAGAAGAACCCCCCAAAACCCCTATTCTAATTGTTAAGGCCCCTATAGTAGCCCCGTTGGAGATGATTGAGGCTTTTGTCGCATCGCAAACCCTGAAAAATCTGAACGACATCTGGTGTAGTTGTCTTGTGGCACATAGACCCTCCCTGCTACTTCCGTGTCAATGTTTGTGCTCCAAGCAAGCTTCCACCAACACAAAAAACTTAGCGCAGACCCCACCCGAACCCACCCCAGCCTCCTGGCCTGCAATGTTCCATCGATACGCCCTAAACCCTAAACCCTAAACCCTAAACCCTAAACCCTAAACCCTAACCCCTAAACCCTAAACCGCGCTGTCAGATCATAATATGGAAACCAAGCAGCTCAGTGTGCCATCGGATCGCGCAATGCTCAGCCAACTGACCTGCGGCTTGAGATATGGTAGCTTCAGAAAGTAGGGGACCCGAATTTAGCACCCTAAATTCTAGGATCCTGATGATAAAGACCAAAATTCTAGGATCCTTATTATAATGACCCCCCAAAATTCTAGGATCCTTATCATAAGGACCACCCTCCCCACCAAAACATAGCCCTAGTTTTCTGAAACTCCCATTGAAGGAAAATCGGCAGAGCGTCTTCCTTCTTGTGCAACATCCGACAAACAACCCTGGCCTGAGACTCTTAGACTTTTTACACAAAAAAACACAGGACTTAATCTTTGAATGCGTTTATGCAGGGTTTACGATATTAGGGGTACTCTTTTTTTTTGTGGGGGGGGGGGGTTCCCTTTAAGGGGATTCTCTTCTATTTGGGGTGTAAAAGGGGACCCCTCTTTTGGGGAATTTCGCCCCTAGCAAGGCGAAGTGTGAGGCAGTAGACCTTGGAGGAAGGAAAATGAGACATCTACTGTGTGGACAGCTTGTTTAGGCTTTAGGGTTTAGGGTTTAGGGCCCTTGCTTACCATCTCATGCCCTTAGATGGGGGTTTACGTCGTGAGGGGTACAGTACCTTATTTCACAAGGGGATCCTACTCTTTGGGGTGGGCCCTTGCTTTCGTACCCAGATCCCGAGCCCCGGACTGCACCGACACCTATGCAGAAGATGGAACATGAAGGCGGAACGAGAACCAAAGTCTAAGTGGACTTTCCTTTCCAAATCTACCACCAACTTCGGGACAGATCCTGAAGCAGAACCGGCCCAAACCTGAAAGCTGAAGACCATTCAATTTTCACTGGGGGCCCCTTCCCCGGAATCCTGGCAAGTGGCAAGCTGGAGTTTCAATGCATGCTGTCAGCAACCTAATTGCTGAGTACCCTGGGCCAAAACAAGGTGAACCTTTCAGTTATGGCAGGATCATGTATACCACAAAAAGTTAAAGTTAAAGGTTACCTTCGCAGCTACTAAGGTAAACTCTCGTCATTGGACCGATCATGCTCTGGGGCTTCAGGGTGCGCATCAGGACGTCTATGCTGAATATGCGCAGCACCCTCCCGCCTCGGGCGCGCAGCCCAATTCCTTTTGGACATGTTTAAGGGTGTCAGGCTGACTTTTTGAGGAGGAGATAAGGCGATGAGTAGCTTTATGGGGCTACGTATGACTTTCATTGCCTTACTTATTACCTTTGCTCTTAAATTTCTCGCTCCTTTAGGCAGGAAACCTTGAGTTCCGAACCCGGGCTGCGGTCTTTACACTTCTTCTTTGAGAGCTCCGGTTTGGGGGAGTGTTGCAAGGATCTCAGGCTGCGCGGGCCAGAGGTTCATACCGATTCATACCCAAATCAGCAAAACTTGAGAATCCAGGGTTAGGGTTTAGGGTTTCGGGTTTCGGCCGACCATCTGCAAAGCTCTGAGACTTTGGGGGCTTCGTGGGGCTTTGGGAGGGTTTCGGCATCAAAGCATCGTGCGTCTCCAATACGGGAAGTGTTCGGGGGGATGTTTCACTGGGGTGGCGACCCAGCCCGGGCAACGATTGGTCAAAATCACATGAGCGACCCACGAGGAGGGCGGGGGGGGGGGGGGGGGGGGTTGGGTTTAGGATTTATTGAGGTCTGGGTGGGCGACACGAAACCAAAAAGTCACACGTCGTTGACTCTTGAGACCAGAAGTCTCTGAGCCTGGGAAAAGCTTGTCTTTCTTCTTAACAGCCAACTTCCCCATTGCAGAACACGACGAAGACATTGCCACAACGCAAATCAGTGTCCGACCTTTGCCTGGCTCGAGAAACCGAATCTGGTGCCGCCATACAAACTCGAAAATACGGATGTTGGGTTTATGGCGCAACTACGGCCTAGGAGATACTTAGAATACCGGAAGCCGGCACCTGACACTGTAGCTTTCTGATGCGGCTTACACGAACCACCGCCTTGCACAGGCAAAAAACAAGGCTTACGAACATTTACAGGTCAATCTTGGGCCAACTCTTTGTCAAACAACCTCAGCCCTACTTCTTGTAAGTTCTCAGTCCTAAACCCTAAACCCTAAACCCTAAAACCTAAACCCGAAACCCTAATCATCGCCTCCAAGTCTCAAACTTCGACCAGCCGGTTCCAGCTGTCAGCGGCCTCTCGGTTGCTTTGTCGCTGTGGAACAGCAGCGTAGCAGAGCCTCGGGGGCTTCTGCGGTTTAGGGTTTAGGGTTAGGGTTTAGGGTTTAGGGTTTAGGGTTTAGGGTTTAGGGTTTAGGGTTTAGGGTTTAGGGTTTAGGGTTTAGGGTTTAGGGTTTAGGGTTTAGGGTTTAGGGTTTAGGGTTTAGGACTTCTTTGTGTGACGCGGGTAGGTGCCTTAAAGGCTTTGACTCAAAACGGCTTTTTGTTGTTTTTTGGTGGGTGTGTTAGTCTTCGGGAGGAAGGAAGGGCTTTATCGCAGTCTGGAGGTTAGGACCGGGGGTTGGTTTTCTTTTCGGGGAGTTGTTGCTTTGCAATTAGTGTCCTCGAGTCATCTAGAAACGGCGTGGAGCTGTACGTACGTCCTCAAGGTTAAAGTACGCGGCAATCAGGGCCCAATATTCCCAGAGAATGCGACGCTGGCCAAGTTTCGGCGTGAATACTCGGACAAACCAGGCGAGGCCTGTAACGAGGGTAATTGCCGGAGCTGACACCCCAAGCTAACGACCAACACCGTTACCAAAACAAACTCTCGACCCCCACCTTGTTCAGCTCATCAGCTTCAGTCGTGAGTTTAAAGACTTGCATGTTCATGCCACTAGGCACAAGAGATTTGCCATAGCATTGAACTAACTACCGCTGTGGATCGCCCTACTCTCAAGACAAAAAAAGGTAATCATGAATGCATGAATGAAGCAAGACGGGTACTGAAGTGTAGCTCAGTACACGGGCAAAATTAAGCAGTTTACAGCCTTGGGCTATACCCTAAAACACTACACCTGCAACCCTAAACTCTAAACCACGGGTTTAGGGTTTAGGCGGAAGGCAAGATCAAAACTTCGAGGTCCAAGCGCCTTGCATGGAAGCCTTCATGGCTTTCCGTACGACCCAACCCCCACGGGATAGCATTAAAAATCTAAATTTCTATTATTTCTATTCCTTATTGATTTTAAGTATCCTTGAAAATGTAAAATGTTACCCCACTATGACAAAGTAAACCCAAAAGCCCAAACCGCTTGCCCTTGCAAACTCGCAGCTGTAGCTGAGCACGTCCGCCGCGATCGTGACGACGGAAGCCAAACTCACTCCTGTCGCCTGGTGGGCTGTGACCTCGCACTCGAAGGAGAATGCCTGGAGGTTGTGGCCTAAACCCTAAAAACCCTAAAAACCCTAAAAACCCTAAAAACCCTAAAAACCCTAAAAACCCTAAAAACCCTAAAAACCCTAAAAACCCTAAAAACCCTAAAAACCCTAAAAACCCTAAAAACCCTAAAAACCCTAAACCCTAGGCCGTAAAACCCAAAACCCTTGAAGGTTCTGAAGGTTCAGGGGGCCGACGCCGGGGGGGAACGTCGGGGTGCAAAGTGTATTTGTTTCGGGCTTTTTTGGTCTCTGCGGCCTTGTACCCTCGGTGGCTACAGTGCTTCAGGTGCTTCAGGTGCTTCAGGTGCTTCAGGTGCTTCAGGTGCTTCAGGTGCTGCAACTAAATCCCTCTTAAGTGAAATTTCCGAGATCCGGTGAGAAAAAGAGGGTTCTGAACCGGCTATTGAGAGGAGTGAGAGCACGGCAAAGCTTGGGCTTAGGGATATCAGGGAGACCCCAAGGAACCCGAAGATGTGAACATCGAAAACTACCTCGCAACTAAACCTTCCTCAGGATCCGCTCGCAACAGACGCCTACCTGCATCCAGGCTACCCCCAGACCCTTAAGACCCTGAAGCCCCAAAGCCCTCAAAAATACCCCGGTAGCCTCTCCCCCCCCCTCCCACCCCCCAAAAAAAGAAACCAAAGGAGTGCCTCGGTGGGTTTGGCCCGACCGGACATGTAGGAGATTTCTCCTTCGCGGGCTTCATGGGCTTTTCTCCGCTCTTTTGACTGAGGTGATATATCATGAGTCATGACACTGGTAGCGAGATCACACAAACAGGCTGACAGCAACATCATAATAGCGCTGCTTGTGTGTATCTCTACATAGCTATGTATAGCAAGAGGCGAGACCCATCGTCATTGTGTAGTGGGATGTAACCCACAAACCTTAGACTCTAAACCCTTGATTCAAAAAACACCTGAAGCCTGAACCCTCGAAGCCTGAAGTCAAAATCTCGATCCCCGAAAATAGTCCAAAGGCTTGGGGGGCCCTTTCTTGGAGGTGCGAGTCAAAGGGACCTGGCCCTTCAGAGCTCGTCTCCGTGCTTTGGGAGGCGCAGTGGTGTAGGGAGAAGCATCAAAATCGACCTTCAAATCCCCAACAGCCTGCCTCTTTAAGGAAATGTAATACAAAGAGCTCATAAAAGGGAACCTCCGAACCTTTTTAAGGAAATTTAATGCCAAGAAATCATAACAGGGAACCCTCAAAAGGCAGGTGTCTTGGGGTCCAGGTAGGTCTTGGGGATTCTCCTCTCCTGCAGAGGCAACAACAACCCTTTATAGATCTTTTCCGAAGAGGTTTACCAAGGGACTGGAAACCCCAGCTCCAAGAAATCAAATGACAGGACGAAGGCGGATTTGCGGCTATTTATAAACGCGCAGTGCTCTCGCATCTGAATGCTATGGCGACACATGACGAGCCGTGACACTGCTTTCAATTGTGCCAAGACCGAAACCGAGAACAGTGGAACGCCGGAATGCATACAAACCCTAAACCCTAAACCCTAAACCCTAAACCCTAAACCCTAAACCCTAAACCCTAAACCCTAAACCCCAAACCCCAAACCAAAAACCACCGAACCTCGCCTGTGGAGCTGTCTATGGTCAGGTTGTGCGCCGCCAGCTCGCACTTGGCATCCACGGTGTAGCGCTCGGCCGTGCGGGGCTCAGGCTGCATCACCTTGGGTCGGCTACATGGAAGAAACCAGAGAGAGAAAGAGAGGAAGAGAGGAAGAGAGGAAGAGAGGAAGAGAGGAAGAGAGGAAGAGAGGAAGAGAGGAAGAGAGGAAGAGAGGAAGAGAGGAAGAGAGGAAGAGAGGAAGAGAGGAAGAGAGAAGGCGGAGGACACCGAGGGACCTGATAACTTGATGTCGGTTTAGATCCCAAGTCATGGCGTGGTCGTACTCTGTAGAGCCTTTGCTGATTTTCCACTGCCAAGTCGCGATGTTGGAGTCGAGGGACCAACGGCTGTTGGGATAGGAGAAGGGCGTCGGCCTGGGATTTGGGATGCCTTGCCATGGGCTTATTGAATTTCAGGATTTCAGCTTTGCAGTCTTTGTGGCGTTCAGGGTAGGCGGGAGGAAACATGCTTTTCGTTCGTAAGCTGACACCGGGCGCGAGGAGTATGCTTGGGAAGTGACTTGCACGGTCTGGTGTCCTAGCTACAGAAGCCAGGGTGCAACGGAAGAAGTAAAGAAAGTAGTGCATAGTGCCTGGAATTCTCCAGAAATCAGAACCCAAACCGCAAAACCGCGATGCCCCATGGTACTCTGCCCGCAAGGGGCGTGGCGAAGCCGCCGCCGCACTGGCAGCAAGCCTCGTTGCTCGACTGGCCCCTCACCTTTTCGTCGCTGCAATCGCTCGCCGCCAGCTGCATGCATGATTTTCCGGCTGCATTGAGCCTCTGCGCATACTCTTGAGCGACATGATGTGGCAATGAGGCCCGGAATCAAAATCAAACCCACCTCAACAGCATCGTAACAGCGTATCATAGTCTGAAAAACTGGATCAGCAAAAGGGACATAAAAGTCAACTACAGAAGCACATGAGACATTAAAATGTTGCCAACACCTCCGACCGTAAGGAAAGCAACAACTCAATGTGCATTCCTCCGGTGGTTTAAGCGCCCGCAGAAGAAGTGGGTCTAGTGTTATTGTCTCTCGGGTTCAAGAAGCCAATATTTGGCCGTTGTATCCTAACCCTGCTTCGAGAAAGCACGTAGTGAATCAACCTTAAAACATCCTCGGCTCTCTTCTTCAATAACCAGGCTCAAACAAGTTCTCAAATTTTCTATATAGACGAAATGTGTAACGCCAAAAAGCTTAGAGAGTTCTCCCATGAAAGTAATAAGTCGAAGGAGCCAGCCCCCTGAGCTCGTGCATGCCATGCACTTGCCGTGACGCACGATGAAGCCATCGGCACATTTCTGGCACGAGCCTCCCGTGAAAGAGGCGCAACCAGCACAAGCCTGAGCCGTGACGACGGTGGCTTAGGACGTGCTAGGACCCTCTACCCAGAGGCTCCTCTGTAGTACCTTTTTGGGGTAGCATACTAAAATCCCCCATAACTAGCCCAAAAAGGAACTGCAGCCTTTGGGTAGTTCTCCTTTCGCTTCGAGGCTTGCAGCTGTAAAAGATCGGGATGATTGGTTGAAGGCTAAGTGATTTCGCGCAAGGTTGACTTGGGGAAACTGGGAATTAGAGGTATGGCCTTCTTGGAAAGGCATGCCGTTCAAAGCTACGAGTAAGGTAAAAAGACTCAACACGGCACAGACACTCTACTACACGTGTATACACAACTGGCACAAGCCGTGACCATTGGGCACATGCACGTCCGTGCGCGACAACACAGACACCAAAACACAGAACTGCCATAAGGTGATCTCTCCAACAGTTCACAACCTGTGGCCATGTGCCACATTAGTCACTAGCCCAGACCGCGAGCAAGAAAGAAGCCCAGCAGCCACTTTCGATCTGGGACAGCAGGTCTCAGCTATTCCTGCTGGCTGGAAATCCCTCAGCTTGACCTGACACATACAAGATCTTCACTGAAAAGAAGTCAGAAGGGTCCAGGAATACAACACCCAGCAGTAACCCAGGAACAGGAAGGGTGCCCTTTTTGGTTTAACGGGGGTTCTAAGGGAACCCAAACCCTAAAAAAAGGAATAAGGGCCTACTGCTATACTCCCCTTAAAAACCTTAATAAATTAATCTCTCTAATATCCTCTTGGGTTTTTATAAACATAAATAAAAAACTAATTCCCAATGGGGATATAGACTCTGGGTCCTAGAAGAAACGGGCTGACACAAAATTCAAGGGCTTGGAGTCCTGTTGATGCGGGGCCCAAGGGCGCTGGGGAGCAGTACTTTGTGTGATCCTTCTCTTGTGCAACTTCTTCGGATCTGTGCTCGCGCAAGAGCTGCAAAAGAGCTTGTGCACATCAACGACGGTGAAAAGAAAAGCTTTTAAGACCTTTCGCCAGCCCACCTCAACGTTATTGGGGCTCGCAGTGTGTGTCTGTAAGACCACAAGATACTACAAGTTTCAAGGATTCAGGTCACATGTCCACTTGGGCTTCTGGCGTTCGATTCGGTTTCCCAGGAAACCTTCGCTGAACCCCAAAGCGCCGACTCCCCGCACCTGGCCGAAGCCCAAGCCTCAGCCCTTCTTATGTCCAGTAATCTTATGTCCAGTAACCTTGGGGGAACTAAAGGTTAACCTTTGGGATTCTAAGGGGATTATACTACCGCGAAAAAAAGGTTAAAGGTTACCTACTCTACTACGTAGGCCTTTTAAGCTAAACTCTGCACTCCTCAAGGGTGCCCAAACCCCATGGCAAAGTCCTTAGAAGCTGTCTCTTTGCTTTTTGCCTTGTGATCTTGTGATATGTTCCCCCTTATTAACTAACAGTCCTTAGTAGGGATGACAGTACTCCCGATTTATGACCCATATTGAGGATTGATCGTATAAGGGGGGGAACATCCCAACCCTGCACCCTTTCACCCCGAAGGCCCTACAGCCAGCGGCCGCGCCTGTCCACTTGCACAGCTAGCCTCCAGCCAGGCAGCCGGTTCTGTCTCTGGTGGTCTTTGGGATGAACGGCTTTCAGAGTGCCCCCCCCCCCCCCCCCCCCCCCCCCCCCCCTCGGGTAGGAAGCTCCCCAAACCCTGAACCCTAAACCTCGAAACCTAAACCTGGGATGCAATGCCAGTCCTGGGTCCGAGAGGTCCCTCCCACCCACCCACTTTCGGTCTTCGCAAGGGTTCTTCCAGGTTTCAAGCACGTGAGGCAAAAGGGGGGCAGCGGGTTTGAGGCTTCTTTTGGGTATTGAAATTCAGAGGTTTGCAGGTTAGAGGGAAGTCAAGAGTCAAGACCGAGCCTGGTCGGGCTTCGTGAGGCTTTCGACCCAGAGCCAAACCTGGGCTGTTCAAGATAGCCCTTCTGCCAATATTACTTGGTAGCTCAGAAACCATATTCTAATAAGGGCACCCTTTTCTCTGTTGGTTACTTTATAAGGGAACCTTGAACGAAAAGAAAATTCTGCCGAGAGCAGACCTGACTGGGTGCTGGGATGCCTAAATCGGCCTGGAGACGGCCTTGAAGGTCTTGCTGTTCGCGCTGCACGTGCCTGCCCCGGAGGCGAAGTACCTGGGAGAGGCAGGGACCACCGGAAAAGCCCACATGCTCAGACAATTCCAAAAAGGGCAAAGGCCCTTCTTCCGTTTTTTTGGGGTGGGCGGTTTTCTTCGATTTTTTTTGCAGCCGCGGCACGAGGTCCAGCCAGCTCCCAGCTCGGAGTCCGTCTTCTGCCCAGCGATTCCAAGGCCGATGGCCGCGTCCGCATCGCCGCTGTCGCTCTGGCATCCTTCACTTAAAGGCGGGAATCAGGGCCCTATGTATACCCTCTAAGGGATTATTCGGCCCTATGTATACCCCTTTTAAGGGACTATACAGGGTACCTAGCCTTGTGAGGGGCAGTTCGCACACCAGCCCCAGCGAGCTTTGTTGCCATCTCTGCACTCGATGTTGAAGCCAGGCCTCGTGGAGACACGACCACAGACAAAGCCAAACACAGTTCTTTGACGACGGGTGGGCAGCATGCAATCTGTTTTCGTTTCCTGGCCTCTGCATAGGACAATCTCGGTAAGAACCTTTCGCGGGGCCGAAGGTCTTGAGAATCTCGTCCTGCTTCACGCTTTCGTCTCGAATGTACCCGGCGCTGAAGAGGGCCTTCGCACTGTCGTACCTCGTTTCGAAGGCGTGATCCACGCAGTTGGACAGCGGGCTTCCGATGCACATGCGCATCTTCTTGAAAGGCTCCGTGTTGAATTCGCTGTATTTGGCATCCTCTGCTGTCGCCATCTCCGAAGCTTCGTTCAGCAGCTCGCTGTTGGTCCAGAGCGGACTGGAGAATCCAAGAGTCGCCGTCTTGCCAACCTTCAACACGAGCTTCCAGTTGCCCTGGCACCGGCTGAACAGGGTTTGTCTCGGGTGTTTGTGCTCTGTACTGGGCCTGCCCGCCAGCGCTTCTAATTACGCTCAGATCAAGAGCTGCACTTGTGCTGGGGGTCGAGTCCTGAACGCAGAAAAGCCGAAAAGCCCGGCCTTAAAACCCTGCAGCCCCAAGTTCCGAAGACTCTTGGTACATCGAAAAGTCCCCCCAACTTGCAGGCGCAGCTGGGCAGGACGTGCTTGCCGGGTAAGACCAAACACGAGCAGTAGCAACTGTCGAGGACACATGTTCCGTTCTTGTCAAGCAAAGATCCGTGCAATTGTGGGTCCTGCGCATGAATCTCCGCAGCGCTAGTTGCTTCCGCTTGCTTTTCTTCCGAGAGCTAGCTACTTACGAATGCAAGCCGCTGCTGTATGCAAAGTGTTCAACGCGCTCCTTCGGATTTTTCGTGGCAAATTCAGCGGCGCAGCAACTGCCCGGCCTGCTTCGCCTGCTTCTGCTGCAAGATCGGGGTCTCCGATTCCTTCCCTTCCGAAACGCTCGCAAAAGGCAGCGGCGCTGCTTTGCGACCTGGTGTGATAGGGGCCCAGAGAAAGTAGGAGTCAGGGTGTGGGGCTTAAACGGTCCACCTCGCAGGGCTAAGAGGCTAGGAGGTTTCTTTGGTTTGGGGTGGAGGATGTTGTAGGGCTGCTAGGGTCTCGGGTAGGACATAGCTTAGGGCTTTAGGTCTTGTCAAGGTCTTCCCGGGAGTTCGCGGGGAGGTTCATGGGAGGTTGGTGTCGGTGTAGCAACGCAGGTAGAACGTTTGTTACTGTATGGTAACTTTCCTCATTGAGCAAAGTGCAGGACTGCTACAGCTGGTACCGGATTTCTGAGTCTCGCTACAACTTGCGCTTGTGAATTTCCCGGCACGACTACTAGAATTTCTCTGACTACTCTAAGTACTATGTTTACTATAACTACTAGAATTACCATAGTTACTATAAATGGTGAAAGCCTCGTGGTGCAGCACAATAAGACCTACGATCCCGGATGGTCCAAGGCTTCAGGTCTGGAGTTACAAGCCCAAGCCTCGAGGTTGGCAGCATCAGGGCTTGGGGCTTAGGGCTTAGGGGCTTAGGGGCTCAGGGCTTAGGGTTTAGGGATTAGGGTTTAGGGCTTAGGGATTAGGTTTAGGGGTTTAGGGGTTTAGGGTTTAGGGTTTCAGTTTGCAAAACAAATCTGGGCTGCAATGCGTCAAGCCAATCGGGTTTAGAGTTAAGGAAGGCCTCAGGCGTAAGATGTAATATCAGGACCACGACGGGGGCTCCATGACGGCCCCCGAAATTCGCATTCGCATCACAACTGGCATCTTTACAGGCAGCATGCTCATCCTCATGCTGCCACTTCTGACGCCCCAGAACACAACTATACTTCCCTTACATTCACAAACATACCATTTTTAATATCCTCTTGGGTTTTCTATCAACAAAAAGAAAGAAGAACTCCCAAGGGGGATGTAGACAACCCATTTGCATCCCGAGCCGCAGCTGCTTCTGCGTTCGCTTGCATTCTGGTGCTGAGCCAAGATCGCCTGGAGGTCGAGGCCCCGAGGCGTCCGCGGCACCTATCGGAAGGGTGCTTGCGGTTTGGAGTTTGCGAGGTAAGAAGCTCATTAAAAAAACGTTGCAATGCAATGAGGCGTGTGAGTGTGGCTTCTGCGGGTTTACAGCATTGTGAAGTTGAACGTGTTCAGCTTGCGCTGAATGCTACGGAGCTTCAAAACCTCCACCATTGCTTCATTCACGCAGCATGCTTCTCGAATTGATTACACATCTCCCAAAAGGTAACCCTAAACCCTAAACCCTTAACTTCCTAAACTTCCTAAACCCTACACCCTGCCCCAAGCTCAAGCCGAGGGCCTGTCATTTCATGACGGTCGGCTGGCTTTGAGCCATGGGTTTAGGGTTTAGGGTTTAGGGTTTAGGGCTAGGGTTTAGGGTTTAGGGATAGTCCTACGAATTGCAAGTTTTGGGTTCAGCCAAATGCTTTTGGCGTGTCGGATTTCAGCTTTTGGTGTCCGCGTGCTCGACACAGGGTTTCGGAGAGCTGCGGTTGAAGAAGCGCGTAGAAGGCCTTGCATTTTGTGAGGCTACTATGTAAGATGATTAGTGAGAAATGTTCACGCATGATGACGGACACCGAATACAGCCTATAGAACTAAGCTACAACACCCTGAAAATTGCAAAACAACAAAAGAAGCCTGTTGAAATCGGCAGAAGCTGAAGAACACCCACCACTTACGAACTCTTGAAACCAATTGGGAGTTCAGGCCTGCAAAGCTAAGCGGTTGCTCTACATTGTTGGTTCCTTCAAGGTTTCTAGGTAACAACTTCCAGCAAGAAGAGCTTCCAGCCAAAACCTTAAACCCTGCACCCTTATGAGGCAAGCCTAATCTAGGGGCCTGAAGAATTCGAATAGGGTTGTGGGGGGGGGATATTGTAGTATAGTTCTAAAGGGACCCTAAGGGAATACTATTAGTAATTATTCCGAACTAAACCCTAAACCCTAAACCCTCAACCCTAAACCCTCAACCCTAAACCCTAAACCCTAAACCCAAAACCTTAAACCTGTATTCAAGCAGATGCACGAGCCGAGCCTCCGCCGCATCGGCATTCCCTTGGGCGCCGGAGCTCTCGAGGCGCGCAAGCTCCTGGCTCCATCTTAGGGCTTAGGGTTTAGGGTTTAGGGCCTAGGGTTTAGGGTTTAGGGTAGGTAACCTCAAGGTAATTAGTCGTCTCAAACACACACACACACACATGTTCTTCTTTATGCAGGCTAATGGCAAAACTTTCCTTGAAACCGCAAGCATGAACCGCAGCACGCTTGTCAATATATGTGGTGCTACAGCAGCTGGGACCCAACTCGACATCACAACTTCGCAAATCAGCCGAAAGAGACATGAACCAACATGTTTTAGTCGTTCATATTTTCCTGTAGCAAACGCTCGGTATGATGTCGCTGGTTCGCACACCATTAGGCCCAACTCTGCACAGAAGGTGCCCTAATTACATCCCACCGTACCCATTTCCTTATCTGACTTGAATGGGCAAAGTACAAAGTGCTACAGCTACCAGCCCGCCACAGGTTGCTGTGTTTGACGTACCATGCGCGTGCCTTTGGGGAGGTCTAGATCCAGCCGGTGGCTGTCATAACCAGGATGGCAGTGTTGAGGGATTCTGTGTAACGGACCAGTGCTCATCCCATTTATTCCTCATCAGCAACCTTAATCAACCCAGCAGAACATGTATCCGATGAACACATTCCACATTCTATTCGTGGGAATCAGCCTAAACCCTAAACTCTAAACCCTAAACCCTAAACCCTAAACCCCTTGAAGGGAACCTGCAAGTCTACAGTGTGTACACAAACCACAAAACCACGCAAGCACGTGCCTCCAATTCAATCTGCGCCGTTGGCTCGATTTCTCGCTGTGTTGCAACAAGCCAGCCATCCCACAAGCGAAGGTTGAACACACACCCCAACCACGACTGCGTGCAAATGCAGCCAACACACGTGATGCCGTTTCTAGGAACTTGGCACTTGCAGCATGGGCGTGGGAAAAGTGACCCAAGCTCCTCCTTGAGACCTGCATCTTCGTTCTTGAGCTCTTTCAACTCCTGCAAAGGCTTGGTCGCGGGTGCGTAAGAGCAGGATCAAGGTTGGGTTTGGGGCAATGGATACTAAGAGGAAAACGCCGCGACATAGAAAATTGCATTAAGTCGCACAACTATGACATGTGAAGCGCAATCACACAAGAGTCTCTGCACACTTCTGTTTGTGTGAGTGCGTGACGTGGCCACATGATGCCGCGAGGCAAATGTTCATCGAGGGCAGTTCAGAAATCGAGATCTCCTCCTCCATCTTTTGCATGACGTTCAACACGTTTTCCTCGAAACCTGCGAAGCAGTGCCCGAAAAAATGAAACCCTAAACTCTAAACCCAGAACCCTCGGGACGATTCAGGGTTTTGGGTTGAGGGTTTACTGTTGTTTGGGTGAACATAGATATTGGCGAGTTTCGTCCAACAAGTCTGGGTTTAGGGGCTAAGGGTTTGGTTTGGCGCGTCCGGCTGGTCCATCAGCGCTGGGACCCACAGCCGCCTCCGGCCGGGTGTCTGCTAATCTATATTGTTTGTGCCATACCGTGGGAATATACACAAAATTGCATCCACACACCCCTAAACCCTAAACCCTAAACCCCAAACCCTAAACCCGAAACCCTAAACCCTAACCCCCCCCCCACCCCCCCACCCAAAACTCCACTCTGCGGTCCCTGCAAGTCGGACTGCCAGGACATGGACGTCTCGAATTCTGGAAACTGGCACCCTTGGAAACCCAACAGCAACACACCCCACCAAGCATATCAGAGCACCAAATAGGCCAGGTGATGCCTTAAGCTTCATTCAGACATGAATGGCAACAAAAATGGTAGGAAAGCCATACCCGCCTTACCCGCTCCAACCCTTGTGGTTGGACATCGCCGAGGCGCTCGTCTTCTCCAGCGCTTTCGTCCCTTGCTTGGTCTGAAGTAGCCCGGTTCCCAGCACAACCTCCTGGTGGAGGGCAACAATTAGGCTTCTCGTCGGGTTCGTGAGATGAACCGATAGGATTACAGGGCATAGTTGTGGACACAACCCGTTCACTGATCAACCTTGTATTGTGTCGATGTGTAGTTGTGAATGCTTGGTGGGGGTATTTTTCGTTGCATTGCACTCAACTTCTTCCGCATCAAATCGCCCAAGACATGACGACTCAACTTGAGGCCGGCCAAATATGGGGGTTTACGAAAAAAGGGATCCCCAATATAAACCCCAAATAGTAGGAATCGATTTTAATGATAAGGACCCTAATCCCTTCCCCCTTTTATTAAACGCACCCCTAGAAACACTTTCCGGAAAATCCTGCCGTTTCCGACCCCGCCTTTAAAGCCCTATTCCGAAATAGGGGGGGGGGGGGTTTCAGGGCTCCCCAAACCCTCAAGCCAACCCACATCCGGAAGCTCCCTTCCCTCCCTTCCCAGCCTAGACCCGAAACCCTGTGGACCCCAAACATGACATTCGGATGAAAACCTCCCCCTCATAATAAAAACACGTTTCGAGTTTCTATTGGGGGGGGGGGGGGGGGGGCGTTTAATATTTTGGGGGGAAGGGATTAATCAGGTGCCCCTATCTTATCTATCTTCGGAACCCCCCATACCATATTGTTTCGAATAATATACACCCCAAATAGTAGGACTCCCTTTATCATAAGCACCCCAAGAAGGTACCCCTATGTTCCGCTGAACCCCCACAAAAAACTCGCGCCTTGGCACCAGCAACGGACCGGGAGGCTAGTTGATGTCGAGACGTGCAGGAGCCGGGCAAGTCTCTGCAGCCAGACCTGCACCCGCGGCTCAGATGCTCAGCCTCAGCCATCGACTTGAAACCGTATCGCCACCACCACGAAAACTGCCACTCGACTGCTTTCAGATGATGCTCAACTACTGCAGTGCCAGTATATAGTATGCCGGATGCCACTAAATTTGGGGTTCGAACGTCCGCTCATGTGCGTGGATGTGTGGTGCCTGCAATGGTTCAAGACGGGGCGCGGAGCAGCACAAAATGTTTGGGCTTTCACGAAAGTGTTGCTTGCTACTTGCTGATCACCAGTCACAGAACAGAATCCTTGGGCCGTGTCTTCGCATCGTGGATTTCCACTCTGCGCGTGCAGAAGCGGAGCACATGCACCGATGATTGTGCGTTGACGGCGGCAGCGACGACGACTGCTTCCATCTCGCAATAGCGTCACAAAGAATCGAACCACGCGGATTGCGTTTGTGAGATGCTGCTGACCGCAGTATACCGCAGTGGCGCAGTGGTGTGTGAAACCCCTATTTCCTGCGAGCCTGACCGATGTGGTAGCTATATGGGGGCGCACATGTCCGGGGTTCAGACCCCGGGACGTTTCGTTCCGCATCCCCGAGGCCAATTGGCGGCACCAGACATGTGGTGCTGGCTGCGATTGCGAGATGGAGGTTTACGAAAGTAAGGGACCCCGAATATAGACCCCAAATGGAAGGATTCCCTAATGATCAGGACCCCAATCAAGTACCCCGAATATCGGAAACCGGTCTGGCATAAGTGTGCACCGTTTCACGCTGTCTGCGATCTTTTGCATCTCCGATGTGTAAACCCTAAACCCTAAACCCTACACCCTAAACCCTAAACCCTAACGTGTTTCGGCTCCCGGCTTCTTGATGCGAGCACTTCCCAGAATCGGGGGTACCCCTTTCTTACCCCAAATGGAGTAGAATCCCCTTAAAAGGGACCCCCAAAATGGGTACCCCTATTTTCGGAAACGACCACGTAGACAGGCCCTGAAATCTGAGCCCCTGTCGTCCCCGTTGGGCACTTCGCAATCTGAGGTGGCCGAAGAGACGAGCAATAGTGACCAGACAGTCACCTGCGGGCTATTAGGGTTTAGAGTTTAGGGTTTAGGGTTTAGTATAGAGGGCTTCAGGCTTTAGAGAGCTTAGGACTTGGGGTCTATTGGGGTCTCAACGGTTTGGGTCACAGGTTCTTGGGTGGTTCCGGGTGTAGAAGGCTTTAAACCTTGGAGTCCACAGCGCCTGAACCCAAGGCCCCTCAACCTATTCTAAGCCCCTAAACCCCCTTTCATCCCCCCAGAGCCTAAATTTCCCAAACCTATAAAGCCCCCTGTATCCCCCCAGAACCCTAAACCCCCCAAACCCTAAACCGGCTGAATCCTGATCAAATTTGACCGAGGCTGTGCGACCACCGTGCACACGCAAGCCACACTTCGAATGGGCCACCAACTTTGATTCTTCCAGAGTCCAGAGGGTTCAAGGTTCAGGGCTTACCTTAACTTATTAACCCCCAGAGACCTTTTTAAGGACTTACGTAATTACGCCTAATAAGAAACCCGAAAAAGGGATTTTCTTAGGGTCCAGGATTGTCCGGAGAGGGGTTTCGGCAGAGAACGGCTAAACTTAAACGGTTCAGTATCTCAAGGATCAGGGCGAGAGAAGGAGTGAAGAGGGCCTTGCCGAGGCACCTTGGTCTGACGCCTTTCGAGCAATTCAATATCTGCTCAAAGTTGAGAGGTTGTAACATACTGTTGGTTAGGTGAGGGAATGAGGGAATGAGGCACCCTATATAATCCTTTAAAGGGTATATAGGGGGATATAGGGTACCTCATTCCCTCATTCCCCTACCAACCAACAGTAAGGTGAGTACACGACAAGTGTTTTCGAGGTTCAAGCGCTTCCATGCACCAAGGAGCCGGTCAGGAATGGCACCTCTGAACTAACTTTGGGGTTTAGGGTTTAGGGTTTAAAGGTTTGGGGTTTAGGGTTTAGGGATTGGGGTTTAGGGTACACCTGAAGCCCAAAGCCGAAAAGCCGGGGACCCCAAATTCCCTAAACCCCGAAGCCAAACAGCTGCTGAAAGCTTGGGAAGGTGATATGCGCTTGCACGACGGGACTTGTGGGCATAGCGAGAACTTCCTAACACAGCACACACATGAATGCCCCACATCAGGCATGCACCCGCACCCCAAACGCCAAACGAGTGTCGAACCCTACTAAAGGATACCCCAGCGTTTAGGGGTACTTTTCATACTATAGGTTAGGGAATACGAACTTTGGGGTTTAGGGTGTAGGGTTTAGGGCTCTTCTGATTCCAGGATCGGTGCCTTGCACATTGAAAACACCGCCATCGCAAGATGGCAAAACGGTAACCGGGGGTTCGAAAGTTTATACAGGAACTGGCTCCTGCAAGCCAGCAATTAGCCAGGAAATCGCTGCGGCAGGACCACGTGTTGGCAAGAGACGGGTAAAGTTGGGGATAACCCCTCCCCCCCCCACCCCCCCGAAGGCCCTTGAAACCCTAAACCCTAAACCCTAAACCCTAATTAACCCTGAAACTATATAAGCCATCACCGCAACCCATTCTTAGATTGCAAGCACCAGCTCACCGAGTGTTCCCAGAAAGCCCGGCTACACTAAACACTCCTTACGAGCAGCAAAGCCGTTGTTGGGAACTTGGATGCGAAGTAGAAGAGACGTCTCCAAACACACGAATGTATACCTAGGGCGACTGAATCTTCCCTTTCTAGGGCCATGGGGCTTAGACTTAGGCTTCCCATCGAACAGGCGAGGCTATCAAGGCCCGGTCAATCTGAAAGCCTCGGGGCCGTGCAAAGAAAGATATGCGAAGCAGCTTGGTATGTGCGAGTGTGAGGCGCGTCTGAACGTCAAACCCATCACCCAATGGCATTTGTTCATCAAACAAAGGGTCTGTGGACAAGCGCTTTGCTGACTTGACACGTGCAGATGCAATGGCTTCCCCGAAAGCAGCTGGACGCAAGCAGACCATAGCAGCTAACTAGGCAACCCTCAAACCCTCAAACCCGGAATCAGCCCCACTCCACCCTCTTTCTCTTCCATGAGCCAGCGGATCGAGCAATACACTGGAACTACCCCCATGTACCCCGAAGTCAATACATCACAAGGGCCTAGCGTCTAGAAACACCAAAACACAGAAGACTGACTTGAACCTCGGCTGGTTCCATAATTGAGGTCTCCTAAGTGCACACGTCTGTAGTCAAGAAATTAGGCCTACAAAGCCACTAGGCCCTTGCACGTACCCCAGCGACATGACTTACATGCCGTACTGGGCCGCCCTGCACAGATACGAGCTGAACCCACAAGCTCACTAGATTCTGAAACCAATCTCTCGGCGGTATGGTAAAAATATGCGAAAAACACAATAATGGAACATCATCACGATACAACAACAAAAATAGCCACCACAACCAGCACAACCAGCACAACCAGCACAACCAGCACAACCAGCACAACCAGCACAACCAGCACAACCACAACCAGCACAACCAGCACAACCAGCACAACCAGCACAACCAGCACAACCAGCACAACCAGCACAACCACCACAACCACCACAACCACCACAACCACCACAACCACCACAACGACGACAACCGCCACCACCACCACCACCACCACCAACAACAACAACAACAACAACAACAACAGCCACCACAACCAACACAACCAACAGCCACAACCAACAACCAACAACCAGCAACCAGCAAACAACAGGCAACAACCAACCACCAACAAAAAGCTGCAACCAACAACAAACAACAAACAACCAACAAAGAACAAATAACAGAGAATAACGAACACAAAACACACAACACACCAGGCACAACAGACAACAAACAGCAAGCAGCAAACAACAAACAACAACAACCAACAGCGACCAACGGAAACCAGCAGCAGCAGCAGCGGCGGCGCCGGCAGCAGCAGCAGCAGCAGCAGCAGCAGCAGCAGCAGCAGCAGCAGCAGCAGCAGCAGCAGCAGCAGCAGCAGCAGCAGAAGCAGCAGGAGCAGCAGAAGCAGCAGAAGCAGCAGAAGCAGCAGCAGCAGCAGCAACAGCAGCGGCAGCAGCGGCAGCAACGGCAGCAACAGAAACCAACGGCAGCAACAGAAACCAACGGCAGCAACAGAAGCCAACGGCAGCAACAAGCAACGACCGACAACCGAAGACGACGACATCGACGACATCGACGACAACAACGACGACGACGACGACGACGACGACGACGACGACGACGACGACGACAAGGACGACGACAAGGACGACCACGACAGCAACGGCATCGGCATCAACGACAACGACGACAACGACAACAGCGATAACGACAGCAGCAGCAGCAGCAGCGGCGGCAGCAGCAGCAGCAGCAGCAGCAGCAGCAGCAGCAGCAGCAGCAGCAGCAGCAGCAGCAGCAGCAGCAGCAGCAGCAGCAGCAGCAGCAACAGCAACAGCATAACAGTAACAGCAGCAGAAACAGTGCGCAATGCAGCAGTTTCCGCTTCGCCAACTTGCAAAGCAGCCCAGTGCCCCTGCTTGAATTTGAAAGCATCGCCGGGCTGACCAGATTGAGACCCACTTCTTAGAACAGGGTTTTGGGTTTAGGGTTTAGGGATGTTGGGTGCAATACGAGGTTTATGTTTTTTGGGGTAAAGGTCTTAGGGAATGCAGGGATTAGGTGCAGGGACTAGGGTGTAGGAGGCGCTTGATTTAAGCATGGAGCATTACACTGAACATTGCATGGAATCTGGTGCTATGTGTGGTTGTACAGGGACCACCTCGTGGCCTATCTAATTGGAAGAAGGCTGCTAGGTATAGTATGTCATGTGTACTACCCAAGGACAGCTGCTAGGTTAGAGCGAAGAAGGGGCCAGAACAGATTTTACCATCTTAGGTTAGTGCCAGGTGCCAAGCTAGTACAGGAATGGGGTTGGATATGTGCCAACAGTGTACGCCTTTTGGGGCCCGGGCCTAAAGTGAATGAATTGTCATGGTTGCAATAGGTTGTTGAGTCTCAATTGCTGGCCAGAGCGCGGTGAGGACAATGCACGAGGGTGCTCGCAACTGTGCAGCCCCCGAATTCTTCAGCGTGCGCCTGGAAAGGCAAAAACAGGGAAAGATTGGAACCCACAACCGCTTTGGTTTGAAAGGGGAAAGGGATTCTAGTCCCAGGGCTTGGCGAGATGGTTTCTTTCATGTCAATGGAAAACCCTAAACCCTAAACCCTAAAACTCGAAAACCCTACTAAACCCTAAACCCTAAACCCGAAAGCATGGTCGAAGCTTCCGGAGTGCCTCGGCTACAAATGCCGAATCCTCATTTGGTAAAGCTAGGGAATCTATTCCTCTTCCCAGAAGAAAAAAAGGGCAGGGATCAGTGAGCTTTGTCTCCACTAGCATACCAATTCGTCCTGTTCAAATCCTGGTGTCCCAGTTCCCCCCCAGCGGCATCAACGCAACCTTCCTCGAACGAAGCCTTCAAATCAACTACAAGAGGCCACGTGCTCAGCCTTGATCCTACTTGATCCAATCGCGGTCTCCGTTTAGCCGCGAGTACCCTAAACCCTAAACCCTAAACCCTGAACCCTAAACCCTGAACCCTAAACCCACACTAATGGCGAACTTGGATGCTGTGGCCTTGGCATCCTCCGGCGCACGGGGGCCTTCAGCTCCAAGGCTTCGGGGGCGGTTAAGGACCCATAGGGATTCGCAGCTCAGGTTTGGGGACCTCAGGAAGTGGGATCGAACGGAACGGGGGCAAACTGTAGAATTTACCAAGGTGCCTTGGCTCTTTGATTCACGTGATCCACGAAACACACCAGCAGGTTGATGCTTCTGGGGGTCTGGCAGACGTACCTGAGGTACTGACCCTGGAAAATGGGCTTTCGCTACTAAACAGCCCAGCAAAAAATGTTTAGGCCCCTGTTTCCATGTGTGTGGTTCTGGTTGCGATAAGTGGTGGAACCGGCAAATAAATCATCGGCAAGTAATGGGAAGGAGTCTCCAAATCATCCTGTCAAGCAAGTAAACTCTGTTATCTTGTCCTGCTCTGAACATATGTTTTGGGGTTTAGGATTCAGCGTCCTCCTGCACACGGCGTTCGTTACAAGTGTCCGCTAAGTCCAGCCGAACCACAGAAATGCTCAGGCAACCTTTAACTCGCTAAACCCAAAACCCTAACCCTAAATCCGAAATCCTAAACCCTAAACCCTAAACCTTAAACCCTGACCCTTCAGCAAGCTTCAGGTTCCTTTTGCTCCCCGGGCTTTGGGTTTATTTCTTACGCAGGCGACTGTTTGGCTGCGGGAAATGTCCATGTTGTAGGGATTATCTCAGTTGGTGCAGGCCCTTCATTCCGAAAGCCAGGACCTTGAGCCCGAAAGTTCCTGCTGACCTCATACATCATTATCCCTGCATCCCGAACTTCCTACTAAAACCTGCCGATGTAGGGATCCGGCCTTCGGATCGGGCCCTGCGCAAGCTTAGATCGTGTGTCTGTGTGCAGGGTATGAGAGGTCCAAGGGTGTGGTTCAAAGTGCATGCGCTGCAGGTCATGGTTGAACGTCCTACAGTACAGTGTTCTCATTCGCTCTGAAACTCCAGGCCGGGAAACAACTTGCTTCAAATGACTGGCACAATGGGATGCCGCGTTGACCCTGAGGCAAGTGTTGCTCTGCTTCTCGATTCAACCCCTAGATGAGAGATTTGCAGACGTGAATTGGGGTTATCAGAACAAGAAGAACGGAATCTAACGAGTAGGGATAAAAACAAATTGTAACGAACTTAATGGAAACTACAATGGTGACAGTATTCTCCTGAGAAGCCTCATCCCCACCCTCCTCCCCAACCATGTAACCCTGTCCCTTCAACCCACGAAGAACCATGAGTACATGCGCTTTGGGCTCCAGCCTCTTGTCTTCGGCATTGCACAGCACGACCTGCTCAAAACACAACTGAAACGCAAGTCTTCAAATGTTTCGGCTTTACTGAAACGGCGTGAATCTGTCAGATTTGGATAGCCGGACCTCAAAGAAGACAATGCGGAGGCGGAAGGAAGACAACGTTTCACGTGTTGGAGTGTCATTCTCGCGGGAAGAAATAACTCGGAATTATGCCGTCTGAGGATTTCTCGGGAGATCATAGAGGGAATGTGGCACAGACCTTTAGGTATGACGCAGGAGTTTTCGGGTTGATCAGGCAATTCTTTCACACGCGATGGGAGGAGCATGCTTTTGGGGCCATTCCCGACCTGCGCGGGATCTTTGGCCCCATAACTGTGCCTACTGTCGAGGACGCATGCAAGCAGCCAGTGCTATCAACTGGTATCAAATGCGCCCTACTAGTATTGAAGAATTGTTGGACTGCGACATCAGCAAAAGGAACTTCAGCGCAGTTGCTACGGGGCACGGCGCCTGCAATCCCAATGCCTGCACTTGGGTTGAACCCGAATTGAACCTACACGAACCCACCGGTCACTGCTCAAACTGCGTTCGGCACTGCAGGATGTTCAACAAGAGCAAGGAACACAGCAGTTTGGAAGGTATGATGGGTTTTGGCAAAACTCATCGCAATGCTTCAGAATCGAGCCAGAGATGCCAGAACATGTTTGCATTCGGGAAATCTTCATCTCAGCCATGAGCCCAAACAGCTTCTTTAGCCATTGTAGCTCGAAGCTTTGACTCCAACGCCCATCCGTCCTCGCTGTATAGTCAATAATCGCTGAAGCCTTGCAGCCCCTAGCCACCCAATTACTCGCATGTCCCGCGGCCTTGATGGTCATCCCCAGAAGCGTAGACCTGACAGCTGGCGGAATGACTGTCTAAGTTATGTGGCGACTCTTGTTGGAGAGCGCTGCAATAACAAGACGTATGGCAACGAACGTCAACGCCAAAACCCGAACCATAAGTGTAAGAGCAACAAAACAGCCAAATCGCAACATTGGCAAGAACAGGAATGCCTTGGAGCAACAAAAACAGCCAAATCGCAACATTGGCAAGAACAGGAATGCCTTGGCGCTTTTAGGGCTTGGGTTGTGGGGTGAGGTTCAGTGCGGATTTGGGGCACGTTTGGGACGCAGATTCTCAGGTTCCAGGTTCGAAGCCGCCTTCAATGAAGACCTTGATGGATGTACATTACATGCCTGTCATGTAGCTTGCCCATGACACACATGCACGTTGCAGGCTAGGCTGAGGTGCAGCGTCTCAAACAAGCGTTGGCAGGGCCATAAATGGATGAGGGTCCGATAAGTTCAGAGTTTAGGAATGCTGAGCCTTCAAGCAGAAATAGGATTTGCGTAAAAGCAATGCCCAGAACGCGTGTGCGAGCTTCTCAACCAATTTTTGGACTGGGCATTTAGGGTCTGGGATTTGTTCAAAGCACAGCCACCCAATGCAACAAGGAATGTGCGTCCCTTCATACGGTAAAACCGTGATGGTTCTGAGCAACTCTCATAGAAGATGGCGCATATGGAGTGAAGCTTGGGTCTGGAGCAACGAAACACATGCTGCCTGTTATCGTGCTTCCAGCTTGCACGCACGAACCCTGGTTGGCCCGTGATATCTTGGTGGAAATTCCGGATGACGTCAACGTGTTCTTGCAATCGCATATCTGAGTCAACATCATCAATCCCCAAGCCTTCAAACAATCTCAAAACCCGAAAGCGCTCTCCAACACAAGTCGACAAAATCATGAACTCTTCTGGGAACCTTCTTGTGCTGTAGATCTCGCCCATACTTCCTACCTTCTGCGTTAGCTCATCTGAACAGCTTTCATACGCACTATTTTACCCGCTAGTTCAAACAAAATGAACTTGAGTGGTATCCTACCGAGAAATTGAGCCCACTGGCCCATCAAGGGAGACCGCGTGCTCCGCTGCCGAAGACGCGGCGTAGCGGAGGAACCAATCAGGTCCCTGCAGACAGTCTCGATGGGGCTGTGGAATTAGATTGACGTTGCACAAACGTAGTTGGAAAGGTCCAACTCTGAACGGCAAGTCTGCAAGGCCAGCATTCAGTCTACTTCTGCGATTTGATCAAGATCCGTGGACTACCCCGCGCTCGGAAGCTTGTTCAGTACATCAGCAGCCTTGATTGCGACATCACGGGCGTTGAAACAGTTGAGCCCCGCACCAGGTGCAAATGTGCAACTAGAAAACGACAAGTGGGGGGTATCCTGACTTCGGTGAACATTTCAATGTGCTGCTTCCCCAAACAAGAACCATTTGGGGTCCTCTCCTTAGAAAAAAAAAGTGTCCCTGCGACCAGCAAAACACGTTCCCCAAAAGAGGTGTGTGCTGGTAACGTAACCGTGGCTCCATAAGGGTTGTGAATGTGCCCCTGTGACCAGCCCTGAAAACTTGTGTTTGAACGTGCTAAAACACCATGGATGTTTCCCCTGCGACCAAATAGCTCGCGCCATGTTTCCCCTGCGACCAAATAGCTCGCGCGAGCCATTTGGTCATCAGGGCGCAAATTGGGTGCTGGCTGCTTACGGTGTCACCCTACGAGCGCGAAGGGAGGGGACATGCGACAAGCCTGGCATGGGCAGCGCGTGCGAGTCGCCCAGCAGTAGCATCAAACACGTTGGGCAATTCTGCAATAGCGTCTTGTACCCTTTAGCGTAAGGCTGCAGCATCCTGTGCTGCGGCACCGGACAGCCCTGCAGCCTGGACGTTGGTGGAACAGGCAGTTTTCATCCGTGCCACGAACTCAAACAACGTGGACGATTTCACAGCCGCCTCGGAGTCCGCAGCAGCAACCTCACGACTCATCAGCTCATCTAAGCTTTTCCAACAAGAACAACGAGCAGCTGTGCTCACTGACTGGATCTTCCGAATAGCTAGGCTAAACTCCTTGCCCGGGCTGTTAAGGCTGGCACGGTCGGCACGTCTTCTTTTGCGCAAGGGGCCTGGCAAAGTCAGCGCATTCCAGTCGTCCAACAAGTGCAGTCGAAGGAAAGAAGAAACCACAAGGGGGGGGGAGCAATTCTGCATCAGCTTCTAAGCGGTGCGGAATTCGAACTTGCAGCTCGATCCCGCCCCACGGTGCCCTTGCCTCCACGTCTGCCCTCTTCAAGTCCGCAGCCGCCTCACAGCTACCAAGGAATCCACGGCAACCCCTCCCCCCTTGAAACTCCAAATCAGCCGCATCCCTGAGGCGGCGTCAGTGAAAACTCACTCCGCCCAGACCGCCCCCAACCCAACCCCTGGCTGCCTCCCTGCTCTCCTGCCTTTTGGGTTTAGGGGTTTAGAGTTGCGGCTTGAGGCTGTAGGGTTTAGCATGGTTTAGCCCCCGAAGAGGAGCCCCTTAAAAGGAGTTTTCTTGCGGACATTTTTTGTGTTCATCGATCCTATGTATGAAAAAAGCGCTCCACTTTGCTACAGACACTTTTGTGTCCATCGAGCTTGTGTAAGAAAAGCACGCCACTTTGTTACGGACATGTTTGTGTCCATCGAGCCTGTAACGAAAAAATGCCATGTTGTTACATACACTATCGAGCCTGTGTAAGAAAAACACGCCACTTTGTTGCGGAGGACATTTTTGGGTCCATCGAGTCTGTAAAAAACAAAACGCCCCTTTGCTACAGAGATTTGGGTGCGCATCGAGCCTGTATAAACAAAACACACGAACTTATTTGCAATTTTGGATAATTTTGGTGTCCGTCGAGCCTATGCAAACAAAAACGCGCCACTTTGTTACGGACATGTTTGTGCCCATCGGGCCTATGTAGAAAGAACACGCAAAACAAAACATGCCACTTTGTCGCGGACATTTGTGTCTCCATCGAGCCTGTAAAAACCAACAGCCACTTTGTTACGGACATTTTTGTATCCATCGAGCATGTTAAAAAAAGCCACTTTGTTACTTTGGTGTCCATCAAGCCTGTAACAAACAATGCCAGTTCGTTACAAAGATTTTGGTGTGGTGTGTGATTTGAGCCTGTGTAAAACAACACGCCACTTTGTTACGGACATGTTTGCGTCCGTCGAGCCTGTAAAGAAAGCCACTTTGTTACAAAGATTTTGGTGTCCATCGAGGCCACTCAAAAAACACGCCACTTTGTTACGGATATTTTCGTGTCCTGTTAATAACGCACGCCACTTTGTTACGGACATTTGCCTGTGTGCCTAAACCCCCGGTTGTCGCGGCCCGCGCCCGCGCCCACCTGTTACAGACCTCTGTAACGCCCGGCTTGTTACAGACTTGTTATATTGGACTATATATATATATATATACATATACATGCACTCAAAACGGGTCTCAGGGCGCATTGGGGTCGGACGAGAATGCGTCTATTTGGGGCGCACGTTGCCTACGCAGATGTCGCAATAGACTGTGTTTGGTCTGTCGCGGGTATGTAACGCACTTGTAACGGGGTATGTCGCGCGCCGGGAGGCATGAACATAGATTGTTGTATCCCGTCGAGCCTGTAAGAAATTCACGCCACTTTCTACAGAGATTTTGGTGTGCATTCAGCCTATGTGAAAAAAAGCAAACAAACACGCCACTTTGGACATTTCTGTCTCCATCCAGACTATGTGTTTAAGGGAAAACACATCACTTTGTCACGGACATTTTTGTCTCCATCGAGCCTGAAAACACACACGTCACTTCATTAAGCAAATGTTTGTCTCCATCCAGCCTATGGAGACAAAAAACGCCACTTTGTTACGGACATTTTCGTGTCCATCGAGCCTGTAAACACAAACACGCCACTTTGTTACGGACACTGTTGTGTTAAACCACTTTCCCACGACATTTTTGTGCTCCTCGAGCCTATGTCCAGAAGAAAAGCGCCACTTTGTTCAGCCCGAAAAACCCTAGACCCGAGACAAAAAAACAACTTGTTCTTGAATTTAGGGAGCGGCCGCTCGAACAAAGGAGACACCAAAAAAAACTCGGCGCAAAGAAAAGGGCCGCGATTTGTGACGTCCTGTTCTTGGCTTTCGGCGGCCATGTCCTCAACACAACAGACGAAAAAAAAAACTCGGTGTAACAAACGGAGCCCCGATTTGCTGTGCCATGTGTTGGTTTTGGGCGGCAGCGCCGTGACTGAAAGCTACGACCCCGTACGAAACCCCCACTGAACCATACGATGCCCTCAAGCCCCTGTCGACTCATCCTCGTCTGCCTTCTTGGCTTTCTTCACCTTCTCCTTGCCGTTGAAGGCCTCAAGATGCAGATGTAGTCCTTGGGGTTCAAGGTTGTTGGGTTTAGGGTTCAGGGCTTTAGGCTTTGGGCTTATCAGATGTGGTCCGTATGCTGCGGCCCGGGCCAGCAAGGTCCCCAACTGCTTCCTCAGGGCCTGCTAGAAGACGGTGTTGTTTGGGTACTGCTGTTCGGCACACCAAGTGATGATTCAGAAAGTGCAAGATCGCCTCCATCAGCAGTGATAATTATGATGCACTAAGCAAGGGCGATTGTTGTTTTGGGCTGGTGCTCGCTTCAAGGCGCCGGGTACAAGATTGTTTCTCTGCACGGCTGCATCATGCCGGAGTCCGTTTCGCCAACAAGCTTTCCGCTCATATGCGAGGGCCCGCGGGTTGATTGCACATGCTTTCTGATCAATCCTCGGGGCAGTACCGACATGTACTGGTTTGGCGCTTCTAGCTGCCAAAGAGACACCAAGATAAGGTGCTTAATTGATCAAGACACTTCTTGCCTCTCCGAAACATATATTCAAGCCTAAGAAGCAATCGAAGTTGCGCGCGAGTCACTTGCAAACGTGCTTTCCGCCTTCACGGCCCGGCGAAGCGCGCGAATTTCCTGCAGGGGCTTGCTATTGGAGGGCGACAGCGCGTGAGGGTACAGGCGAAGTGGCGGTAGGGACTTAATTCTAAGAAACAGCAGGCTGCACTGCGGCAGCAGAGTCTGGCATCGACTCCAACGCAAAACCTGTGAGCCCACACGTGCCCCGCATGCAAACCCGTGCCCACAGCTATGAGCCACGTGCCACCCAAACCCACAGCTTCAGCACAATCCAAAAACTAATTCCAACGAGGTCCTTCGCAAGTGACATCGGGTGCAATCGAGAGAATGCCTTGCAGGGGTTTGCAAGGAATTGTGAGGACCCCCAATTGTTTGTAGTGATAGAGAAGGTTTCTTTGGGGTTGACAATGAAGTTGTGGCGCGCAACGGTTAAGAGTTTGACTGACAGAGCCAACCCCGCAAACCCCTAAAACCCTAAACGACGTGGTAGCTTCCATTGTCGTCTGCATTCCCATTAAATGACCCATGGCTTTCTTCATGGCCTCCTCAACTGGACACCAGGCACAATACATGCACGAAGCAACTTGCCAAAGGAACCCACCCCAAAAAAAGCCTACTTTGCAAAGCCCTGACAACCCCGAGCCCTTAACCCCGAAAACCCGGCTTTATGGTGAAGGGATGCGTCAAAGAGGGCTCACGATTCATCTCAGGCTCGCACGGTTTCGATGGACACTGCAAACTGCAAACCTTGCGTGCTCCGGGCCCCAGAACTAAACCACAATCTTGGACTTGAGATACCCAAGGTAGAGGTTGTCTTGCATTTTCTGGACGTGTTTCCTCTTCCATAGATTCTGAAGGAAGGGGTCATTCTGGGTCTTATCAGCCTCTCGTAAAGGTTCATGTGCCGTGAGATAAGAGGAGAAGCGGCTCCCATGGGTGCACGCACCGCCCTCGCCGGAGTCACATGACCGCCGGCGCGCAGTGAATTAATGGGCTTGGCTCCGCACGCCCGGTAGAGCTCTTCGTCCGCCCGCCACGCAGCCAAAATGGCGGCAAGTTGGGCTCATGACAGGGTTGTGGCAACATGTGGCAACCCTCCACTTCAAGAGCATACACCGGACACCTCACCTCAAGCCCACACACCCCTCCAAGTTCACAAGGCTGGTGAGGCAGACTGGCTTTGCTCCACCATCATGGTTCCGACCAGGTTCCGAGCGTACCCAAAAAGAAACCCTCATTTCCAGAACCCTCGGCCCTCCGTAAAGGCATGTTGGCTTGGGGAGTTTCTTCAGATTTCCTGCACGCCGTATCGCAAACCATTTGAGGCTCAAAGTATTGGGTTTGGGGTGTAGGGTTCAGGGTTTAAGGTTTAGATAGGCTACGGGCTGGCGCGTATGGTCTACATGAGGTATTTGATTTAGGGCCAAGGGTTCCAACAAGGTTTTTATTTTGTCCTGGCCTTTGGGCTTATAAGACGTGACGTGTGCAATTTCGACAGATTAAATGGAGATGATGTGGGTTGATGCGAGGGCATGTAAGCAGTGTAAAGCCCTGTAAAGGCATGTAGGGAGTCCCAACCGGCAAAACAGTGGAAGTTCTAAACTCACCCGACACCCAACACCCATCAACCTCTAATCCCATACCTTAAAGACTACAGCCGGGCCCTAAAACATACACCTTAAGCTCTGGACTCTAGACCGCAAACCCGAAGCAGCCTAAGCCTGTTCCTGCATACTGAAGCCCCTGGCCCGGAGGCCTTGCACCCAGAATCCGAAGACAACACGCAGAAGCAAGTGCTGGCTGGGATGGCTGGAGCCCACAATATGAACCACACCTCATACATAAACTCGCCATCAATGCTATGCTGAACAACTACCCGGAAAAACCACGCTTGCTCAGCCTGGTATCGCGAATCGCCTCCGCAAGAGCCCGAATCGCCCGAGGCACCCCTATACGGACTAAGGCGACGGCACCAAACATGACCGCAGGCAACATGAGGGTTAGGAGACCGGTGGCTGGTCCAGAAAGGATTAGGTAAGGCATATGCGGGGGAAGCTGGCCAGGGGCAGCTTGTGCCATGCTGAGGTGCCCATCGGCATGCTGTGTTACCAATCGGCATGCTGTGTTACCAATCGGCATGCTGCGAATTTGTGTGTGTCAATCAAGTTGAACTTGAGCAAGGAAGGCGTACGAACCATTGAGCAGTGCACTGGGCCGGACTTGTACTCCGCCTTGGCTTCGGTGTTTAGACTTAGTTGGTGAAGCGTTGTTCTCTAGTGCATCGTTCAAAAGTGCTAAACGTTCGAAAGCGTCCGACAGTGTGCTGGAAAAGTGCAGACAGTCATGAGGATAGGGCACCTGGTGCCGTCCAAGCTTCAGCGACTGAGGCACACTGAGGCAGTACCCTTGAGCCCCTAGTATGGCCCTTAGTCCGAGGATCATAGCCGTAGCGCCCACCCCCAACCTCACCCAAACCTTACAGGCCAAAGAGGGCCAATGCCGAGAGAGAACCTCCCGTGCCTCACGAAACCACCTTTCTTTTCCTTCAAACGACTGCTCTTTGCCAGCATCACTGCAGCCTTCGGACGGCCTCTCGAAGTGAGGCTTGTGGGCATGGCGGAATCAGCCCCAAACTGACATGCCAACAAAGAGCACCTCTTTGCAACGAGCCTCCAAACCAAACTATACAGCCCAAGTAGCCCTTCAACGTACGTTAGCGACGAATTCTCCCTAACGTCAGTCCGCAACTTGCTTGCGGATCAAATCGAACGATCTCCTCCAACAAAAACCCTAATTTGAAATTTTACAGTTGGGGCCCCAAGCCCTGTCTTCTGGTCTTTGCAGTGAGCATCAGCTGGCCCTGCCTTCCGCGCAGATTGCGATACGCCTTAGCTCGTGTGTGGCTTTAGTGTCTATAGGGCATCCCGTGGGGTGTGTGTGGTTGTGTGCGATCGACCACATTTAGGCTGGTGGGATTTCGCATCAGAAAGATTGAGGGGCTTCAGAGGGTCGTTGGTTTCAAGATGATCTTCCAAAGCTCGTGTATGACTCAATGTTTCAAACCAGTCGGTGTGTTTCAGCGGGTTTGCATGCGCTGTTGCCACAAGACTCTTGGCTTGCTCGCTAAGTTCAGGTCGGGTCCCTGAGCAATTGCAGGAGACAGGGCCAGAAGCCCGTACCACTTAAAGTATGGCAAGGATCGACGATGCTGCATACTTCCGGACTTTGGTGAGCCCAACACTTTGGTCGCAGGGGAAACATCGACTCTGCTTGCTCTACGAGAAGGTCCTAAATTCAAAACATCTGGCGCGAACTATTGGCGCGAGCTATTTGGTCACAGGGGAGGTTTTGTTGCAACTCTGCTTGCTCTAAACGTCTGACGCGAGCTATTTGGTCGCAAGGGAAACATCTGGCGCGAGGTCGCAGGGGAGGTTGTGTTGCAACTCTGCCTGCTCTGCGAAAAGGTTCTAAACGTCTGACGCGAGCTATTTAGTCGCAGGGGAAGCATCTGGAGCGAGCTATTTGGTGGCAGAGGAAACATCTGGCGCGAGCTACTTGGTCGCAGGGCAGGTTTTGTTGCAACTCTGCTTGCTCTGCGAAAAGGCTCTAAATGTCTCTGACGCGAGCTATTTGGTCACTGGGGCGAGCTATTTGGTCGCAGGGGAAGCATCTGGCACGAGCTATAGCTATGGTGGCTCGCACAGGAAACATCTAAGGATATATTTCTCCCAGCTTGTTCTTCTATAAGGTTAAGAGGCCTTGAGCGCGGACCTACGCTGACCCGGTTTTTTATATCTTTTCTTGGCAATCAAAGACACAAGCACGGACCATGTGAGCGCGGATTGGTTTCCGGGCATTTGGGAGGCACAAAGGTTTACAACGGAGCAAAAACATGCAAAAACCGTCATGCCTCGGAGCCTCGCGTTGCAAACTTCTCCCGGCAAGTTGGCCATTGTATGGGAGCTCTGGCACAAGGGCGCAGATGGGGTGCTAGTTGCTTTCGATGACGCCCAAAAACCTGTGCCGGTAGCGTTATCGTGGCTCTGTACGGGTTGTGAATACGCCCCCGCGACCAAATAGCTCGCGACATGGCACAAGCTATGCGTAGGGAATGCTCGGCCTGCTTCTTTCTCAGCATGCTGCCGGTGCTGCCGCACATAGGCCTAGCTTGTCCGCATCGTCTCCTGAGCCCTGCCCTCGTGCGCTCATCTGGCCCGCTGTATGAGCCAAATCGAGCTCTCACAGTGTTTCTCACACTTCTCGGTCTGTCCCTGGTGGTAGGCGTTTCCGCCTGCGGTCTGCTGGGGGGTGTTTTTCTGTTTGTTGCCTCACATCTCTCACAAGCAGGGTTTGTGTGAACGCCTTTGAACTTTCTTGACCTGCAGGGTTGTCGAGACCCGTAGGGGGTTTTGCTCGGGAATGCTTGTAGCCCCACACGAAGGGACAAACATCTCAATTCCTTGAAACACACTGTTTGTGCATAATCCCAGGGGAAGGCATACATATCTCAATTTACTTAAACCACCTTCGTTTTGTGCGAAAAGTCCGTGTCAAACACGACCCAAACATCTGGCGCGAGCTAATTGGCAGCTGGCGCGAGCTTTTTGGTCGCAGGGAAACATCAACTCTGCTTGCTCTGTGAAAAGGTTCCAAACGCCTGGCGCGAGCTCTTTGGTCGCTGGCGCGAGCTATTTGGTCCCAGGGGAAACATCTGGCGCGAGCTATTTGGTCGCAGGGGAGGTTTTGTCGCAACCCTGCTTACTCTGTGAAAAGGTTCCAAACGCCTGGCACGAGGTCTTTGGTCGCTGGCGCGAGCTATTTGGTCGCAGGGGAACATCTGACGCTATTTGGCCGCAGGGGAGGTTTTGTTGCAACTCGGCTTGCTCTGCGACGAGGTTCTAAACGTCAGACACGATCGAGCTCTGTGGTCGCTGGCGCGAGCTATTTGGTCGCAGGGGAAGCGTCTGGCGCGAGCATTGGTCGCAGGGACAACATCGAAGGTCTTTTTACCACCTCTGCTTGCTCTGCGAAAAGGTTAAGAGGTTGTGGGCGCGGACCTGTGCCGAACCCGGGGTTTTTACTTTCCCATGAAGACCTCTAACTCTCTGAAACTCTACGCTCCTCTATTTCGCAGGTGCTTTGGGGGCCTCAGAAAGTAGTCCACACAACGGGTGATTGCACTAGCACCAACGGTGCGCAGACGCAGCATGAGCGTATTCTACAAGCCCACCAGAATAGAAAACCACAACCGGAATCTTCCCCCCCCCCCCCCCCCCCTCCCCCCAGGAGGGCCAAGCCTTCCTTTTCTCGTGGTTTCGGATTTCAAAAACACCCTAAACCCTAAACCCTAAACCCCAAACCCCAAACCCCAAACCCTAAACCCTATAAACCCTAAACCCTAAACCCTAAACCCCAAACCCTAAACCCTGAACCGTTGGGGCTGCGAAGAATGGCCAGCCATTTTCCCCCCGGCCTGCCTCACTCGGCTGATGACCCGTTCTGACCGTGTGACCCATTATGACCCATTGTGACAAATTATCTATACTCCCCTTGGAACCGTAATAAAAATAGTATTTTTAATATCCTCTTGGGTTTTATATAAACAAAAATAAAGAATAATTCCCAAGGGGGGATATAGTCATGACCCCCTGTGGGCAAAGCCAGGTTCTGGGAGCTCCGGCCACAAGAGCATCAGCCTCTTACCTGGTCCTGACATTTTGCAAAAACGCCACCACACCCCTCACCAAGAAGCAACTCTGCAAGCCCACTGCTGCTGATGCTCCTGCTATTGCCCTTGTACTCCTTCGACTGGTCCTTTTTCACAGCACGGCATGGCAGAAACGTTCCACACGCTCTGAAACGCGGCCTCTTCACTTGCACATCTTGCTAGTAGTACCTATTTTTTTATTACCACCGAGTGCTGCTATGAATTGG